TGTGTGTGTGCGTGCTCACCACTGACTGGACTGGGTCTGGTTTTATGGGGATATAAGTGGTTGTTTACCAGCAGGGGAAAGTGTTGTCAGGGCACCACAGCCCGCAGCAGGTTTTCAGAGGTGAGTTCAGGTTTCCATCGGTGTCTCTCTGAGGATCCGTGTGACGACGGAGAGACAAAACAACCACGGATGAAAAGAGAAAACTAATATTTGTTGTCATCAGCCTGGGATGCTGGCTGTGGTGATGTGAGGAGAGGAGAGGAGGGGAGGGGAGGGGAGGCCCGCTCCATCCCTTAATAGTAGTAAATATACTTTCAGGGGCTGCAGTAACATAAGCATTAATGAAGTTACAGTGTATTTCAGAAAGCAAGATTACCTGGTTAAACTCAGGCTTATTTTATTCCATACATTTCTGTTTCATAAATGAGGGCTTGAATAAGTCTGACCTTAGTTAGTTTCCAAGGAAACGTATCCCGTCAGACCAGCCTGGTTCTGGTCAGGTTAGTTTTCAGGTTTTAGCTTCGCCTCGGGCTGAACCAGTGTTACGATCCATCTCAGTAAAATGTGACAGTTTTCTCCCAAGTTTCTCTTCACTGCTGCTTTGTGCTCGTGAGTCAATTTCCAGTACATACATCTCATTTTGACACAAGCTGCACTTCTTACATACTTAAAAGGTCCAGTGTGTAACATTTATGAGGATCTATCAGCAGAAATCGAATATAATATTCATAGGTATGTGTCCATTAGTGTATAATCCCTTAATAATAAGAATTGTTGAACTGCCATGTTTCTACAGTATCCCAGAACAGACAAACTAAACACTGGTTCTAGATATGGTCACCGTAGTTTCTCCTACACGCTTTGAAGGCTGAGCTGTATTCATTTGGTTGTAATCTGCAACTTCACCCAGCTAGATAGAAGTCCTACACACTGGTCCTTTACACTACACTTAATATAAAGTTAATAAACTTCTTAGATCCCTGACTATCGTCGCATAGTTAGGAGCATTTTCCCAATTTGTAATTGAATTTAAATTTCACTAAATTTCAGTAAAATAAAATAAAACTGTTTATTAAAAACACAAAAGCATAGACGGCCACTCTGAGGGTAATTAAATACTATTTTCACCATATGGAGGCTGTTATGTCACATGTACGAATCACAATAGAGAACTTTAGTTTCTAGAAAATATAATAATTGTCTCATTGTTCTGCTATAAAATATATCACCTGGCTCCAGTTGCATCTTTCATATCTTACACTTAAAACTTATTTTCAACAAATATCATACAAAGAATCAAAGAGTTTTCTTTTGCTTTGTTTGTTTCACTGTAATATTTTACTCTTCATATTATATATTTAGTTAGTACAACTCTGTGGCTGTGAACCTTCTTTGTTTTATCTTTACACATCCATTTTATTCCCTGTGAATCAATGTGATCAGTGCTCGATGTCTCGATGTCACGGATAAAACACGGGATCACATTAGCTCCGAGTCGGCTTTATGAAACACATTAATCTCGGTTGAGTTTGTCAGGTTCATTCAAGACCGACTTTTCATGATAAGCTCTCCTTTTCTGAGCCACCATTATCATAAAACGCCCACAGTTGTCTCTGCGATGAATCTCACATCCGCAGGTTACTGTAGGTAAATGATTACACCGGCTTAAATGCTGATGAATGTGATATCCTGTCGAGAACGGAGCCACACCACAATTCACACAGCTTACATCAGCGTTCCCTGTTAACTACTAAAAAACACCTGACACAAGAATAACAGTCGACAGGAAACGAGAGAAACATTATTCCCCTTCTGTTACACATGACTTAATTCCCCACTGAAAGCACGAGATTCTCTGTTAAATCCCTTTTAACCCTCTTCTCTGCCATTAAAAGATCTGCTGAAGAGGCTGTAAGTGGACAACAGTTCAGTTGCCAAAGAAACAGATTTCACCGGCTTTTAGTGGACACTGTTTTAACGCAGGGGACAATTCTGGGTCAGATCCAATTATAGGAAATTAAAGTAATTGTCTCGCCTTTTACTCTCCTCACACACAGGTAGGAGACGTGAACTCCGCACAGAAAGCATGTAGGCAGAGATTTTAAAGATTCAGTTTGTGCGTTGTTATAATCTTTAACACGTTGTTCTCATTTTGTTGAATGGCGGTATATTTTTAGAGCCGGGGGAACTGTTAGCAGGTACAGTACAGGAAGAGAACAAACCTGCAATAAAAAGGTTTTAGTTTCTTCTCATTTGTTCTGGTACAGGCGAAATGAATTAACTTAATATAATACACAGCTTCTGCTTTGGGTGGTGAGAAGGGCTGCAACCAACAAGGATTGCAATCAATCAATCAATTAATTTACCCAATTTTCCTTCGGGGATTAATAAAGTCTATCTATCTATCTATCTATCTATCTATCTATCTATCTATCTATCTATCTATCTATCTATCTATCTATCTATCTATCTATCTATCTATCTATCTATCTATCTATCTTTTTTTTTTTTTTTTTTTTTTTTTCCCCCCCCCCCCCCCCCCCGGGGATCAATAAATTCTTATTTCTGAAGTCCTATAAAATGGACATAAAGTATAAATATATAAATATAAATACCTCCAGAGTTGTACTGTAGCAGATTTCCTCCACTGTGCTTTGATGACTTACTGTGAACGTATGATGTGATTAATCACACAGATCCTGACTCATCTTATCTGATTATCAACGTAGTTACTAGATGACTGAAACTGTCGCCTCATATATTAAATATTTGGCTCTCACTGTGTGATGTAACGCCATCACCCCCCCCCCACAGAGAGTTTACAGTAAAGCAGCGGGATGTCTTGTGAACATTTTGAAATAGAAATATTTGTGAGAAAATGAGAGGGCTGGAGGTGCTGATAACTGCAAGATGAACACGTAATCAGAAAAAAACCCAAACCACGAGTGTTTGTGGTGGAGACTGCACTCTCAACCAATATATAATATCATCAGTGGATCAAGGGTTTTTTATTAACACGGATTAGAACAATGTTCTCCCTCGAGCCCGAGCTCATGAGAAAAGATCTGTGATTGTATTGAACCACAAATATTGATGATAACCTTTTGTGGAAAAATCATATCAGACAAACTATTGCTGCAAAAAGAGTATTTTTATGTGTCCTAAAACATGTCTTCCTATTATAATGTCGTGAAAAATGTTATAATTTCTTCTTGCATTAATGGCTGCGCAAATTAGTACATGGACATTGGCTCCGAACTCAGATTTTCTCCTCTCTTGTGTGTTTTATTCCTCTTCTGAAAGCACTGACACATATCTAGGTCTGTCCTGGGTGATGCTGAACAGATTGCAGGGCTTCTCCTTCCACTTGCCCTTTTCCATGTGGTTATCAAGGTTCTGGTCAGTGTGGCGCAGGCAGTGGGAGGTGTAGTATCTGTTGTTATTGTTGAGTCAGGTTGTGAGAACAGAGGCAGTCACTTCACTGCAGTGTGTATCTGTGTGTGTGTGTGTGTGTCTGTGTGTGTGTGTGTGTGTGTGATGCTCGCTGCACCCTAGCTACACTCGGCGGTGTGAACACGCTGCGGCTGTCAGCCCAGCAGGAGGAGAGGAGTGCTGAGTGCTGCGTCGTAAGAGAAGCAGCTTAATGTAGTCGGCAGCCTTGGTAACCGGGTGTAGGCGTCCGCTGCTGTTCCTCCCACTCGCTCTTGGGTAATGCCCTGGCTTGGAGGGGGGGAGGCAAGAGGAGTGGGGGAGTCTGTTATGGAAAGAATTGAAGAGAGCCATCAATTCAGCTACAGTACACCCCCCTTCCCTTGCCTCAGACATTTGCCACCTCTTCTCCTCTCTTTGGCCTCCTCCTCTTAGCGGCCTCCCTCCATTATAACCCCATTCTTTTATAGTCTGGTAACCCAAGGCAACGCATGAGGCCATGTCTGCTCGTTGTGTGTGTGTGTGTGTGTGTGTGAGAGAGAGAGCAGCGCCTGTTGGTACACAGAAAAAAAACAAAGGGCCAAAAACAAGGCATGTCTCGCTGCCAGAGCCTGATTGGTGCACAAAGGTCACCCCCACCCCCCCAATGAACCAGCACGAATCAATCCCTCTCTGCCACCCGGAAGTCAGCCACTAAATCCTGCCCCGGTATTTCTTAAAGCCCCCGCTAGTGAAGCTGATCCCACAGGAGAAGTCGGGTGCAGAACTTGCATACTGGCATAACTGAGTAAGTTATTCCGAGTAAATAGAAAATTAAAGAAGAACTTGCGGGTATATTAATAGGTTTTCTGTCGGGCCTAGGTGAGTTAGGGTGGACTAAATGATTCACATCCTCCAAGTCTCCTGCTGGGTTTCAATGTCCAGTCTCTGTTTTTAAAGTGCTGGTAAATCAGGCGACTTGTGTATCGTGTTCCTGATGATCACATTTCCCTTCTCTCGGTCCTGCCAAGACATTGCAGCCACAAGGTGTAAAGCCAGATTTTTTAACATTTCTGGCACAGGGGGAGAGAAAAAGGTCATTTTTACCCCCGTTTTCTTCATCACTGGCCGGTCGGGGCCTCGCAGCTCCTGCTAGCTCCACTGACACACAGACACACACACACACACACTGATGGAAACCACGGGGTTGGAAGAGGGCATAACTGCATAACTTGGCTGCTACAATAAAGACGGAGCTCCCTGATGATTCCTGTATTTAGCGTAGTGAGGCAGCGCTCTGTCATCTACACTCAATGTATTTTTGAATCTGGCTCAGTTTCCAGGCCGTGACTAAAAACAGGGAGTGTTTCTATGATTGTGTATAAAAGATGCAGACGTTTCTGGGGGGGGGGTTCCTTCACAGTAGGGCCTCTTTTTATTTTGGATTAATGGTATATCTGTGGCTGTTTGAAAGCTTTTATATTGTCCAAGTAATTTCCTCTAGCTCAAGTCTTATCAAATATGTGTATATATCTTTTTTGGCAGTTTCAATGCATTATATCTGTCTTCCCCCTGTGTCTGTGTGTGTACAGATCCTGTTCTGCACCCTCAACACCCATAAGATCGACATGGACAAGCTGTTGGGGGGTCAGATCGGCTTGGAGGATTTTATCTTCGCTCACATTAAAGGGCTCAAGAAGGAGGTGGAGGTTTATAAATCTGAAGATGCTCTGGGCCTCACCATCACCGACAACGGAGCAGGATACGCTTTCATAAAGGTAAAAAGAAACGGAACTTCTCACCCTGAACACACCAGAATTAACCTTTATTTCACCTCTTAATTCACAGTGGTGTCGAGTTATGTAACATACTAGGTAGACATAAAATGAGAATTAATTGGAACTAACTGAATTGGAAGAAAAGCAACTTTTGTTGAGTTTTTATTGTATTTCTGCTTATTTGGTAAACTTATTGTAATGTAATGTGTACCAGTGGTTAGGGGCTGTCTTAACTTTTATCTTGCTTATTGCAATATGAAATTAAGTCGTATTAAGGGAATTAATATAAGCAGTAAGCTGCGTTTATATCCCCAAAGTAATTTCAACAATGGTGTACTTTTGTTTTCCAAAGTTGTGCAGAAAACAAATCAGGTCAAGACATCTAGTCTGTCTGCCAACAACAATTTTCATTATGAAGCTTTTGATTATTTTTTCAGTTAATTAAATAATAATGAAGGTTACCAGGGCCTGAAGGTAAAGTCTTAAGTTTGCTGATTATGTCTGACCAACGCTTAAAAACACAACCCCATAGGCAGATAATTTACAAGGATATGAGCCACAGGAACACAAAAAAACAACACTAATAAGAAGAAAAGTAATAAAAAAGTAATAAATGTTTGATGTTTTTACACGGCCGTTAATCTAAGAGATGAACTTAGGATCTAACTTGTCATAATCAATCTTCTGTTGTAACTAATCAAATGAAAATAATATTAAAATTTAATAAATTCAAGTTTAATAAGTGAAATATTAAAATGAATCAGCTTCAGAGGATGCTCTTAATAACCTTATTAAAACATCAGTTGGTGAACAGACGTTTTGCACTTTGTTTTCATCCTGTAAAAATAATTCATCTCGGTATGTTGCCTCTGTTGCTGTCGACAGTCTAATGAGCTTATTTGGTCTCAGTCATCTTTTTCTCCACCATAACAAAGTGCTCACATGTGCCATCATGTGATTCCGCAGCAGCACTGCATCCAGTTTACCACACAGTGTTTATTAGAAAGCCTCGGGGTCACTGATGCTGCCGTTGTAGTCTGTGAACTGTTGAAGTTAGTTAGTTGGCCAAGGTTTACTTATTCATTCAAATGTAACCTTTTTGATGCAGAAGAATTAAACTGATTGAACTATTTGCACATCTTAATCTGAATGTATTAAACAACTCGTAGAGTCTCAAGAACATGGATAGTCCAGTCTAATGCAGCTTCTCTGTCACATCTGTTCTGTTTTACACCTTCTCGTGCAGCAAAATAAAGGTCAGGAAGCTTTCACCAGGTCTGTTTGTAGCTCAAGGCTAAAAAAAAACAACCCTGAAATGAATTTAAATGAAAAGGTTTCCTGTTCCTGTGGAGAAAAATGCCCAGGTATTATTCATAATCAAAACCTCTCCAACCCGTACAGTGCAGACTCTCAGCGGTTACATCTGCATCACAAATGTTTTGCTTTTTTTAAAGCTTTTGAAGTCTCGAACAGAAACAAACAGTATTATTTAACTCTCCATGGAAGCAATTTTAATAACTATTTTTGTATTTTTCCAAGTGCAGTGGTAAAACATGATGAAAGAGCAACTCAGTAGACTCAACCTCACTTGTTTGCTCTCTTTTTTGATCCGCATTTGTTTCTTGGACAAACCTTCAAACAAACCCGTGTGGCCACTTCATAAATGTATAATATAACTGTTTTAATTATATTTGTCTAATCTATATTCTCCGGACTCCCCTCCTCTGTCTCTCTCTGGCAGCGTATCAAAGAGGGCAGCGTTGTGGACGGGGTGAAGGTGATCTGCGTGGGCGACCACGTGGAGTGCATTAACGGACGTAACATCGTCGGGACACGGCATTACGAGGTCGCCCGCATGCTTAAAGAGCTGCCCAAAGAAAAGTCCTTCACCCTCAAGCTGGTCGAGCCGATGAAAGCCTTCGGTGAGTGAGACAGGTGCATCCACACATTTTACATAACCTGGCCCAGGTGGTAGACGGACAACAGACTCACCTTCAGGATTCAGTCAGTGGACACATCCAGGCAGAATCTGGTGCTGCAGTGTTTCTCAGCATGGTGGCCAGGACCAAAGGGCACATGAAAAACATTGAAATATGCTTTGAAAAGGTTAAATTATACAGTACCTTGGTTGAACATTGTGGCACTGATTTTACTTCAAGGCTACTAATAGTTTATACAAAGCATAGCTGGTCATTTTTATAATGTTCACTGGTGTTATACGTAGCTTACAAACGTCAGTGTATCGTTGTTTCTTTGAACGCTACACAATAAAGAGCTGGAGCGAGCTATCTACCAGGAATGAAAGTGATGTCTGGTTTGCGATAAACTTGACTTTCTGTAATATTGTTTCTCCTCTGATTGACAGAAATGCTCGAGCCCAGATCAAAGGGTGCCAAACCTGCCAGTGACAACAAGATCGGCACAGGGAGGGGGACTCTGAGACTTCGCGCCAAGGGCCCGGCTACTGTAGAGGAAGAGGTGAGTTTAGATACAGACAGAGGAAGGCACATACTCATCCCTACATTCTCATTCATACATTCACATGTACTGTCAGGGAAGTCTGGAATAATAAATCGCCAGCAGACTCCTCACTGAATCATAAACTCAAAGTTGTTTGTCTTTTATAGCCAACAGAATTTGAGGAGAAGGCCGTAAAGAAAGTGGACGACCTCCTGGAGAGCTACATGGGCATCAGAGACACTGAACTTGGTGAGTATGAATACATATCAACCCGGGAATCAATGCTGGTGTACGTTATTCGCTCGTACTGTGAAAGTGTTGACAGTGAACCAGCAGTGAGAGATCATATTTAAAGTATCATAATAACATTATTATAGTAGTCTTTCTAGAATACATGTATGTAAAGTGATATGAATGTCAGAGGTCTTAAAGAAAGGAGCTGAAATCTTGCATAGTGGTTAGTTTTGACTTGCCACAGTTGATCCTATCTGTGACCTCAGTCTGTATGTTACTGCATGATTAAGTCACATTGCGTTCCCTAAAACAAAACAGTATTTTATCATGCCACTCCGCTCTACTCTGCTGGCCGGAAATATTGGATTTAAACGTTTGTTTTCAAACATTTTGTTGTACAGGGCAGACAGTTGGACACCTGTGAGATCATGAATATGCCACTGAAGATGGATAACAGATAGAGAATAACAGTGTTGTATAGGTTACACTGTGTGCACTGATGTGGCTCAGTATAAGTTTAATTAAGAGATTGGAATTGGCGGGTTCATTGGTTTTATTTGTTTTCTCGCTCCCAGCTCTCTCTCCCTTTCTCATTCATTGTCTATGTACCTTGACCAAACAAACAAAACACAAACCAAAGGAAGCTTCTTGGTATCGCTATTGTGCAGCATTGACTGTAAGCCTAAAGGCCCTACCCCCCTATTCAGTGCCTGATTTTGGCTCTTCAGCCCTTCAGTTATTCAGTAAAGTGTTCCTGCTCTTCTCCCTCCAGCTGCCACGATGGTCGAGGTCGGACGCGACAAGAAGAACCCGGATGAATTCGCCATGGCGTTGGACGAGACCCTCGGAGACTTCGCCTTTCCCGACGAGTTTGTCTTTGACGTCTGGGGGGCCATCGGAGACGCCAAGCAGGGAAGATTTTGAGTTTGCTACTGCCTCACCCAAACACACACACACACACACACACACACACACACACCTCTTTAATATCCTCAGAAGCAAACTGGACAAACTTCCAACCAGCACAAACAGGGGGGGCGGATGAAGTGTTCTTTAGGTGTAGCTTTGACTGTCTTAAAGCGCCGTCTTCAAGTCAAGTGGGTTTACAGAAGGAATTTAAACATGTCAGCGTTTCAGTGTCATCTTGTAAAGATATCTATGAAATGTGGAATGCAGTTTTCAACGCTGGACCTGCCAAGCGAGCGCCGGAGAGCTGGTGAATAATTCCAGATGTTATAATAGTAAAAAATCTATTGCACAGCCTCTGCAGAGACGCGATCGCAAACGATGTAGCCGCACGACGCCGTTTCTTCTGCGAGAACAGCAAACGTAGTAGACAGTGGTCTTATTACACTGGTTATGAAATGTGCACAACTTTTAAATTAAAAAAAAAAAAACAATCACTCAGTTTTAATCACAATTTATAGCTGTGTCGTTTTATTTTGAATATACAGATTTATCACACAGCTTTTTATAGGCTTTTTTTTTATATGTGAAAAAGCGTTGCTGATTTTACAGCGGCAGCATTGTGTAATTAGTGTTATTATAGTGATCGTAGCAATATTTCTCTGTCAGGCAACCTTTATTTCCCCTTCCCGTCTTTTAAAATCCTTTAAAATGACCTCACGGTGGAAAGACGGTGGAGCTTTTGGCCATGTTCACATCGCTAATGTTCGTTTACTTTGTGATTTTGTTTTTATGTTTTCTTTAAAACTCTTCTGTGTCCTTCCACATGTCAGCTTGAGCCTTTCGTACTTCTGGCAGAGACTGAGCAATACAGAGGGGTTTTTTTAATCTTTAAATGCCTTTAGCAAAGTTTGACACACATTCCACCAACATTCCTTATGTTTTATCATGTCGTTATAGTCCGTTAGCACTGGTTACACGTCATGAAATCAGGCTTATTTAGAAAAGCACGCTTGTTTTTTTTCCCTGTAATTTATTTTATCATGAAAATCATATGCTGTACGACCTTTTTCACGCTGAGACGTGGCTCAGTATGAAAGAAATAAGCCATTATTTGAAGGCTGCGTCTGGAATGGGATCAATTGCAATCCAATGTCTTAAATAAATGCACTCGCATTAATGCTAACTGCACTATTTAAAATCACTGTCAAACTGAATTTAAATAGCGACTTGATTTGTGTCATCTACTGATGTTTAACTGTCTGCAGCAGTTGCATATTGTTTGACAAACCATAAGGGATCACTATTGTTGGATAGACAATAAAATTTGATATACTGTTATTACAGCTGTGTCCTGAATGCATCTGATTAACACAAATGACTCAGTACAACAAACTTTATTTGCACACTTGGCTGTGTACATGTATAAAATACATCAAGACACTGAACCAATGTTTTCATCCCCTCATTCACAGAGTTTAACAAGTAAGAAAGAAAGAGAGAGAGAAAGAAAGAACCGAGTAGTGTCACTTCACAAGCAGCAAAACAAACTCCGTACAGGAAAAAAGAACATTATGTAGATATAGCTATTACCATTAGGTACACATAATTTGGCAGGATTAAATGAACATTATTTTAAAGACTGTGGATAAGAGAAATCAGAAGTACAGAGCCCATGTTGTAGTTCATGGTAAATATCGTCACAGGTATAATTAACATACTGTAGAGGATTTTTGGAAGCACGTCGCTGAAGGTGTTAAAATATTTATCTTGACTAATATGAAGTACTCTATCATTGCTGTTAGAGAGGGTGGGGTGGGGGGGGATGGACATAACTATTGGTTAAAATGAATAACAGTTAAACTTGGCTAGATTGAGTTAGTTATATCCTCTACAGACAGTAAGTACAGTACATGGCGTTTAATTAACAGTAGATTACAAAATACAGGTGTAATAAAACGAAGACAATGACAGGACAAAAAGCACAGACACCTTTTGAGTGGTTGTTTTTGTACAATGAGACGGACCCGACTGTCTAAAGTGTGAGTATAAATAGTGAAAAGGGTTGTTTGGGGATGTCACTGGGTGCTCTGAAGCTCAGGCTCAGGTAGAGGAAGTGTGTAGCCCTTACAGCCTGATGCCCGTTTCTGCCTCCTCACAGCTCGTCTCCGGTGTGACCCTGCTTGAAGGCGTCGCCCGTCAGCTTCTCCTGCGCCTCCTTCATACCGGACACAACTGAGCAGGAGTACACAAAGTACACACCATGTTTATCCGTTTTAAAAAGATATAATATGTAACATTTCCTGCATCAAATTGCCTATAAACACGACACCTTTGTGATATATTTTGTCGAGTTGTGTCCTAAAATGATCCCAAGTGTTTCCAACAATGTTCAAACCCAGAGACTTTAAGAGCCAGCAGTTAAAATCACTTTGTAACACGATATTTTCCACACCTAAACGATGACAATCTGGACTGTTACCTTGTTCCGCGCTGCTGTAGAAGTACTTGTAGTTTGGATTTCCGTTCCTGTTGGTGATTTCAGGATGGACTTTGCCGCTGGGATCTGGGGGGTGGGTGGGTTAAGAAGGGTCAGATAACAAAGGTTTGGTCAGTGCAAATAAAAGTTAAAATACAAACAATATAAAGGCTGCAACAAGCAGCAACAATTATTCTCTCAATTGATTATTTAGTCAATAAATGAATGTCTGAAAACTGTGAAAAATGCTCCCAAAGCCCAGTTTTAAATCATCAAATTGCTTGTTTTTAACCAAAAGTCCAAAATGTAATTAATTGATTATTATAGAAGACTAAGAAAGGCTGCAAATATTATCATTATTATTATTAAATATTAGCATTTGAACATTGGGAACAAGGCACTTTTGCTCTTCTGCTAACTAACAGATGAATTAACTCAAGCAATCGTTTCAGCTTTAAAACTACATTCGTTATACTTCAGTTGTAACATGGAACTATTAAAAATGTATTAAAGCACTTTTAACATTAATATTTTACACGGAGGAATAATGTTCCTGTGATTTGTTCCTTTAATCTTTCCTGCTCCCATGTTTTATTCAACGTAAAGGTGATATTTAACATCCATTAATCTGAGGTTGACTGTTTCTACCTGCTGTTTATTCTTCTGTCAAACACCTGTAAACATCTGGGTTGTGTCTGTTTTATGAGGATTTTTAAGTTTATTTACGATTCATGAAATTAAAAATGCTACGTTTTTGTCCGTTTTCACTGAACTGCCACTGAAACTTTATCAGGCGCTGCATGTTATTCAAGAGTCACTGTGCTATCAGTGATCCCACAAAGTGTTTACACGAGGGAGGACTCAACCCCCTTCGTACCAAGGAAAAGAATCCGAGGAATGTAGCCGCCATCGGGGCTGAAGGCTTCATCCTTTGGCTCCTCTTCATCCTGTTCAAATAAAGAGATAACGTATCATTTACAAGCCTCCCTTCACTAAATCTCACCCACCTCATATATGTGTTTATATGTTAGAGTAGAGCTACTGTAAAACACACAATGAGTGTATGAGAAAGTAATCTCATCTCTACAATTACACATTTAATTTAAAAATGAACCCTGATAGATTAATTGAATCTTTCTCACCTCCAGGTTGATCATAACGAAGTTGTGTGCGAGTTCAGAGATGTCCTTTGACTCGGCGAATTTGGGCTTCAGTGCTGATGTAAAATACAGTGGAAACATTAGCTCGTGCATCAAAACCAGGACAAACATACATATTGATTATTATCACAATACAGTGCTGCAGTCACAGAGTCAGACCCAACCTATTACAACAACAACCAGCTTTAATAATAATATAATGGAGCATGTAGGACAGATCTACTAATGTTTACTCATCTGCATATGATATTGTTTCTGTCTAATTAGAAGGGATGTCTCACTTTTAAAAGTGGATGTAATTGTAGAAGCCTGTAGATCTGTTTTATCATTAAAGTTACTGTCCAGTTGCTTTAAGTCGGACGTAAATCACCCCGGTGTCAGCTCACTAATCTACAGAATACTTTTATCAAGCTAAAACATTACAAGACTGTTGGCTATCTTGTCCCCGAGTGTTTGCACAGTCCAGACGACTCATTTACCTTCTTTCAAGGTCAATTAAAGACACTCTGACATGTCAGTTGTTAATGTTATTAGTAAAATGTCTGCTGTGTTTGAAGGTGTAACTAACTGTAGGTTTAAAGCGTAAATTACTTCTCTCGGGAAATGTTTTCGACTTTATTGACTCTGAATATGAGAATGATTTGGTTGACTGAAGCTACTGAATCACCAAGTTGAACCCAGGCGAGCCTCTTTTTCCAGACAGGGAATACGTAACATAACAGGCTGAATGCATTTGTTAATGTCTTCTTATCAATGTATTCAAAAATGACAGCAGAGTTCCTGACCTTAAGTCTTTAAAGTGAAAAGGGGACATTGTTTTACCTTTGCAGGCTCCACACCAGCTCTTATGGATGATGAGCATGATTGGCAGTCCGCTGTCAGTGCAAACAAATGGAAAAATTAGAGTTTGTATGTATTTAATGTTTGAAAAACACATTTAGTAAAAGCTACGTGTCCGTCTGCTCCGGTCATTAGTGGACACGTGGACGTAGAGGAATTCCTTAATAGCGGGTTTTAGGTTGTACAAAAGGTTACAGGAAGTGTGAACTCACCTTGCCTCTGCTTCCTTTTTGCCATCATCCAGCGTCCTCCAGTGGATGTTATCACCAAACCCTGTGTGTGTGTGTGTGTGTGTGTGTGTGTGAGAGAGAGGGGGGGGGGAGAAACATTAATGAGCACACCAGCATTGTGTAACCGGTATTATATTCCTACAACAGGGTGGGTCTGCCCTAAATACACTTTCAATACAAAAGAACTGTGAGGAAACTCTCCGAACACGAATGAATGGTGGTAATTTAATATCAGGCTGCAGGGAAATATCGACTGTAACTACTTATAGGAACTAATATGTAGGTTTATATGGTGGCGGGGGGGGGGGACAAGTAATCAATACAGTATATTGTGATGTGTCCTCTCGTCATACTGAGGCTGCTTTCTATCAGTTTGTTGTCTTTCTGTATGTGGCTTTTTTATTTTTTTTTTGGGTAACATTTCCCGCTGTACACTTTATATTATGTGAAATCTATTTCTGTATAAAAAATAAACATAAATTCAACAGAAGCTTGTGTAGAAGATTTAAATAATGACCTTCATAGTTCCAGCTTTAATACACTATATGAGTAAAGGGTGGAAACGTGTGTTGTTGTCCAGGGTACGGACATATTTAGGTGTCAATAAAGCACATTGACATTGTCAGTATGTGTGTCTGACTTAAAGTTAATCTCAAAAGCTGTTAAACTGTAAAGAAGTTCATAATTTAGCCGATTTCCCTCTTTTAATTAAACACATCACGTTGTATCGCTGATCATCTTGTACTTAACTGTGTATTATCTCTCATGATCCCTGTGTTATTAACACATACTGACTAAGGTGTTATGAATTACTGTATGATTTCTATTTCTACTTCACAACAGTTTAAATATAGTGCAGTAAAAACAACATGTACACCCCTTGAGGTCAGTGTGAGACCTAATTAATGTAAAATATATACATTTTTCCATCTTTTGTTCATTGGGGCTTGGTGGGAAATATTTTATCTGCTTTCCATATGATCACAGCTGTGGGTACAAAATGTACCAACCACAGCAATGTGCCAACATAAAGCTGCTTAAACATCTCTTCATTTTTTATCATATTTCCTCTTTACAGTGTGATTAAAACAGTTTATACTAATTGTTTCCCAACATATTTCCATCAATGCTTCAATGGTTGTAATTTGAAATGAGTTGTAAATGAGTTGTGACCTGCAGCCTTAATTCTTGCATGCATATTTAAATATTTATATACAAAATGTACATTTCTGATTCATTATGAATATTAAAAATCATACAAATTAAACATTAAACTCGTATAAAACTGTGTGTGTGTGTGTGTACAGTGGTGTTGGAAGGAAGTGGGTCAACCAGAATAAACTAAGTTCAGACTCACTATGACAATATGAACACCTGGGTCGTCCTCATTAAACTAGTCCAGGACCCGGACTCTGTGATCCGGGCTGCTCTGCACACAATCAATGACCGAGCTCACACCAGCGCTCCTTGCTCTGCTTTGTTTATTATCCACCCGAAATATGAACTCACCCTTCCCGCTGGCGGCCTCGACAACCTCCCGAAAACACGTCAACGAGAATAAAACTTGGACAGTAGAAAATAAAGCGATATTAACGAGAGACTTTTGCATTTTGACTTCTTGCTCCACAGCTAACAGGCTAACAGGCTAATGGCAGTGACTTGTTCGTGAGCCAGGGACCCCGGAAGCTCAACCGTTACATTTCACAATAAAAGCACGCCGAATGTAAAAAAAAAAAAAAAAAAAAGTCGTGAGTTGTGTGCGGGCGTGCGCGCGCATCGTCGCCTCCGCCCTCTTCCTCCCATTGGTCGGCGGTGAGTCATTTTCGTGACGTCACATCCACACAACCGCGTGCTCCGGTCGGCGGCGCGCCACTGGTCAAGTTAGACGGCGGAATGTGAGCGACGAGACCGGAAGTTGACGTAAAATACAAGTATAAAAGACATAAAATAATGTTTTAAGTTAATAAATACGGGTGTTTTACGCCATAAATCCCACTTTAATATATTATAACTTTTATATTTTCTGCTTCGCCTTTATCACATTCTCTGTATATGCCATAAATGTACCGTTTTGTTGTTGCTGGTGATTTTATTGTGTTAAATCTACAAAGGAAGTAGCTCTTAATGCTGCTGCTTGACGGTTAAAGCTGCACCGCTTCGGCTTCATTAGCAGCGACAATACTTCACCGGACTGTCACCTAATTCCTCTCCAAAGGTAAAAAAACAGCTCGTTTTGTGGCTAAAATTGGAGCTGATTAGTTTTATTGTCTGATTTAAAGTTGACGTTGGCGGTTCGCCTCACCAAATACTGAACGGAAGTTGGTTTTTAATCTTGTTTCTGCCGCCGCTATGCTAACATTAGCTAAGTCAGTTAGCAACCGGACTGTTAGCCAGCTACAGTTACAGTTAGACATTAAAGTGTGATTTTCTTCTAAGAGTTGGCTCCAGATAGTGCTCTTTCAACCTAATCGATCTATCTGTTTATCTCCGTCAGTGTGGCTGCAGCATATAACTGTCAGCTAATCTGTTAGCACTGCAGCTAGCTCAGTGCTAATGTGTGGAAATGAGGATTTTTGTAAACTTTGTCTTTTTCAACCAGAAACAACATGTGCTCCCTTTTAACTGCTGGTTGTTTTATGAGCTGTGGAAACCTGCATTTATCTGTCAAATTCCTCATATATAATAATAATAATAATATATATGTGTGAATAACCTGATGTAATAATGTTAAATGTGTGTTTTTTTTATTTATTTATTTACAAACAGAAACACTATGAATCAAGAGAAGCTTGCCAAACTCCAGGCACAAGTCCGGATAGGTGGAAAGGTACAGTCTGCTACAGCTTTATGGTTGTACTGTTAAACCTAGTGTGTTGTGTTAACACTACAATGGGGGACAGAAGTTAAATGCCCAGTGTTGAAATCTCATTCAGGGCTTTTGAGTTTTGTCCTGTCGTTGGCTCGGTTGTTGCTCATTTTAAGGAGTGTGATGGCATCCAGCATCTGCCAGGTCTTTCCTCCTGACCTCAGCATTCCCTTTATATGGGGGGGGAGAGGGAGAGAGAGCATTGGCCCCTTCATCTGTGGCCTCTGTGGCTTTGTTCACATTGATTGTGAGGTCTTCAGCCAAACACTAGGTGGCGTTATATGTTATTTTTGCCCCTTTTCAGGCTGCAGCACATTGATATTCTCACATACAAGCACATTTACTTTTGTATCTTACCAGGAATAAGAAGATGTGTTCCACACTGTCGCTGTTTGCTATTGAGAGGCTGGTGAATTTGAACATTTATCTGTCAGTGGCTGGTTAATTTCCCATCCTGGTTCAGATTTAAGGAAACTGGACCAATTGGAAACAGCAAAAATAACTTCTTCTTTGTTGTAGATGGCCTTTTATAATTCCCCAAATACTAATAAAAGATTTAAAACTCATATTACTTAAATGAAGCAATGTCAGTTGGACTTTTAGGGAATCACTTCCCGTTTTATGTGGACAGTATTTAGCTTACTGTTGCATGTGGAGCACTTACTTTTTTTTTTCACTGTCAGATCCAAGTGTTGCTTCCTTCACTGTTTTTCATTGAAGTAGACTAATGGATGGTAATTGTACATAGTTTTGGTAAAAGTACGTTGCTTTAAGTCAAATAAATTACTTTAAAAATCCTAAAAGTAGCAGAAGTTATTTGTTTTAACGAATTCTAGTCTTATGTTTTGGTTAAATTAGTGACTGTGTTCAAGTTGGAATGGAAAAATTGTCCCATATACATAAAAAAAAAAAGTCTGCCGTGACCCCGGTGGTGTTGAACTGTATCTAATCCTTTTTTTGGCTTCCTCACCTGTTCTCTCCTCAAACAGGGAACAGCCCGCAGGAAGAAAAAGGTTGTTCACAAAACTGCAACAGCTGATGACAAGAAACTCCAGGGCTCTCTGAAGAAACTGGCAGTGAACAACATTGCGGGGATAGAAGAGGTGAGCTATCAAAGGAAAAACTAATGTCAGTGTTTTACTGACAAAAAGCTTTTTTCCAACCTTGTCATCTGGTTTATTTTTAGAGCACTTTTATCTAACAAGCTCCCACAAAGTGTTTCAAATGAATCAAAGCTCGAAATACAGATACGGTTGAGGATAAGACACTAACCTGATGCACACAAGTTTGTCTCATTCATTCATGTTGTGGCTCAATTTACTCTTTACATTTTACAGTGAATTATTAAAATTGTTATTATTTTCACTGCAAATTAGACCGAGATTCTAATTTAAGCCACTTTTAACCTGTTAAACGTTTATTTTAGGGAGTTTTTTATAATCCAAAGACGGTTTCATATGCTGTAAAGCCCTTTTTTAAGGCAGTTTTCTCAAGGTTGTTGACTTTTATGCTGTTAAAATTGATGCACAGCTGTGTTTTCCATGTCAGTTTACTCCTTTTTTTTGTTGATTATTTGTAATTTTCTTACTTTTGTACTCACCTTGTATCTGACACAGACACCAGAAATAATTCAGCTGTTAAAACATAAAGTACTACCAACTCTTGTCTCGTGCAGAATCTTGTGTCTCTTGTGTTTTTTTGGCTCCAAGTCGTGACTGTATATATATATATTTATATATTTTTTTTTTTTCACTTTCTCAGGTGAATATGATTAAAGACGATGGGACGGTGATCCACTTCAACAACCCCAAAGTGCAGGCGTCTCTGTCTGCCAACACCTTCGCCATCACCGGCCACGCCGAGACCAAGCAGCTGACAGAGATGCTGCCAGGCATCCTGAGCCAGCTGGGAGCCGACAGCCTCAGCAGCCTGCGCAAGTTGGCCGAGCAGTTCCCACGGCAATGTGAGTACGCACACACACACACGCTCAAACATTCACAATGTCAGGGGTTCTCTGTGGTTGTGTAATATCGGGGTTTATAATTAGTAGTAGAAGTAGAAGGAAGAGTGCTGGAGTAAGTGACCGCCTTCCAATCACAGGACCAGAGTTCAGGTCTCCATGTTGGCAAACAATACACCCTGCTGACATATAAATGACCCGGACATTAAAGTCATAGTTGAACTCGCCTGAAACAGAAACACAGCTGAATATCAGGGATCCCACGTGTCCTGGAAAGCCAGGATAGTTTTCCAGTCATGGAAACACCTGGAAAGTGATTCAAATGACGAGATATTATAGATTTTTGTTGAATTTTCGCCTCTCACTCAGATCGCTTTCTTAAACCTAGGCACATATTTTGTTTAAACCTCAACAGACACGAAGTGGGTTAACCAGACGTGAAGCAGAATGGAGAGTTTTAAACACTGCATTTTCATTTAGGCCACGTCAGTCAATCGAGCTGCTCACACCAGACGCAAAGTGGAACAGACTCGCTTCGATCTTTTCGGTTTCATAATGAACCTGAGACACTCCATTGTTAAAAAAGGAGGCATAAAACTGGACTTAAAGTCAATGATAGCAGTAAATTATGACCGTTCGTAAGTGTTGTCATGAATTGTCAAACTCCAGGAAAGTTATTTCTTAGAGTGGGAACCCTGAATTCTGGCTTTAACATATCAGTGACAGGTTTGTGCAGCAGTGTTTTGTTTAGAGAGATTTAAATCTGTGAATGTGACTTAGAGGAACTGGTTATAGCAACAACAGAGCTGAAGAGAACAAGGACTGTGAGGAAAGAGCAAAAACCGAGACTGATTTTTCTCATAAAGGTGCAGACATCCAGCTCACCCTCTGAGCGTCTAGATGATTGACTTTGAAGCAGTTGATTTTACTGCTTGTTTGCACGTAGATGGAAATAAAGTCAGTGAAGCAAACACAGGAAATAGGAGCAGCTTTCCCACATGGCAACACAACTAAATCATGTGATATTGTTGCACAGTGAAAGCTGATACGCGGATGATTCAACCACTAAAACGTAGCCACACTACAAAAGTTAAAAAGGCAAATTTAATGGAATTTCACAATAAGATTTTAAACACTGGGACACAATTTTACTTTGGCTCATTTTTAACTCAACTAACTGATTCACTCATTCTTTAAACATTTTGCAGCAATGGACATGAAAGCAGTGAAGGAGGAAATTGCAGAAGAGGAGGACGACGATGTACCAGGTAAAGAGTTTATAAAAGTGTTCTTCATCTGGGTTTATAGTAAAACCGTCACCATTTTATAGATCATTTAAGAGTTTATTTACACTGATACACTAACAAAATCTTGATGTTCTCCTTTTGTTGTCTTTACAGATCTTGTGGAGAACTTTGATGAAGCCTCAAAGAACGAAGCAAACTGATGAATCCTCTTTTTTTTTTTTTTTCCCCTCCGTCAACCGTTTTATTTTTTACCTCCTTACGGACTCACAAAGGGCATTTTTCTCTTGTGGGGGAAACGGTTAAAGGTGCAGTGCATCATCTCCGGAGACGTGAACCACTTCGGTTTAGCCTGCCTCAACAACAACAACAACAACAACAACAACAACAACATGCAGAATACAGTAGGTTTTGATTTCAGGAGGCCGTGGACACGCCGAGAAATAAGGAATCAAAACTACTTTAGACATAAGCTTTCTACATGGTTAAACATGGCTAGTATTTAAGAGATTGTATATTAAATTACAGTTAAAGTGAATTAAGAAATCACTTTACATTATAGTGGTGATTTATGAATTTAATAAAACAGTTTTGGGCTATCGATGCTTCTCTTTATTACTTGACTTTTTGACTTCTGCATGTTTGAGTTGGTGTTTGAGGCCTTTTTATATGTGAAGTATTTGTTCTGATTCACTCATTTTCTAAATAGAATAAACAGTTAATCTTATAAAAAGCTCCACGCGGGAGGCCTCTTCCTTTACGCTTCCTTGAATTCATAGATATCTGAGCTGTTATGTAACACTGGACAAACTTTATTTAGTTAAATCTCAAAAGAATATTTAAATTTGTATCACTTAGATAAATGTACTAATTGATTATGTTATAATCTATGAAAAATTTGCCCCAGAGCTGAATGAATTCAAATGATCAATCAACAGTGGAAGAAGAACAAGAAACAGAACAATGTATACTACATATAACTATAAAGTCTCTATAATAAGTAAAAGTCCTGCATTCAAAATTTAACATACAGTATTATAAAAAAGTACTTCTGTTATTATATATTTTGTTATTAAAGGGAGCTCATTTTAACTATATTTTATTTGACTATTTGTTTTAAGTATTATATACTGTTGAGTAGTTTTAATATAAGGCTGTGTTTAAAATTGGATGTTCTAATCATAAGTTTTGTTTGATAAAAGTAAGAAAAGTAAACATGAACTACAGCTGTCAAATAAATGTATAAATATAGTGGAGGACAAGTAAAGTAGCACAACACTAGAGTAAATATTTCCCACCACTGTAAATCAGTTTTCATTTATCAAGTAAAAATGTCACTTACGATGCAACCTCACAGAAAGTGATGGATTTCTTTGTATTTTCTTTCTTTCTTTTGCTATTTTATGAAGTAATTATGAATCAATAATGAAAATAACTGTTAATATTGACCTTCATTGTCATCACTGACAGTTGTAAATAGGGGGGGGTTAACAGAGTTTGGGTGGGTTGCACACATCACCAACATCACATCCCGTTTCATTGATCACCTCTGACGCTCCTCTGCTGCATCGTGCTGATCGATGGGGCCGCAGCTGTTCAGCGGGAGAGGTCTGACAAGGTTACCGGACAGGAGTGGGCCATTTTGGCTCAAGTGTGTCTGTACCGTGAGCGGGACGGAGCTGCGGACCCGCCCCAGGGTTGGGTTTGGGGGGGTAGAGGGGGGGGGACTCATCGCACCACCTTCAGCCCGGGTTGGAGCCAAAATGTCCCTCCTGCTCCTCCTGCTCCTCCTGCTGCTGCGGCTGGACCACAGTGCGGGAGCTGGATGGAGCTGAACCGCTTCACAGCTGCTGCGGGAAGAGAGACGGTGACAGCCGCATTACAACCGGAAACTGTGTGCTGTCACCTTGGAAATAAGAGCTCATAACACTTCTATTAAAAACATAATGAAAATAAAGCTTTTAAATGCTGGTGGTAGATTGTGGAGCATAGGCCATATTTATTCTAGTACTGTACTTGGTTACAGTTATGAGGTAACCTTGTTACTTTATGTTATGTTACTAAGTTTGCAGTTTCCTCTCCAGGCTTGTGTAATTTGGCCATAGTTGGCTTTCAAAGTATTAATTGTTATGTCATAAAATCATCTTGCATGTGGATGCATGTCTTAAAGTCAGAATTAAAGGTGTCCCTTTGGTGCGTGTCATCCCCTATATATTATAATATTATTTATTCTACACACCATGCTTGTATACAGTAATCTGTGAACTTATCTCTGTACAATGTTCCATCAATCATTCATATCTTTATATAAAATGGGTATATGTATAGTGTACATCAGACTCCACCACAGCACCCAGTACCTCCAACCCCCGCTGATTAAGACAGGTTTAACTTTAAACAAACGACGCACTAACTATTTGCACAAACTATTATCTTTAAATTATAGTCTCATAGTTTCTATTATATTATATAATGTTCTTATTTTGTGATTCTTTGTTGTTCTTTTTGCACTACATTCGCCTATGCTGCTGTGTCTGATTTGAATTTCTCCTACGGGGGATAAATAGAGGGAACACCTTATCTTATATAAAAATATGTATATGTATTTTCTTATCTATTGTGTTAGGATAAGATAAGATGTACCTTTATTGATCCCCCATAGGAGAAATTTGACACGGCATGGGGGAATGTTGTGCAAAAGAGAGTACAGAAGTGGAAGTACAATAAGATATAATAGAAAATATATACACTACTCACAAAAAGTTAGGGATATTCCACTTTCGGGTGAAATTTATGGAAAATGTAAAAAGTTGATGCTACAGTGATATTATATCATGAAAGTAGGGCATTTAAGTAGGTCAAATTAAAATCACCTGGAAAGGTTATAGTGCATTTTATGTTCATCCGAAAGCCGAATATCCCTAACTTTTTGTGAGTAGTGTATATATATATATATATTTATCTCTTTAACAGCTGAAACAATTTCCCCACATACAGCACAAATCCAAAAGAGTTTTATTTTGAAATCCACACCCGGTTACAAGAGACGCCCATTTTGGTTGCCTTGACGTTGCTCCTTATTTTCCCCAATATTAAAACCTTTGTGGGGGGTTGTGGTTGTGGTAGTGGGGGGAGAGAGAGAGAGAGAGACCCTACGGTAGACTACAGGCTGTACTTTCAGACTCACGCTGCTGTGAGTTGAGCAGTTAGGAGGGTCGACAGGAGGATACTCAGAAATAGCTCCCCCCCGACCGACCAATGCGATTATCTGTGGCGGATACTGACCGGAGGGGCTCTGCGTAAAGATGAGGATTCCTCCGGTGAGTGTTAACTGACATTTGTTTATTTATTTTAATGACATTTCACACACAGGTCCGTAACGTTACCTAAACCCCCCCTTCCTCCTCCTCCTCCTCCTCCTCTATTTTATTTTATTTTTTTAAATCGTTTAACTCTGAAGTCGTGGCGGTTGGTTGTTTTTTTTTTTTTAACGGTTAGCTCGAGCGCGAGAGAGAGACGTTGTTACCGTAACAGTATTTTACGTTAATTACACAACACGGTTTAATGTTTGCACTACGAGCGGTATCAGTGCGGCGGGAGGCGGTAATATACTACATAGTGACTATAAGAAAGAGAGTTAAAACAACGGAGGAGGAGGCGGTTTTTAAATTTATTTTAAATTCCTTTTTTATAACCGTTAAAAAAAAAAAAAAAACTGGCCGTTAGCCCCACGGAGCTCCACCGAGTCAGCGGCGGTGTGAGTGTCCGTCAGAGCAGCGAGTCGCTGCCGTCACTCCGAGCACGACTACCCGCTGAACCGATGGAGCGAATACTAGCTACTTCATACCTCATGCTGCTATTACACAGCGGTATCATTGAGTGTCCGATCGCTTCTTCTAGCACCTTGTTCACTCAACTTGGTGATTTTTTTTGTGTGTGTGTGTGTGTGTGTAGTAACTTACTCTTGGCCTTTCACACGGGTGTGTTGTTATTTTTATTTATTTTTTAGGTGGTGGTGTGGACGTTAAATCCGAAGCTAGCAGCCCCAGCTAATGCACTGCCTCCCCAAGTTCTGGTGCAAACAAACCCTCAGCTGATTTCTGTAGCTGCTCAGCGTTTAACCCACTGCGTTTAAATAACACAGAGTAGTTTCCATGTGTTTACCCGGGCTACCTGTGAATAATATTTACCATCTGAGGCTGTGTTTGGCCTGCAGGCAGCAGGCAGCAGCCACAGTGCCACTTATGGTTGCATAATCCACGCTAATGGTCATCTGTCTGCTCTTGAAAGTTGGAGGTTTTGGTTGATGTCTTTTGCATTTGCCTCATCATTTGGTTGTTGTTGTTGCTGTTCTTTTTTTTTTTTTTTTTTTAAGGGCCTTTTAGCAAAAGCTCAAAGGAGGTGGATTTATGAAGAGGTGGGGCCCATACCGGTGCCACCTTGAATAGTCATCTTAGTGAGGAATTTGTGATGAAGAGAAAGCCAGATAAGATTACATCTGAGTGTATTTTCCCCACTAAATCAGAGTAACGTTCACATTACTGGAAAGGCTTCGGCTTCACAGTGCATCATCTTCCTGTCTGATCTTACTTGGCGTGTGTCCAGCTTGGTGCTGGATGTGAAACAGGACGTGTGATCAGGTTTTTTACCTGTAGCAGGAGGGTATGATACCTCATTACATCTTCAGGTAGTATTAAAACCCAGAGGAGAGAGAGAGAGAGAGGGGGGGCGGGGGGACGTCTGATCCAACAGGCTCCCATGCAAAGACGAGCTCTCATGTGTGCAGAGACTTCCCAGATGTAGGTTACTGTACGCTTTCAGAAAGTATTAGTCTCTCCCTGATGGCAGCCCAGCAGCCTTTTGCTGTTTTTTTTTGTCTGTCTTGTGGTGGGTAAATGTAGATCAAAACATAAGGGAGAAAAGAAGATCATAATAGCTTTTGACACTTGCTGTGAAGCAGAGCAGCTCTGTAACAGGAGGACAGCTACTCTCTGCTTTACCTTTCCTTCTCAACAGATTTACCTCTTCGACTCCTCTTGTCAGAGAAATTATCTTTTGTTTTTACATTATTTGAGTGAGTGTGACCCTTTTTTGTTTTGGAGGATACAAACCTGTGGCGTTTTGTTCTTTCATGTGTTTTGCTTTTATTTCTTAAATCTCTAGCAGCACTTGGAAATACTTTACTTGGAGGAGGATGGACAACTCCCAGAGTCCTCCCAGAGTCAGGGCGTTTAACGTTACATAATAATGTGTCACTCAGTCATGCGATCATGTTATTAGAAAGTGATGTCAGTCCATTCTTAAAGAGAGGAAGTGATCATTTGGAGGTTTCCTGTGTTCACGCCAAGTAGACGGCGTCTGGAGCACGGGTATGGATCTAAAAGCGGGGTTTGTCAGGATGTGAGCTTGCAGCACTGGGAATGTTTGTACCTCCGGAGAAAGAGGGGGGGAGAAAAAAAAAAAGAAAAGTACAAAAACGTCTGTTTACAAGGTGCAACGCGTTATTACTTTCATAAAGAGAACTTAAAGATAAAGTGGGTTTCCCCTCATCAAAAATCCCCCAATGAGTTATGCAGCTGTTTTTAAATGTCGGATTCCAACTAACTGTAACTTTTTATTTCTTTTGATTCAATCACTTTGTCTATAAAATGTCAAAGTAGAGGAAAATGTCTATTATAATTTTCCAGAGCTCAAGGCGATATACTCAAGTTGCTTTATTTGACCAACACTTCAAAACAGGCCTGCAACTAACAGTTATTTTCATTATTGATTAATCTGCCTGCTGTTTTCTCAATTAATTTAATAATAATTTAATAAAGATTTAAACTTACTGTCACATGTGACAAAGAAAAGCATCAGATACATTACACAGTTATTATTAGATATACATTAAACAGTTTAATCGTTGAAACCAGAGAATATTTAACCTTTTTGCAGTTAACCGATTAACTGTTGCAGCTGTAGTCCAAAACTAAAATATACTCAGTTTACTGTCGTATGTGTCATATTTGAGATGCTTGAACTAGCAAATATTTGGATCTGAAACGATACTTTATCAATTAAATCACTTCAGCTCTATTTCGATTAGCCATTGTACGAGCTGTCTATATGTTAACAAATGTGTACAACAACACACTGAGAAAAATAACCTATTTCTAACCTATTCCTTCGTCTCTCACGCCGTTAAGTTCGCGGCCAGTAAGTAGAACACTTGACTCGTTCTGAGCTTTGACGCACAATCGCAACAACTGTTAGCAAAAAAAGACCTAGTTGCTCCTGATAAAGACTCGTAACTTGTAACTTACAGCGTTCGAGTGCTGACTGAAGGACACCTAAGTGTTGTAAAATAAAGAATACAGTGATGTCCCCCCCCATGCACTAAATCAGCCTATAGTAGGCCTCCAAAGGTTATACGTCAGGGCTGCATGACACCATTCATCATGGTTTAATGCACAGCTTGACTTGATTAATCTCTTTGAAACCCTCCTCCTCATCACTCATTGTAACATATGCTTCAAATGTTAGACGAGACTTTTATTTATATTATTTACAGTAAATACAAAACACAAAAGTTAATTTCTCGACACTGGGATCAGTATATTGTGACATAACGACACAATGAATCACACTTAATGTCCACTTTCTTTTTGAGCTGTCGACCACATCTAATGGTCTTCATCATGTCGTAGCATCTGATTCAGTTTCTGTTTCTATTTGATAAAATGGACGTCGTCTCAACATCAATATGAATTAGTGTTATGCCGAAGCTTTTAGAGAAACTGGCAAAGATTTATAAAGTATTTCCATTATAATAATTATTGAACTTTTATAGGTGTGGTTTATGTACATTTGGAAAATTGTTCATTTTATTGTATTCACAATGTCGGGGAACTTGATGACCTGAACTTGTTTGTTTTGTGGTTTATATTAGCTGTTCTCTGGTTATACAATATATATTGTTTATGGTACAAAGCTAATATTTATCTCTAAATGTGTTCAAGAATTCACATACAGTTCAAATATAGTTACACTTGAATACAGACAGGTACAGACAGACGTGTTTTTCTAGTGTTAGCTGGCTAATGTTTCCTCTGACGCAGTGACATTAAATGTTTATTTTTTAAACTAAAACCGATGAGGGAGACAACCCTACACAAATAAAAGCTCCAAAATGTGTGTGGAGGAAGTAGCTACGACCCTGAATACTTTAAATCAGTATTCATAATGGCAGGCAGGGAAATCTCATCACAACCTAGTTTATTTTATTTGTCAGCTTAGGCTTTTTCCCCTCATTTTATTTGGGAGTTTTGAACAATTAGTAGTGGGCCTTAAGCTCCAGAAGGTTGAGAACCTCTGGTTTATATCGGTCTGTATTTACCAAACAGATTTTCTTGCCTATTATCTGTGTTGCCTCTGTATGCCATCAATTGGTGACTCTTAACCGGGTTATGCTACTTCATGCGCTCTCTTAAATACTTAAGGAGCTGAGACCGAGTCTGAACACTTAGGAACATTTATGCAAGACATTTATTCTTAATTTTCAAGACGAAGTCTAAGGCCACTCTCAGAATTTAGTCGTATTTAAGACAGAAATCATACCCCTGAATGGCTTTTTATGCATATTGGCCCAGCTTTTATGATGTATTTTGACTGTCACAGCAAGAAAAGCACAGGTGCAATTAATAAGATTAATGATGACGCAGCATGTACACTCCCTGGTAACTTTACACTTGTATGCCATTTTCTTGCTGTGACATATAAAAATGTATGCTGTGAGAAGGGCCTACGTTGCAAGTTGACCTCAGAAAATAATCATTAAAAACTAGAAACCACAAAAAAAAAAAGATTATTAAAGGAAAACATCCTAAAATAGAGAAGTATTATTCAAATAAACCAGATGCAGAATTTTATTACTGACTATAAATATTACATAAGCAGAAGATAGATGTCAAACTACACTAATGGTTGTAAGGAAATTCTGATTGTTGAGGAAGTGAATGCAGGAAACAACAACAGGAAACAGAGTCTCGTCCTGATAGCGAGGACTTAACGAACTGTTTGAGCGCCGCAGTTTGTCCGAGCTCGCTCGCTGTTTATGCCCTTGTCTTATTTAATTTCACTGCCGTGCCTGGATGTCCAGTCAGCCGTAGTTTATCGTGTTAGTAGTCTGTTAGGCCATTTCATTATTAGCATGTCTGGCTTACACTGGAGGCTGGAGCGTGGTCGTAGTGAACGGGGATCAACTGCAGTTCACTGGATTTTTAGAAATAGAAAAGAGACCCTGGTTTTTGTTTTCTCTCATGGTTGTGTTTTATACTTTTATGCCAGTTGACAAAATGTTTTATCCTTTTTCGTATGCTCTTTACTGTCATCATATTGAAACACATGAATGTAGTTATATTTCATTATCTGTGCAGTTACTAAATCTTGATCATCAATAAATCCTCTTCAGCCAACATTCCCTCGTTCTAGCTTCTCCAGTGTGAGGATTTACAGCTTTTATACCATTTTAAACTAAATATCTTTGGATTTTTTTTTTTACTGTTTGTTGGACAAAATAAAATATTTGAAGATGTGATCAATCAGCAGATCCATCGACAGTTAAAATAATTGTTATTTGTGGTCGTAGATGCAGTTAAAACAGCTTTGTTGTAGCCTTATAAAAAGAGATAGTACTGAAATAATGAGATAAATTAGTTAATCAACATAAAATGTGCTAGCCTAACATGCTCACACAGTAAACACAAAGTACAGCCGAGGCTGATGGGACTGTCGATGGTTTAGAAAAGTCAGGATCATTAAAGTAATGTCTCAATGATCCTGAGGGTTTATATTAATGTGTGTAATGAATGTCGTGGCAATCCATCAAACACTGCAGTTGTTGAGGTATTTCAGCGTCACAAATGTTTCATATTATAAAGAGTACGAATGCTTTATTGTTGTTGTTGTTGTTTTGCTGTTTGTTAGAAGCAATTTTAAGACCGTACCAACGTGTGATGGACACTTTAACAGTCTATAGCCCTCAGTCACTGTCAAACACACTCTTGATATTCTGGTTTGACTCGAGGCCGCTCCGCATGTAATCGCTTGCGTGTTTGACGGTTTTTGATTAGTCATTAGTCGAGGAGTTGGAGCGTGTTCATACACAGCGTTTTCTTAAGATCGTGTAGCTGCAGACCCATTTTTTCCTTCAGTGCTACAGGCTCTCTGACTGACACACTCTCTCATGCACATATGTCTCCTTTAAAGCATCTTCCCAAGTTTACATGTCTAAAAATACAACTCCTTCACGCACTTTGACTAAAGATGCATTATTCAATGCCTCTGCAGGGTAATTAAATCTTAATCAGGGACGAGCTCCTGTCCTCATGTAGGCGTATCTCTGTGTGTGTGTGTGTGTGTGTGTTTGTGTGTTGATTTAAGAAGTCGTCATGGAGGAAAACCTCTGCTGAAGTAAAAGGTGCAGAGGTTGAACGAGGTGAAACTTTAGTGTTTAGATGTTTCTCACACTGAGTCGTCGGTTCAGGTGATGTGAAGGTAACTCGCACTCTTAAGGTTGTCGATTTCAAAAGCACCTGGTTGTTTTCATGCTTTTTTATCTGTTGAGGCAGTTTCAGTGGGATTTGGCCTTGGAGGTTGTTGATGTGACGACACATAAGCAGTAGTCTTCTGCTGAATGCCTGCAGTTTTAATTGGTCCTCCTTCAATCGGTAGATGTCACAAGAGAAACTGGGGGGTTATGACTTCAGTGTTTGTTTGGGTTTCCAGTTAGAGTTAATGGTACAGTTACTACAATCAGAATCCATACAGGACTGGAAGAAAATGGTTAAAAGGAATCCAATAGTAGATGATTAGTACAGCTCGATATTGAACTTAAGTAAATTTTTTTTGACCAGATAGTCACCAGTAAAATAACTGGTTGAGGCAACATCTTTGGGACTTGCATGTCGATTCCCGTATGTCTCTTTCCCCTCGTTTTCTGTCATCTCTTCATTGTCAACTTGGTATTAAAAGCAAAAAACAAAGGTTGCTTGTGTTTTCATTTGACATAAAGAAAAACTGGTGTTGAGTTGAATTGTACAGATTACAAAAAGGAATTCCTGAATCTGAAAATCATGATTTGCTGCCGTTTCCCATATATACATATACAAAGGTTTCATTAATAGGTAGTATTTTTTAAATCAAGACCCCAAGGACCCCCCCCACAATAGATGCACATTAGATCACAGATTCATTTTTATACTATATATCTACCTGCTGTAGGAAATGGTGTCTAGTTCTGTTTATTCTAGCTAGAGGAGTTCATTCTTGTATTGACTGAGCGGTGACGTCACTTAGTGTGTGTGCTGTGTCTGAACTGAGTCATCATACTCCATCTGGACAGTGTTTGTCTAAAGGGTTGTAACACGCTCTAATTAAAGCACTGTTTCACTGATGGATCATCATTATTATTATTATTATTATTTTGTACATTTTCTTCATTTAAAGACCTTTTTTTTGTAGTCAGTGCAGTGTCTTTTAGCTGTGTTCTCCTTCAGCCTATATATACCTGGCGTGGCAGTAATGTTTTGACCCCCCTGATACACACTACATGTGTACACACTCCTGTCCTGTGCCTTCAGTGTCTTTCTGCTGACACCGTGCCCACGCTTGCACCTTAAACTAAGCGGAAAATGTGTTGACTCTGCTCCTTTCTCCGCGGCTTTAGCTCTGCGGAATATCTGGTCTCTGGTGTAATCCCCCCCGGTCGCTCTCTTGTCCTTATGAGAATGACCCTGAAGTTCAGGCTCGCTGTTACTCATTTGCAGCCCTACACACGCACAGATACACGCCTCCTCACGCCTCACACCATCACACCCTCACTCCAAGGTCTCCTCATCAGCAAGGACAGACCGGGCAGGTTTACTGTGCAGTGATTCAGGCTTCATCTGTTTTCCATTCATGGCTCTTGATTGCCTTGTCGAGCTTGGATGGGTAATGGCTCACTGTGTGTGATAATGTGCACTAAACATGACGACGAGATAGATGGTGTGCTGTGTTATCAATTGATGGTGTTGTTCATGAACTAGTGTCCTACACTTAATCAGGATTTTGTTCTGATTCATCATCAGTGTGTTGGGTGGTGGTTAACTTTGGATGTGACTCTTCTTTTTTTTTTTTGTGTATCATACGCTTGGAAACAGGGCTGCAACTAGTGATTATGTCCGTTATTGATTCAGTATTGATCATTTTGGGTAGAAAATGGTGAATATTGCTTCTTATTTCCCAGAGTTCGAGGTTAAATCTATCTTAAATTTCTTGTTTTATACAACCAACAATACAAAATCCAAAGATATTCAGTTTACTATCCTATAAATGAAAGGCCTCAAATCCTCACATTTGAAAAGCTGCAGCAATGAATCAATCATCGTAATAATAATTGTAGATTAATTTTCGGGTTTTTGCTGTTACCATACGCATTGTATCACCTCGTAGTGAAACTAGCACAGAGCAAGTTGAAAAGCAGCTCTTTACTGAATGGTGTTTCAACTTATGTTTAAGGTGTGGGCGCTGGGCGCTTGCCAGACTGGGTGAAGTGAGAACTGAGAGGGAAACCCGCTAAGATAAAAACACCGCCTGGGACTGCTGAGGAGGACCTCTGTGCAGGTGAGGACTGACAGAGAGAGGTGCATTATTTCAAGGCTAAATGCTTGTTCAGGATTTTTTCACCACCAGAGTGGGAAATGTAAACTATAGTAGAACATTTCCAAGTTATAAAACAAACCAATTCATCATGATAAAGTGTTTAATACCTGAATAACCTACAGAGCATACATAACTTGCAGTCAGTGTAGAGGCTAAGAGAAGGAACATTTGAATTTTATGTTTTAGCATTATACTATCATTCAAATGAACCTCCAGTGAGTATTCTAGTAGGACAGGTTTTGCTCCGACAAGCAGCCGTTACTAAGAAACAGCCAGAGAAACACTCCAGTGAAGATCTTAATATCTTTAAAATGATGTCCTTTCTCCTCTCCTAAGCATTTCCTTGACTTTTTTTTATTCAGTCATTCGCTGTCATTGGGTGGGAGACGAGATGATTAGTCGATCCACAGAAAGTTTACCGGCTTAGATAATCAATTTAACACTTTGTTTGCTTCTTAAATGGTTAAAATGTTTTGGTTTTCTCTGTTTTTAAAACATTATAAATTGAATATTTATAGTTTTGCACAAAGCAAGTAAGTTAAAGATTATTTTAAGTAGTAATTGATAGTTTAAAATAATCGTTAGCTGCAGCCCTGTCATCTTTTTTAAAGATTGTTATTTTTATTATATAATGTAGGACAGCACGACAGCTGAGAGTTTGTTTTGACAGATATGATCCACAATTTAGTTGGAATGATCATTTTGCATCACAATTTGATTATCATTTGGGGAAAAACAGATGATGTCACATTTTTTAGGGTCTGTACCAAACAAATATTTTGTTTTTTTTACATCTGGAGAACAAGATTTGTAGGCTGCTCTTCTCTTCACTGCTACAGTACTATATTATAATGCTCCTTGGTCACAAATTTGACCTTTTACCAAAAAATCTTTTGTGATTTGGATATTGCACTTGACCATATTGCTATTTCCATTGTTATTAATTGAATTATCGAGCACTGATACGATGACCCAATCTCTTTCTGTCTACAAGTATGGTCTTGTACATTTTAAGATAAGATAAGACAGACTTATTGATCTGACACTGGGAAAATTTAGTTGTTACAACAGCTCCAGATTGAACACAGCAGATAAGAAAAAAGAAATACACATTAAATAACAAAATAAAATGGATATAATGAAACTCCTTTTGGCTTAAGGAGGCTTAAGAAATACAGAAACACCTTTCCTTAGAGAATTTGATAAGTTCCTGGATGTCACCTTGTTACTATATATTCCACGTCATATAAATCACTCCGTAACCTTCCCAATCTAAAAAAGACTGTCTGATCCATGCTTACCCACACCCATACCTCCCTTTCATTATCTCTGTGACCCCAGAGTGATCACAAAAGAGAGGACGAGAAGGGAGGAAAATGAGAAGTAAGAGTGAAACAGAGGGGATATTTCTACTTAAGCAAATCATATTAAAATGAGTCGAGGACAAAGATATGAAAATGGAGATACGATTCAGGCCGTGGGGGACTTGTGCGTACAGTATGGAAATGTGAACGGATTCGGTATTAAGGACTCGCTCTGCCTGCTTCTAGGTTCACGCGGCCGTCGGCAGGGTGGAGCTTCCTGACCCATGGAGAATTACTTCCAGGCCGAGGCCTTCAACCTGGACAAGGTGCTGGACGAGTTTGAGCGGAACGAAGGTGAGCTACGGTGTTAGAAAGACAGGGGACAAACAGTGAGTCACTGAGAGAAGACGGATGGCACGAGGTGTTGCCGTGGGATTGAAGTTTCAGAGGAGCTGCGGTTTAGGGCAGCGTTATGTAACACACGAGTAAATCATCAGCGGTGTCAGACAATCAGCCACCGCCCAATGAGTTTGGGTAACATTTACAGGTGGTGATTGAGGGTGTGCACTCAGGGAATAGGACTAATTGGATTATCCATTTCCCTAGGGCTTGTGTGAAACTGTGTTATTGGTGCAAGACAAGAGGGTTGTCTTTTCTTTTTTTTTTTCCTTCTTCTTCTTCACACTTAATGCTCAAAATAAGTAAAGAAATTGTGTCGGGGGCTTTTTTTTTTATTTATGGTGATTGTAAAGTAAACACTGCATTACTGAGCTGTGTATCTGCATACTCTCAGCTCTCTGCTCACTATAGAGTAAAGGCCCTTCTTTTTCTGGTATTTATGGCAGATGACCCTAGAACAAAGGCCAGTCCTCCGCACACAGCATATTTCGATGGTACTGTGAGCCCAGTGTGTATTTTGGCTGTGAGTGATTATCTGTGTGTGCTCTGCCAGAGATCCCAGCTTGGCAGATTAACTCTGTGTGAGTTAATGTATGTGTGCCTGAACCCCATACTAAAAAACAGCTTAGCATGAATTCCAGTGGAGGGTGGAGAGCGCTATACAGTAGCTGACATGGCTGTGTGAGAAAGTTTTTTTTTTTTTTTTTAATAAATATTATAAAGAATTTCTGCTCTTATTACACAGCATTCATGTGTCAGCTTGACTGATGGCTCCCATGGGTGACCGAGTCGTTTGGCCCACTTTCTCAGAATTTCCCAGTCCATCCACACTAATTTCCCTCTCCATGCCAACCTCATTTCTCAATTTGTCCCCTGGTTTGTTCCTGCCATTTTTAGCTCTTTCGATCACCTGGGAATGTGTATCTTTTGTATTAGTTCTCTCTGTGGCAGTTAATTTGAGGCTTCCTGTCATGACACTTCTTCTTTTCTGTTTCGTGTCTCTGACATGACAAGAAACCTGCAAGCTGTTTAAAAAAAACATTTGGGTAAAAGGTCACTATTGGGTCGATTAATAACTTGTCATTTAAAGACTAAGGATTCATGACAAATAAGTCAGAGTGAGAGCCATATAATCGTCAGTTTTCCTCTCTTCTTTTCTCTGCCAGATGAGACAGACAATCCAATTCTCTCAGATGCCAAGTGGACCCAGATCCTGGCCCCGCCTGCCCACCTGCTCTCTTTGAACCCCGCCCTGGCCCACGCAGACCTCAGCCCCCGGGAGAGTCCACTGCCCTTTAAGACCCTCCCCGACTCGTCCTCCAGCGCCTCCCCGGGGGGCGACCCTAAAAGGCACCCCGGTCCCGAACCTCCATCCTGGGTAGAGGAGAGGCCGGCGGACGTCCACAGCCCACCGCTCCCCCAGCCCAACATCGGCAAACTGGTGGGCACAGACGACACCTCGCCGCCCCCTGTGACGGCCTGTAGTGCTGTGGAGAACGGCTGCCCTGCCAGCCCAGCAAGTCCACAGCTAGATGGGCTCAGCAAGGAGATACGTTCTCCTTCAGATAACCAGCCTACTGGTCCTGACCAGGAGGTGAAACCTCATCAGGAGGAGAGAGCCACCTCAGCAGGAGGAGGCGGCTCCACTCACACTCACTTTAACTTTGAGGTTGGGTTAGGACAGGAAGAAACTACATCTCCCAAAATTCATCCAAATGTGGAACCAACAACACAAAATGGGGAAAGTGTCAAAGAGGAGGTCATTACAGCTGCTTTACAGGACAATGGTCAAGAAAAACAAACTGCAAACTTAAAGGAGGAACAAGTAGAAAGTCTCCCAAATAGGGGGAGAGACGTTCAGGCTGGTTGTGAGGTGGAGGAGAATGGTGTGTCTCCTCATGACAAGGTTGGAGTGGAGGAAAACGAGAGGAGGTGTAGTCCAGAGGGACAGATAGATCAGCTCCTCAGAATAACAAGCCTTCCTAATGGTTTGGAGCAAGAGAACAGTAGCCATTCCAAGCCTAAGGAGACAGAAGAGAAGGAGGAGGAGGAGGAGGAGGGTTTTTCTCCCTCTCCTGTTCCCTCCAAAGAGGACTCTGTCACTGAGGAGAAAGAAATGGAGGAAAGCAAGCAGGAGAATGGCGAAGGAGGAGCAGTGGGGTCAGGTAGCATCCAACCAAAACTCAACAACAGTCGGCTGCAGCCGGTCAGTGTTCCTTACGGAGGAGCGCGACCAAAGCAGCCGGTCAGCCTCAAGCTCCAGATCCCACAGCCGCCGTCGGGCCAGGTCCAAAATCAGCTTGGCCCGGCCGCTGTCAGCAAGAACAAAAACCAGGAGAACCAGTGTCGGAGAGGCACGCCCCCTGAAACTACGCTCAGTGGGACTGATCAGAGTGCAGTCGGGGTGAACGGTGATAGTGCTGTCCACTCTGCTCCCCTGATGCCCTCGGAGAGCCCGGATAATGACCTCCAGGCAGGACAACAGGGCGCTCTGTGCAGGAAACCTGCCAGCTCCCTGGGAGAGGTTGCCCCTGTTTGGGTGCCCGACTCCCAGGCTCCTGTCTGTATGAAATGTGATGTCAAGTTCACCTTCACCAAGAGGAGGCACCACTGCAGGGCCTGTGGCAAGGTCAGTTCTGAGCACTGTAACAAACATAAAAACAATAATTTCAGTGAGGAAACAATTCTAATAGTAATAGACAAAATTAGACAATGTGCTGCTACCAGTACAACAATGATTGTCTGCATCCAAGGAATCAAAAGGTTAATTTTGAGGTTAGTCCCTCAGAATGAACAGTACTTTTTTTTTTTAACAATCATCCAGGGAGAAATAAATCAGAGAAAGGAAGGGGTGAGTTTTTCCCCCCCTACAGTAGCCTGTATAGACTACATGACATTAAAAATCTGCCTCACTGTTATTTCTGGGACTTGCCAAATGATGTTGGCCTTTCAAGACCGGTTTAGAGAAAGCTAAACTTGCAAAACACTTGAGCAGAAAATAACTCCTGGAATGCACTTAAAATCACATAGTGGCAACCTATAGCAGTGTTATGCAGCAGTAGAACAAAGGAGGTTTCTTTTCTTTTACATTAATCTACTACATTCAATCTACTAGCTGATTCCTTCATCCTGGGTTTCTTACGATGAAGGAGTTGCTGTGTAGGGTCTTTTTCAAGAACAAGTTGACAAGGACACGGGTTGCTACTAATTATTTTCATTATTAATTTAATCTTCATATTATTTTTTTGATTAATGACTGACAAACATTTCCAAACCCAAAGATATTTGTTTTACTGTGATATACGAAATCCTCACAGTTGAGAAGCTAGATGTTGATTTAGTTTGTTTACTTGATAGACTTGATACAACTGATTGTTTCATCTATAATAGGCCTAACCTGGAAGAATCAAACCTGTAATGTTTGTCAGTCAGGCAGATTGCAGTAAATCCTCTTGGACAGTCATAGAAAATGTACTAATTACACCACTGGAAACAAAACAGAATAGATACTCAACAAAAGACAGAAATCATCGTTACTAGGATGAGAAATGAGAAATGCATTGCAACTTTTTAAAATACCTAACAGAATAATATTCCACCAGTGAAGAGCTTTGCTGGAGTAAGGAGGTAAATTAAATGCTTTGATAAATAAGCTCCCTTTTAGGGCTTTCTTTGCAGATAAACTCAGTGGGTGTGCAGTTAGCTTTCTAGCATCATGGCCACCCACACATACAGCAGGGTGTCCGCACAGTGCTTTAAAGAGAAGATGTGGTCGCTGACACTGCACTGGAAAATCGCTGGACTGCTACTTAATTTCCCATGGTGTTAAACAAACACAGTCTCTGCCACTTGAGCAGGGAGGAGCTGCCACTGCAGTAATACTGACACCGGCACTGGGCCCGTAAACAACAGACGCAGCGGGATCCTCAGTGCCTCCACAACCTGACTGGTGGACCCACACAACCAGTTTACAACGGTGCTGTGAGACTCTGAAATTAAAAGGATCCTCCACCCTCTGTCTAATATGTACTAAATGCATGTTACTGGATAATGATGTGTAAGGAGGTGCTAATCCTTTAAAAGTTAACTGCCTTGTACACAGCTGTAGCTTTCAGGAGCAAAGTACAGGAAATCAATATCCATAAAATGGTACATTTGCTGCACGCTTAATCACAACTTATTTTCAATTCTTCGCTTTTAAAAATCTTCACAGTTGAAATATAATAATTTGGAGAAATGTTTTTTGGTCCAGCGTGCTCATCCTTTATAGGAATGTGGTATAAATAGTCTATTTTTCTTCTTTGTGTGTGTTTTTTTAAGGTGTTCTGTGCAACGTGCTGCAGCCTGAAGTGCAGACTCATGTACATGGACAGGAAGGAGGCTCGCGTCTGTGTCACCTGTCATTCTGCTCTGACCAGTGGTGAGCGTCGTTGCAAGTAGATAGTTTGTTCTGTACGACTTTATATGTCGCATTTATATCTGTGATTTGTTTTTATGAATGCAACTGAGGATGCTGCTCCATTTAAAAAGACTTTAGTCATTAAACTTTTGTTGAATGGAAAGCAAAAGTATGAAAAAGGGTTTAATAAAGTGGTCCACAAAGGTATAAAAACACTGAAAGGGATCATCTTAAGATTATTTGAACTATGGTAAAGCTTAACCTACAGTATGACTGGTTTTACAACACAATACATTACCTTGTATTTAGTACGGTAACGGCACAGCGACAGTATAAATAGGGCTTTTTCACAACAGACATTCATAGCAGGTAACACACGTGTAATTAATAACATGAATTACAACTGCATTTCATTTAGGCGTGCCTGCTGGCTCACTAGAGTGGCTTACTGGGCCACTTACTGCAACAGAGCCCTCATTAACAAAATGAGTTACACCTGTGCTTGTCTTGCTACGACAATTCAAATCTGAAGAGATATGTGACAGTATATGGAAACACTATTAATATTGGTCAATATCAACTTTAAAGTGAAACTTTAACTACCAATTTGTGTTTTCTGTCAGCTACCTATCTTAAACATGTAACTCCTGTTTACATGTAGGAGTGGTACGTATCGTTTAAAAGACATTTCCTCTTAGCACACACAGTTCCCTAACTCGTACTAATTACGTTTTCTGTCTCCATCAGCTCAATCGTGGGAGACACCGGCCACTGCAAGCAACCAGAGTCCAAACCCCAACAACCCAGCAGAGTACTGCTCCACCATCCCCCCTCTGCAGCAGGCCCAGGCCTCTGGGGTGCTCAGCTCCCCTCCTCCTACAGTCATGGTGCCTGTGGGAGTCCTGAAACAGCCTGGCAATGAGGGTACAACCTTTACCAAGAATAAAAAGGCTCTTAGCACTTTATTTTTTAACCTTTTACGGTGACATTCTGTCCCCACTTCTTTAAAGTACTTCAAAGTTTATTTTTTGCCGGTCCTGATATGGGTTGCATTCGATTGTGTGTAACCTTGTGTTAGTTCAGTGTCTGATGGTCAACCAAGACATTAAGATAAAATGTGATTTTCATGCGTGTATCTCACCTTTAGGGTCCCTGTCACGAGAGCAGAGGAGGGTGTGGTTTGCTGATGGGGTCCTACCTAACGGAGACACAGCAGAGTCCCCTAAACCTCCGAGCTCCAGCCCAGCCCCCTCTCACTCACTGGCCATCTCCACGTATTCAAACAAATCCTCCACTTCTGAATCCTCAGAGGTAGGCTTGGCATGAAAAACATTCACCCAAAGTTAATGCTATTAGCTCAGCTTGTACGGTCAACTTAGCTACTCTGCAGTTAGCTGAAGGAAGCCACAAAGAACTCTTTCTGTGGGAGTCTTGGTGGTTTATTGGCTGGGTCACGGACTGCAGTAAAAATGCAGTAAACAGAGTTCAAAGAAAACATTCCTTGCTTGCTTTAGCAGAATTAGAAATCCCAGTAGACTTAAATGCTTAAATAAGTTAATGTTTGCCTCACAACAAATAACAGAACAGTAAGTTGAATGTGGTTGTTGCTGTGGTCATGCTGTACACTCATTGGACTTGAATGCCACCTGTCAGGATGATTCATGGCCTAGTGAACAGAATGATTGTTAGAAGCATTTTAAATGGCTTCAGCTCATATGGTGATGATGCTACGCAGGCAAGTATAAAATCAGACTTTCACATGACACCATGAGAGTCATACGGGCAGGAACTCAGCAATGCATGAGTTTGAATTTGCTTCCAAAGATTCATCAGGTTAAAGTTCACCAGTGTTGAACACTTGATGTAAAGAGGGTCGTTCTGTGCTTCTCTAGCTGTTCATGGTTTACAGTCTTATAATAAATAAAAGTGACTTAAAGGCAAGAGTAAGAGAACAGTTCAAGCCGGTAGGAATTTTAAAATGGACCTCCATCAATTTTACATGTCAAAATCAGTTTACTTGTCACAGGGACTATTAATTTGTAACAGAAAGCTTGTGTTATAAAACTGGTTTGAAAGAAAGTTGTATCCAGTGATTGTGAGCGAGTTTCACTTGTACTAGGAACTAAAAGTCAGTGTATCTGTCCTCTGTTCTTGTGTCTTCAAACAATTCCAACTTAATTTTTAAGCGTAAAACGTTAAATTATCCCCATTTTAAGTTGTTGTGGTGAGTATATTAACAAACAGTTGCCTATTTACACATGCTACATATAAGTGCTCGGTAAGAGTCGTATTTCTGGCCACCTAAAGGATTTAAGTCCCACATTTTCCCTCCTTTTAGACTCCTTTTTGGCCTTTACCAACTCCTCTTTAGCTGCTAAATGCTCCATTATTTTTGCCAGCTAGTCACTAACTCACTAGCTGCCTGCTGCTGCTGGAAACAGGGTTGATAAGAGAGATAAAAGTAAACAAAGAAAACAGTAAAAATGTGGGCTGTAAAACTAAAACAGTGAGCTGAAAGATGCTATAAAGCTCCATAGTAGGGAACTGCAGAGTCGTGTGTACAGTGATTTTTTTTTTCCATTGTTAATATAAAGATAGTGATTAGTGCAGGAAATAGGTGGCACTAAATGGACTTTTAAATACACCAATTCAGGGCATTGAGTATCTTTTTCTATCACAGTCATTTATGTAACAAGTAGATTTTTAACAATGCAACCTGACAGTGTAGAAATACTTTCCAACACTGCTGGTAATTCCTATAAATAACTGCTGTGTAATGGGTTTCTTAGCCAAAAGAAACAAAGAACCTATGCAGTAATTATTCTGTTTCCTCCTGTTTTATTTATATGTATAATGTTCAGATGCCCCCAGGTGTACCAATAATCACAGCCATGAAAACCCTTTTGGATACTGCCACTCTATTGTTACATCTCACTGTGTGTTTATAACCTACATCTAACGCTACACCCCTCTCCTGCCCCTCCTCTCCACCCCACCACAGGCAGCCCATACCCCAGTTGCCCCGGTGGGCAGCCCCGTGGGCAGCTCCCTCAGCCTGATCCCGGAGGACGGGCTCCCTCCCATCCTCATCTCCACCGGAGTCAAAGGAGGTACGGGAGGCCACATCACAGGTGCTTGCCCTCATCCTCACCATTGTGCTGCCTCCTCATTGCTCCGTCAGCTGCTGTGTTTGTGCTTGTTAAAGTGTGTTTTTCCACGTGCTTTATATCACGGCTCATATTTCGACCACTCATTGCCAACGGGGGGGGGTTTGTTCACAGGAGCGCAGTGATGATGTTTTTAAAGAGTTGGGAGGGTCTCTAGATGTTTGGTCTGATCATTTTCCTTCTCTTACCTCACATCCACCCTCTCTCATCCTCGGTTCTCTCCTGTCCGTTCATCCAACTTCACCTTGACTCCTCCTCCCTCCACCTTCCTCTCCTTCTTCTGCTCCACCTGCAGACTATGCAGTGGAGGAGAGGCCGTCAGAGATCGTCCTCATGCAGCAGCTCGAGGAGGGAGGCCCAGACCCCCTGGTCTTCGTGCTCAATGCTAACCTGCTCGCCATGGTCAAGCTTGTCAACTGTGAGTTACCCAGTCGGTGTCTTTTTTTTTTTTTTTTTTGTACTGTTCAAAAGCAGCAATTTAGGGCATTAGTGAGATGGAATTTTTGAAAAAACAGGTCAAACTTTATTCAAATAAGGAACTTTTGGAGGAGCAAAAATCAGTTCTTCTTTTAAATTATTGATTTCATGATGAACTAAGGAAAATGGAGAATACATATTTGTACTGTATGAAATTTTAATTGGTCCTGATGAAGCTTTTGTCTTGTGAATTATTGAGTAGATGTACCCAAACATACCCAAAATTCAGATTTTTCTTTTTTACAATCCTTTTTAAATTCAGCAAATCTCTCCCCACAATCCACAAGCTTTCTGCTCTGTGTGTGCTGAAAGAAAATCTGGTGGTTGTACACAGCCCTGGCTCTGAACAACAATAACTTCTTATTCCAGCCGGGATTTCTGTCAGATAACTTTAAATTACATTCAGCTTACTTTGTAGTTTGCCAAGATGTGCTGTTGTTGTGACTACCAGCTATAGTAGCAGGTCAGTTGAGTATCGCTGAACTGGTGTGCTGGCTCTGGGAAACCGACATGTCCTCTCTGCACGTTAGTTACGACAGTTTGATAACAACCAACAGAGCTAACGTTACTCACATTACTTTATGTTTCGTTCGCACTGTATCATAATATTCGTCATGATATTGGATTCCTCAAGAATTTCTTACCTCACCTTTTTTCACAGCTTTTTGTCATTCAGACAAAGGAGTCATTTGTGTAAATGTTTGTTATGGCTTCATAGAGACATGACAGGACGAGTGGGCGCGTTGTGGAAAAACTTGAGTATTATAGTAGTTCTCCTAACAAGAAGGAACAAGATGTGCATTTAATTTCTTCATGAGAATATTTAATCTTGTGCTGGTGGAGATTCAGTTCAGACTTGTTCTTGTTTTCTGTTTAAAAAAATGTTTTCAGGTCCGAATTAGTAAGATTTCTGTCATGACTTTTAAATAAAAGTGATAATTCATCAAATATTCATCACATTGACACACTGAAAGTATCTTATGAAATGTTTATGGCTCTGCTGTAACTTGGCAACTACTGTATCTCCTGCATGTCTGATATGATAGACCAGTCTTCTGTTCTTTCAACCCACAGATGTAAACAGGAAGTGTTGGTACGTGACGACCAAGGGCATGCATGCCGTCGGCCAGGCAGAGGTGGTCATTCTCCTCCAGTGTCTACCTGACGAGAAGACCATCCCTAAAGACATCTTCACCCACTTTGTGCAGCTCTACCAGGAGGCCCTCAGTGGTAAGACCACAACCAACAGCTCCACCAGGAGGCACACAGTGAAATTAGTCCACTTCCACCGTGGGCTCCTCTTGGGGCGGATGGCAGATCATTAGTAGTCCTGTCTAGAGGCCCACAGGTGAGTCCACCTGTCTCAGTCAGGTGCTGTCCAGTTAAAAATGAGCTAACCCTAAAGTAATGTAATATAATGCAAGAGGAAAATGTTCCAGCTCTACTTTCTGTTCCGTGGAGACGACAGGTGCACCTAGTCGTCCTCTATTTGGAAACCAGGTTACTGTCCACGGCTGCTGAGCTGTATCTCAGCCTTTTTCATGATAAATGGTCCAAACATTAGCGTCCCGCTGTCAGGTCGTCTCCCTCCAGGCGTGACACCTCGCTACCGCTTGTCTTGCGTTTTTAACTCCGTATGCTGCAGAGCAGAATCGGCTAATATCGGGTGACTTTGACTGCTTGCTCCCCTCGGGCTGTTTCCTTTTTCATATTCACACTGGAGCACTTTCAGGCTGGTGGAAAGGAGCCATATTGTGTGTGTCGTTCTTGATTAACTCGCCGTCAGTCAGGTCTCGGGAAGAAAATGCTGGCTTTAGCAAGTCCTTAGCCACCGAGCTTTTGTCATTCCATTACGGTTATTGAGTTATGTGGCATCTAAAGCCAGCGATCCCTCCCACAGATAATTAGTAACATGAACCCTTTGTTGGTAATATGAGGTTGTAGGGCGAGCAGGCGAGATACGTTTATATTCATGGCTGTAGAACTTAATACAGACTATGCAAGGCTCCTCATCCACACAGTAATCCCAGGAATACACTGACAGCCTCTGCCTGTCATATCTACCTCTGTTTTCAGAGGATGAGAACTCAGTTTTCGCTCTTTTTTTCACCTTTATCTTCTCATTCATATTTATTCCTATCTCCTTGACGTCATTCCCTGCTTTTTATACCCCCCCGCAAACCCCCTATTATATTACTCCTCATTTCTCCCCCACTACCCTGCTGCGGCTACCCTCTTCTATTTCACCAACCCCTCCTCCTCCTCACATCTCCTATATCACTAACGTCTCTCTTCTCCTCCCCTCCCCTTCTTCCTCATCTCCTAAAGGCAACGTGCTGAGCCACCTGAGTCACTCATTCTTCACGCAGAGCTTCCTGGGCAGTAAGGAGCATGGCGGCTTCCTCTACATCAGCCCCTCCTTCCAGTCGCTGCAGGACCTGCTGCTGCCCAACCCGCCCTACCTCTTCGGCATCCTGATACAGAAGTGGGAAACGCCCTGGGCCAAGGTCTTCCCCATCCGCCTCATGCTGCGGCTGGGCGCAGAGTATCGATGTGAGTCAGGACTACTGGGGTTCACACTATGTAGTGATGGTGATAGGAAAATAAGTATAATTTAAGTTCACATTTAGTTTCATTATCCATAAGGAACGTTTGTTTGGTCGCAAGTGGAAAAATTATCCTTATAACAGAATTGGTCCATAAAACTTCTTCCTTGACCTTGGAAGCAGCACCTCAATGTCCATTTGGTAGCTGTGCTTTCACTCAAACAGATATTGTAGAACTTGGTTTGTTTGAGGCTCTGTACAATGCCTAAATGACTAACCTTGTATTTACGTTACACTCCGTTCTCATTCCAAGGTTGTCAAATACAGACGTGAGCAGAAGTTCAGATATTTGCAATCTGCAACTTCACTGCTAGATGCCACTACATCCTCAACACTGGTCTTTTAATAAAAGACAAACTTATCAAATGTTACATATTAGAGATGCTACAGTTGGTACTGATCAACAAGACACATTTGGGGTGCCCGGTTAGCTCAGTCGGTAGAGCTGGCGACCTATATACGGAGTTGCTGCAGGGGTCTGGGTTTGAATCCGACCTGCGGCCCCTTGCTGCGTGTCATCCCCCCTCTCTCTACCCACCTTTCCTGTCTATCTACAGCTGTCTCGGTCAATAAAGTCAACAAAAAGGCCAAAAAAATAACTTAAAAAAACAAAAAAACAAGACACATGGCAGTTTTCTGTCTTTGTCACTTGACAATATTCGGAGTAGGACACATTTTGGTCACATTAGTCAACCACTCAACAGTCTCTCCCTGCACACAGTCCCCAAAAAAGGATTTGATGTCATACAGATAAATATTGATCTGCAGTTACAAACTGTAAAAAACTCTGAGTGTTGTTGCGATTTGTTTTCTGGCAGTGTATTAATGTTATTTGACATGGTGATAAAACATAGGCTGATAACCTGTGCTTCAGTTATTCTGTTGGCTGACAACCACAAAACTTTGACCAATATTTGTAGGACAGGTGAGCAAGATGGAGCCTAAGATTTGAGTCTAATTGTGTCAGATTGCTGAATTTTATTCAGAATAAATACAGATTACATGTTTCTGAGCATGTTTGAGCAAAATGTAATGTTAAATTTGTTGAAAGGGGAAACAAAGTGTGAGTGGTTTGATGGTTTCTTATGGTAAAATATTAAGAGCCAGATTGATCTAGAGAGCTTAGCATGTCAGAAGAAGCCTGTAGACATCACACCAGCCTGCTCTCATATGTTTCTCACAGCTTCCCACATGAAGCAGGAAGTCTTGTGAGGGGTTTTATCGGAGAGCCTCCTCTCCACCAAATCCCCCTTCTTTCGCAGCCAGACCTGCCAGCACGGAGCGCCGCCTGGCTCTGCTAAGCCTCTTGCCTGCTTCCAGCGAGCACGGATAGAATACATTAACAAAGCCACATACAGTCGAGGCTCTTAAACACAAATTGTTAGCACAGCCGTGAAATTAATCCACCACACAAACAGTGTACTTCTCTTCGCTGTTACCTCTTACCTTAAGCAGTGACCAGGAGAACTTTCAGTAGCTTGTCAGCATACGGATCCCCGCTGAAGTGCAGATTGAGGCTGAGATTGTTTTTTTTATTGCTAATGAGAGTTTGTGGTGAGATCTTATTTCCAGCTGTTTGCTGAGATAAGGCTAAAAATAGTCATCTAAGGAGCTTTGGTTGCTGGAGAAAAAAAAGCAGCCTTATTTTTCACTTGTGGATTAGGCGCGTTCCTCCGAACTGCAGGCAGACTTTACTGTATTTGATGTGTGTGCGGGGGGTCTCTTGTTGAGTTCATTTGCATTTATGAGTGAAGAGGATACAAAACGCAAGAAACACAAGTTGTGTAGTTAATAAAACATGAAAAAAAAACCTGGAAACACCTTAACTAAGAAATAGAAAAGACTGATTACGTGAATAAATCAAAGGGGGAGGAATATTGTAAGAGCAACAAAGACCTTCAAATAAAACTAAATCAAAATATCCGTTTCTGTGACCACATTTTTCTAACTTTATATACCGAATGCTGAACCCAAAACTCGCAGTATTTTGCTGAGAAACTCCGCTCAACTCACATTTCCGTGACGGCCCAATGAGACCTTTTGATGAATAAAGAATATGTAGCTTGACATTAAAACTCACAGGGAACAATAACAATGACATGACAGTGGCAACACATTTCTATTGTTGATTCATCAATGACTGAACATTTTGTTTTGCAGTTTATCCGTGTCCGCTGTTCAGTGTTCGCTTCAGAAAACCCCTCTTTGGAGAGACCGGTCACACTATCATGAATCTGCTCGCAGTGAGTGCTTTGTTTGTCTCTTCCTGTGCTTCTGTTATTGTGTATTTTTCAAGGCTGTGTATTTTTCTGTGTGGTAGGATGATTTTATCAAACAAACACAGGTGTCACTTGTCCTTCTCTAAAAGGTTTAATCATTTTTTTTTTTATTGTCAACTACTTTTAATAGTTATTCTGTGTTCACTTTACTTAAATTGCAGACATATAACAGTTTTCCTGTCCTCATCTTTTGTCTGTCTCTGTCGTAGGACTTCCGTAACTACCAGTACACGCTACCAGTGGTGAAAGGCCTGGTTGTGGACATGGAAGTGAGGAAGACGAGCATTAAGATCCCCAGTAATCGTTACAGTGAGGTGAGTGTCTTACACCTGGTATCTCCATGACAACAAAACATACAAGGTCGCCCTCACACCAGTAGTTTGATTCAAGTGCTAGAAACATGAAGTTATGTGGGCTGAGAGGTAACTCATTCATCGGACAGTCATCCTGCATCATGAGTGTCACATTGAAACATGCCTCAAACAGTCTGTGTACATTAAAATGTTTATGTATAGTTACCAAATGATCTTACATATATAGTATATTCTGCTTATACTCATCACTTCCTTGACAGTACACATTCAGTTGATGGATTTAATTGTACTTTAGATCAGTGCTCAGTATCAGCCAATACACAAAGTCAGGATTCGAAATTGATATTGGGAAGGAAAAAAATGGCAGATTGGAGGCAGAATGAAACCCACCTTTCATGTGGTCTCGGTCTGTTTGTTTAGTCCACAACAGATTTTAACTGACAGCTTTCACTCCAGCCTAAATGAACCAAACCAAACAAACCAGAGTGCGTTTGAACCACACAAAGATTTCGTAGCTTTTTCTAAAACTACAACCTCAAACATTAAAACATAAAAACAGATTCTAGACGTGGAGAGAAAGCAGAGCTGTGTCTCCTATATTGCCCACTTGAGCTTTTTGTACCCCCCCAGAATCATACATCATTTGTCTAGCAAAATTAAACCCTCCACCAGACTAATGACATCAGTAGAGGAGGCTCCTATTAAGCTGCCTGAAACATCAACGCACACATGTTCGTTCTGTGTAGGTGATGTGTGACAAACTCTCCAGGGTCCCTGCAGCTGAACATGAGGCGTGGGCTGCCGACATGTTATAACGCCGCTGCCTCGAGGGTGTGAATGAATGTCCAACCAGAAGAAGCGATACGCACAAAGCGCCATTTGGCCCGAGAAAGAAAGCCACGGCGGAGAGAGAGAGAGTGGTGCCGGTTGTAGCGTTTGGCTGCTGATGCAGTAACAGATGGGAACCCAGTAATGTGAAGTGGGGACCGTTTCTCAACAGCTTGCAGGCGAGCCTTTAGCGCAGCAAGTGGTTAAAGCCCTCCAGATTTTCAGTTTTATTTCTGATTTTGAAAAAGGACGGCTTCAAAGAGATGCAGAGGCAGGGGATTTAGTGGAATTAATATGTGGGATCTTTCAACTATTGATATCCACCCATGTCTATGTCTTTCTTTGCAATCTGTCATCTCAGCGCCATCCCATTTAACTCGATGACTTTACCCACGAGCCCACTGCAATTAGGCTTAACCAGGCAGTCTCTGTTAAGCCCATTTTCCTCAGCGCGCACACACACACACACACACACACACACACCCAAAGGGCAGCTTAATTAGACATGGATATTATTTGTCCTTGCAGCTGATGAAGGCCATGAACAAGTCCAACGAACACGTGCTGGCGATGGGGGCGTGTTTCAACGACCGCGCTGACTCCCACCTGGTGTGCGTCCAAAACGATGACGGGAACTACCAGACGCAGGCCATCAGCATCCATCACCAGCCTCGCAAAGGTGCTGACACAGAAACGGATTCATCACACTTCCTTTATCTCTCGCTCTGTCTGGTTTTCATGTCCGGCTTGTTGTCTGAGAGCCGTGTTTGTCTGGGAATCCTCCTGACTGACTGTTGACTTTAGTCAGTGGTTGGTTTGTGAAGTCGAACTTATTATTTTTCCTTCTTTGTCTTTGTATTTTCTACAGTTACTGGAGCCTGCTTCTTTGTGTTCAGTGGTGCTTTGAAAGCCTCGTCGGGCTTCTTAGCCAAGACCAGCATTGTGGAAGGTGAGAGCTGTGAAAACAAACTCAATGTTGGCTGTAAATGCTGAAGTGAGTTGAGTTTATTTCTATGACGCTGCCTCACAAAGGTCTCAATGCACACAACGACTATTTGCCCGTGTTGGCACAAATTCATAATTAGTGCTGAAACTAGTGGGTTGGAGCTTTTGTGCAAAGTAAATTGATTTTGTCAGGTATTTAATGCACTGGAATACCCCAAAAAACTATAGATATCAAGATAAATTACATTATACTGTGACAGAGAGTTTTATCCACATTTTCGTGGTAGTAGTAGTAGTAGTAGTAGTAGTAGTAGTAGTATTAGTAGTAATACCCATCACAAAGTCCAAGGTAACGACAGAAAAAACAGAAATGCAGCTAATCCTCACATGTGAACAGAGTGTTTGCAATATCTGCTTGATGAAAGGCTCAAAGGTTTATTACACTGATTCAGTTTTGTACTTCCATAAAGTTGGACGTCTCACAAGAGACAGACTTAAACAAAATGATCTAAACTTGAACTGCAGCAGAGGTTGAAATGTCCTGACTTTTGGTTCCTATTATGGTTTAAACCCCAAATGTGCTGAATGTTCGTTCTTCACTTCCTATAATGCTACCAAGAATATGTAATGAACAATAATACGAATAAGCTCGCCTTCTCTGGAGTCTGCATTGTAGAACCATCATGTTTCTACAGTAGCTCAGAGCAGACAAACCAAACAGTGGCTGTAGATCTCACTCTTACACACTTCAGAGCCCGTCCTCATTCCCAGGTTTAATACAGACGCCTTCAGTGTTCATTTAGTTTCAATCTGTATCTTCACTGCTAGATGCCATTAAACCTACACAGTGCTCCTTTGTAACTGGCTTTCTGTAAACATGTCTCCAAGTTCAACCCTGATAGCCCCATCCTCATTAATATAAACTGATCTTCATGTGTAAAAGCAGCAGTTTGTCCTCTTAATCAATTCATTATTTATCATAATTGTCTAGTTATGTTCCGTCTATCAGCTTATAGATCAATGTGCTATTTTCTGCAGCATTAATCATCATAATGGATCTTTTTCTTAGACGGTGTGATGATCCAGATCACAGCTGAGACCATGGACTCTCTACGGCAAGCCCTGAGGGACATGAAGGACTTCACCGTCACGTGTGGTAAAGCCGACCAGGAGGAGAACCAGGAGCTCGTCCACATCCAGTGGACGGAGGACGACCACAACTTCAACAAGGGGTGAGACAGGAAGAGAACGAGGGAGCTGGAAGAGATGCATTTATGTCACGGACAATTGAACTGATAGCTTCCCCAACGCTGCATTTACTACTTTGCTATAAAAACTCATTATGCATGCTCGGGGGAAGCCCTCTGGAGAATGATGTGGTTTGACGTGTCTTTGAGATACAGACCAACGCAATCAATTTTACAGCAGTCTGATAAAATCTTCAACATTTTAAATGTGACTTTTTCACTATTAAATATAATTGAGGCCTTTCACCAGATACTCTATCACTTCATTAGTGGAGTATTCTCTCCACAGTCGCCGATTTTAACCCTTATTCCACCAGATAAGTTAACTCAGTCTTCTGATTGGTGCATTCGTGGTCTGCATTATACACCATGTTTCATTCTCCACAGGCCAACTGCACTTTATGTTTGTTCTCAATAGAATAGAAGAGAAAGAACGTCGTCTTTTAGCTCTCGATGACATAAAATGCACCATATAGACGGTACTGAAGTTATTGTTTCCCTCCTCCTGCTTTAACATCTGCTGTACAGTCACTTGTGCGCTCTGTTTTTAAATCCTCTGTTTCATTAATCGCTGTTGTTTTCTGCGTTCGGTTATTCAGCGTCATCAGTCCGATCGATGGGAAGTCGATGGAGTCCATCACCAGCGTCAAGATCTTCCACGGCTCAGAGTTCAAAGCCAACGGCAAAGTCATCCGTTGGACTGAGGTACAATACACCCCGACGCTCATACTGCTCGCTTCACTGCGTATCAGTAGCTTTTATTGATACCAGTATCATTAGAGAATCTCTTCCTTTTTGATGTCGATCAGTCTGCGTGGAGAAGTCTCGGAGTCTGAACACACTAAAGTTAAAGTAGTTTGAGTTTGTTCCTCTCTGATATTACTCCTTGTTTCCAGAAGAGCGTAGACACATGAGTTTGAGTTCATTGTTTTGTGTCAGAAAAACATGCTGGCATTGATGAAAGGAATTGATATGTTCGAAGGCTTATGATTCCGATTGATTGGACAATTTGGAACTGGTTCTCAATTCCCATCCATACGTATGAGTACAGCAATCATACCTCACAGCAAAATATAGTACGACTGTACAGTACTGTGTTTCACCACACTTAACACCATAAGTACACGTCATCTCTTTTTTTCTTCCACAAACATAATTATTATTTAATCTTGATTAAATCTAGTCCTCTCTCAGAGTGTGTCGTGCTGTGTGCTCTGTATAGAAATATTAAAACATTGTGTTTCTGTGACTCCCTCAGGTGTTTTTCCTCCAGAGTGAAGATCAACCCAACGGTCTGTGCGACCCGGCCGACCACAGCCGGCTGACGGAGAACGTGGCGAGAGCTTTCTGCATGGCACTCTGTCCTCACCTGAAGCTGCTGAAGGAGGACGGGATGGCCAAACTCGGACTGAGGGTCACACTGGACTCCGACCAGGTAGATCCAGATTATAGTTCATCCAGACTGTAGAAAGAAACTGGGACAGTGTGCAAGAGCAGCAACTTTTGGTGGGTAATTATAGATTATTGCCAGTTAATGAATGAAATCATTTGTTTTTGATTAGTCACAAAATGCAACTAACAAGCACACAAACGTTTTTCTAATTTTTAAAACAAAGATCTTTAAAGGCAGAAGAAAATAAAAAGGATGAGACAATGAACAGATGGACAATGTAAAGTTACAAAGTCAAGAAAACGAAGAATACAAGTGTGGACATCATAAAAAAAAAGGTTTTTGTTTCAGCTGTATTAATGCAGAATTGTCTGTTTTGTATAAAATACAAAGTTTTTTGGCTGTAAATCACTTTATTCAATCAGATTTCAGTCTGAAATAAACTATTATCATTACTTTATTTAGAAATACTGATAACTGAAGATTAAATAGATTTTAGGGACCAGATCCACAGAATGTCAGTCTAAGGATAGAGCTGACAGCAGCAGCAGTGACGCTCTGTGTGACCACCGCAGGCGTGCGAGCTGCAGCGGTAGAGCGAGGCAGCCGCCACGCACTGCTCACGCATCCTCTGTGGACCGACTGTAACACCTGTCTTCATCGTTGCAGGTGGGCTACCTGGCGGGAAGCAACGGCCAGCCCCTCCTCCCTCAGTACCTGAGCGACCTGGACAGCGCTCTGATCCCCGTCATCCACAGCGGAGCGTGTCAGCTGAGCGAGGGCCCGGTGGTCATGGAGCTGGTCTTCTACATCCTGGAGATCATCTCCTAGGAGTCGTTGGAGCTTCATCTTTTCTTTTTTTAGTGACCTTCTGACATCATCTCACGGCCCAGTCCTCCTCCGTCATCTCCCTTCAACCGTTTGCACTTCGAAAGAGCCCGAAAAAGCTGTGCCGTGCCAGGCGGGGTAGCATTCCTCAAGTCAAACCTATGCATCCAACCACCGTCTGTTCTGCTCCAGAGGCCGCCTGGGGCCTGAGGAAGCTCCGAGCAGGATCATCTGTCAGGTGTCCCCACGTAGTGAACCTCACCTGACAGGTGCTCAGATCTCTGGTGTTCGTCTGAGGTGCTCTGAGCAGGAAGTGAACGCCGGAGGTCTTCCCTGTCTGACCCCAGTGTGGCGTTACAGCGGCTATAACGAGAACTAACCTGCCTCGGAAAAGTCTTCAGGTTTTATTGTTTTACAGCATTGAATCAAAGTAGATTTGATGAGGCTGTTTTTTGACGGGGATCAACAGAAAACACAGACTGATCTCTACAAAGTAAAAGTTCGTTATAAATAATAATAATAATAATATTAGGACCTAAATCGTACATTTTTATGAATTGCTTGAAAATATAAAGGAGAGGAAATCATCAGTCACTTTCATTTGCCCAAAGATACTAACCTGATGCCTTAATTTACCCAGAAATCATAGCAAGTCCTTATTATAATAACATACTCACCAACTAAACAGCTTTGTGCAAAAGTCAGAAAACAGGCCGTCCACTCGCCGCTCGCTTGCTGCAATCTGTCCATCCATCCTCAGAGGAGGTGATTACTTCAGTAATCAGAGCTTTCACATTTTTAATTATTTTAGATCAATTTGCAGAGATCAGTTTCCACTCCAGTGTGTAACATTTAGGAGGAGCTACTGGGAGAATATAATGTTCATAGGTGTGTTTTCATTAGTGTGTCCTCTTGTTGAACCACCGTGTTTCTACGGTAGCCCAGAACGGACAAACCCAAAACTAACTGGCTCTAGATCGGTGGTTCTTAACCTTTTTGGTGTCTAGAATCCCAAACTGATAGACATCAGACCCGTATTTGATGAGATGTAGTCTCAGGAATCCCCCGTCTGATGAGTTATACCCTAACTGTGTGTACTGTACGTTGGCAGACTAACAGTGAACCCCCTGAAGGACCCCAGGTTGAGAACCGCTGCTTCAGATGGACCCACTTAGGAACATGAGGGTGTAAACTTACTTTAAATCTGCTTTGATTCAGAGCTGTAGAACAATACAACGTGAATAACCTCCAGGAGAGGGTGACAACTGTTGGTAGACGCTGTATGTAGCTCCTCGGGTTCCTAATCGCCCGTCACTCCAATGTCACTGTGGCAGCCGGAGGTCCTGAAGCACTGAAATAATATCTGCAAAGGCCTCCGTGTAGCACGGTTGCTCTTACACAAAGGGAGGCTCATATCCACTGCTGGAGAGTCTGGACTCTTCCTCTGAAGTTTAAAAAAAACAAAGGAAAGCTACAAATCATCAGATGAGGAGTTGGAAGCGTCTGTGTGGTGATTTTTTTTTCTGGGTTTTGGTTTTAGTTGGGTTTTGGGTTTTTTTTTGCACCGTGGTGCTCAGTGCCTGCAGCAGCGACTTCACCGAGCGAGGGGGAAAAAAAACATCTCGGCTTCACCTCTTTAAGCTTTACTCATCAATCACCAGATGCTTTACTTCACGGACAAATAACACTGACCTGTCGTGTACATATTTTTGTAGGCGTAAAAACTTCTCCTCCATTATAACTCTGCATCTGTAGCCTCCAGAGATCCCAGTTAAAGACAGTATTACTGAAGAGACCGTCACGGACTCGACACCCCCCCCAACCACTCGACTGACGCTCTGTGAAATAAGATCACGTGTTAACAGTAGACAACTGGTTTGAAGAAGAGAAGATAAAAATAAAAAAAAAAAAAAGGTTCCAATGCTTTATTGATAAACTCAAACAATCTGTACATAAAGCTGAAACAGCAGAAGAGGGAAGTTTTTAATCTTCATCGATCATCTTCATCGGCACTCGTTTGTCCAGCAGTGGTTGGAAAAGCCACGCGAGTTATTTTGGTCTTTTTAATCATACAAAGAGAATAACTGTTGAAGATGTAAAGATATATACATATATACATATAAACAGTATATATATATATATATATGTGTGTGAATATATAAGACCTGTATTAAATTGCAGAAGCAGTGCACTGGATTCTAAGCCATTTACAGGAGAGTGACGGCGAGCGTCGGGGCGGCCACTGTGTTCCTGGAAGACGTTTGTAGAGATCCAGGGTTCCTGCAGAAACTAAGAGTTTGATCGACCTGAAGCTGAATGTATTTCATCTCACGTCCCCGTCCCCCCCCCACACCGCAACTCATATCGTCCCTCCCGAAAGCCCTGAAATCATGAACATCCCGCTCCAGACTTTGCAGACCCGCGTAGGAACCCTGTAGATCGCCAATGTGTCGTCTTCAAAGGCCTCAACTGTTTGTGTATCTATAAACAGGATCGCTGCAGCCCCCCTCCCACTGTGCTCTCCTTCGGCAACATGGACCTGGAAAATAAATATAAGAATGTATTCCTCCTGTTTGTGTTCAAACTCTGCAAAGTGTGTTTTTTGTTTTTTTGTTTTTTTGTTTCTGGCTAGACTAATCACCAAAAACCACCGTGTCCTGTCATAAAAATGCTCTGTACAGTAATCCTTCTGCATTATGGAAACTTCTCCATCTTTTAATCATTCTAATATTAAAAACCAGAAGGGGCTACACACACACACACACACACACACACACACACACACACACACACACACACACACACACACAGAAAGTACTGTTCCGCACAGTACCGAGAGGTTTTGTTGACGCATTTTATCGGAGAAAAACAATCTCGTCGTCACAATCAGACAATCACGTGAAAAATCTGCAGAAGAGCCGACGCTTCGACGAGTTTAAATTAGACCCGTAGCTATTCTGTGTTTGTTTATTTACTCAATCTGAAGTATTTTAGGAGCTACTGTAGCAACGTAATGTTAGACTGAATGAGAGGTCAAGGGTCACCAGTTCTGGGTTTTATTACTGTGATCATACCAGAGTTGGTGTATCTCAATCACTGTGTCTTCACTGTGTGACGTTCATCAGCCGCCGTCGGCAGTTCTGTTTTTATAAATTAGTGTAACGAAGAGGAGACACGAGGATTTATTTTTCTGACTTCCTGTTACATTTTATTTTGGCATTATCTGATGTGTGCAATATGTCCTCAATCCAAAAAAAAACAAACAACAACAAAAGAAAGAAAATAAAGTGAAGAAAAGGTGCAATTTGTTTGGAAAAGTAGCATTTTTTTTTTTTTTGTATTGAGTTGTAAGATGTTATTATCCAAACTATAAACACTGCATGCAAACAGAAACAAGCTTGAAAACGGTGACGAGAGCAAATCAACTTTTGCATTTTAACGGTTATATCTTCTAGTTTGTGGGTGAAACTTTAAAAAAAAAACAAATATTCCACTCATTCAGTTCTTTCATTGACTGGGTTTTGTTTTTGTTTTTGTTTTTTTTAATAAACATTAGTCAAAAATGTTTGAAAAGCCAAAAACCCTGTACATCTTTTGTTTTTCTTTACACTACAAATGTCAAGAAAAGTGGTCTTTATCAAAAAAAACTGTAGTATATGTAAAATAAAAACTTATAGAAAATTGAAATGTGCTCAGTTTTTGCCTTCAGTCCTTCAACAAACATTTAAATTCCTTTTTACTGGAAGAAACTTTGAAAAAAAAAACCCATCACAATGCAAAAGTAAAAGCTTTTCTTTTAATTGGTACATTGTTTTGTTTTTAAGCAGGGTCCACAATTAAAAACAAAATATAGCCTTGATTCTGTTTTCGTAGCATTTAGTAAATATAAACATGACATCATTCATCTTTGTAAACAAGTAGGTGATGAAAATGTTTCCACAGACGATGAAATGACGGATTATAACGGTTTCTAATCGATCAGGCCAACGTTTGTCATTAAACTGAACGTCATATGAGCGTCACATCGATGCTGACAGAGAGAAATGTTGTGACCACAGTAACATTTGGCAACTGAATAACGTTGCAGACGGCGTTGAGGTAAAGCTGTTGCTAATGGAAACGTATGTAGTTGGCTCAGTAGGTTTGTTATGGCTTCTTCTTCTTCTTGTGTGCAGCATTTGAGTCGATGCTGCAGGTGAAACTTTAAAGGGTCAGTTCACTCAAAAACAACGTTGGTTTCTCTTTAATAACTCATCAGACGTTTGTGAAAAGATCAATCTCACCAATAATGTCCATTTAGTAGCTGTTAGAAATATAGTCGTTCTTTCAGAGGCACTTTAAGGATTTATTGTAAATTAATTATTTGTCCTTCAAAAAACAACTTTTTTTTCCAGTTGTGATTTCCTTTAAGAAGCACAAACTAACTCTATATAATCCTAATATAAATATCGGCACTAAACTATCTAAAAGCTTTGAGTCATCTGGGTGAACTGGCCCCTTAAAATCATCCAAATGTTCAATATCTGCTGCATAGTTGTAAAAGTCGTTCCATTCAAAGGAAGAGTTTTGAGGAATAAACTTATTGGCTTTCCTGTCGAGAGTTCAGTGAGAAGATCTTTACCACTTCCTCTTGTTTGAGGTTTAAATATGAAACTGGAGCTCGGTCCGATCCGGACTCAGTCAATAGGTGGAGCCGAATGAAGCCTGGTTACAGAAAACAAACGCCTTAAGCCTTAATATAATTTAAACATGTGAGTTAACTCAATAATTCACCCCCATACGGTTGTCATGAGCGGGGAAATAAGTTATAAAGACCAAAACTGTGTTTATTTCTGTTGTTCTGACTGGAAGCAGAGTGGAAACAGCTAGTCACCAACAAATATTTACAGCAAGTTTCTCCCTCTGAAAAGTTTTTACATTTCTGTCTGTGTGCAGATTAAATAAAAAAATACAACCGATGTTAATCAGTGAACTTTAGAAGAGTGTAATTTTAAACTAGGCTAACAGTGTCCTGTGGTATCGATCTTCTCGTCTAACTCTCTGCAAGAAAAATAAAAATAAGTGTATTTCCCAAAAGGTTTAGAACTCTTCTTTTAACTAAAATACGTACAGGATGCAAAGTTTAGTCATCATCTGACTCTTTAACCATCTCATAATGTGTGTTTGCCTTTAATATTAAACTAATATTTAGCTTCATAGACTGACTCTTTACAACTAAAGATCAGTTAAACTCAGCTCAGTTGTGCAATCGAGTGTAAACAAGACAAATATATAAATCTAACAACTAAAAGCCGCAGATAAGAGTGCAGTTTAGTGACCACAGTTAGCGTTGGAGGACTAATCAAACTGGGAGTGTAATAACAATAATTATACAGTCGTACCTTCGATAACGTCATCATTTCTTGGCTTTTTCTCCTGTGAAACGTGTGTGAGGGTGCTGCATCTGCTCGCCTTCTCAAAACCAGGTGACTTGTGGGTTGAAAAACTAAAAAACAAAAAAAACCAGCCCGTGTCCCGTCACATACCAACAGGTTCGGCAGACAAAAGGCAGATTTTCAAATAAGTGCAGGATCTTACAGCAACTGTGATTACTTTGGTATTAGTGCATAGGTGCAGTTCTAGATACCAGCTCTGTATAATATGAAGGAAATATGTACACATTCTTTGATATATATATTAACTAGAGTCATGTCTGGGGCAGCAGGATCAGGTTAGCTCGACACTGAGCCCCCCCCCCTTCTGCCGTCCTCCAGGAGGATGAACCCTCGTCTCCACCTCGTCTGCCTGCTTTCCTCCTGAGCTTTTTATCTGTGCGATTCATCATTGATGACTCAAAAGAGACGACTACCCTCCTCCCTTTCCTCCCTTTCCTCCCTCCCGCCTCGACCTGTCCATCAGCTGGTGTCATCGGTCGCTCAGGCTGGAGAGACTTCATGTCAGTGAGCCACAGACCAGCTGACCTACAGTGAACCAGCTCCATGTCTCCTCCTGGTGGACTGCGAGTGTGAAAGGGAGCTCTGGTGTCTTGCAAGTGTGCAAAAAAGTTTTTTTTTTTTTTTAAAAACAAGTCAAAGACCCGTGTTGGTCTGAGTTCAGTCTGTAGAACAACAGACCGTCCTCGTCACGTCCGAAACGCTGTCCTTCCTCCTCCGGGTGTTTCTGATTGAGTGCCTTTAATCTGCGAGACAGAGGAGCCGTTATCAGAATCAAACGCACCCAAACGTTTAAGATCTACATGGAGGCTTCTATTAATGTGGTATTAGGTGATTCAGAGACTAATATTATGTTATTAATCACATTATCACATATAATGTTTATTTAACGTCACTTTATTCTAAAAGTGTCTTTTCAAAAACTTTCACAAACGGCAAAGATGCGGCTAGTAGGAATTATTTATTTGTTTATTTATTACTATTTATTAATTTCAGATCTTTTAAAGATGTTTATATAATTAAAAATAACATCCAGTAAAAGATCCACTGTTGTAATTCCATCTTGTTAAATCGTACAAAAACTGAGCTGACCTCTATATAAAAAGTTATTTGTAGAATTAATTCTTTGTATTGATTAAACAAACAAGCTATAATTAAGTTAATTAGTCAGCTTTAAAGCGCCAGTAGGTGAATTCTGTTACCTTTGGACAGTTCCTAGTCTTTATGCTAAGCTAACCTAACCAACTACTGGCTGTAGTTTTATATTTAATATACAGACTGGCATCAATCGTCTCATCCTCTCAGATATAAAGTTAAAATAACTGTCTATAAATAACAAATATAATTGAGTTACATTTAAAATTACCTTTCTATTGAGAATTTTCTTGCAGCAGCTTCTAAACGAGAACCTTAGAAGATAAAAAAGAAACAACGTCAGAAGTTTTACACAACCTCAGCAAAAATATAAACTGTGTATTTTAATGTTACCTTCGACTGGTCGATCACCAGCCAGCGCTCGGTGCTCGTCTGCATGTCCTGTCCGCTCAGAGGCTCCCGCAGGCGGATCTTCACCTCGACGCGACCTCCTGTGGGCTTCCGACCGTCCATCACCTGACAGGAGAGACACAACTGTTGAGCCTCCACGATTTACGACGTATGTCTCTCAATCAGCTTTGTTTTATGGAGTTGTGTGTTCGATCGACTCACCTCTACGATCTCCCTGATTTCGCTCTGTGACTCCAGTTTGTCCAGCTTTACGAGGGCCGTCCCGATCGGCTTGTCGCTCCGCAAGAACCCTCTGAGAGACGACACACAGCAACAGTCTCAACACAAAGATACTAGATACTCTGACATGAATACAGATATGATATGATAAAATAACTTTACTTATAATATATATATATATATATATATTATAAGTTATATATTGTGTTTTTCACTCCTTTCCTTTCACTCAAATACAAAAATTAACTGGCAGCAACTTCAGACACGATTGAAGCTGCAGTCCTAAGGTTTTAATATGAAGATATATCAGGGTAACAAATAAATAAATAGTACCCAAATATGTTTTTGTAAAACTACAAATGTGAATTTTAGTAAATATTATAACATATGAATATTGAGCCATGATAATCATTACAATATGAACTCATTGTGTATTCATACTCAGCTGTATTGATGTTGTTCTGTCAGAGTCAGAGTCAGAACTATTTTTATTGATGCATTTTAAGAAGCTTCGACTTCTAGTTGAACCACAAACCCCCAAAAAAACATTCCCCTCACTGAAGTCTCATACAGTCGTTGCAGTAAGTGGGGAGGTTTCCCTGCAGTGTGAGCAGCTCCGTCGGAGATCGGTGACTCACCCTTTGTGCAGCAGCTCCAGCTTGATGCCTTTAGACGCCACCACCCTCCTGAAGCCGCGGTGGTTACGGTTGATTGACAGGTTGAAGCTCTGGTTATATTCTGGAGAGAAGAAGAGATTAAGGATGAAGAGGTGCAGCGTTCTGAGACGTTAAATAAAAAGTGTTTCAGACAAAAAAATAAACAATAAATACAGTTTGTTTTTGTATTTTTCTACCTGTAAACATCCATATTAACCTACAATGGCATGTAAATTATAGTTTTATTATTACTGTTTTATTTGCTCTAACCTGATGCTATACATGAGGGGTAGATATGAAGAGTCCTATCAGCATTAAGATCAACATTAAGATCAACATTAAGATCAGATTAAAACTTTAAAACACATCACCAATCTGTTATTTTATTCCATCTATACGAGCAAGGTGCATAACAACATTAAAGAAACATGTTTCTACAATAATTAGGACACTGTAATTATATAGGAGAGCACTGAACCAGAAGTCTGCCATCCTGATGAACATATTTATAATAATAATAAAGATCTTTAGTTATTTTATTTTGAAATAAAACACCACTCATATAGTCATAAACATAAATGTTTTATCCCAGAAAATAATCACAAAAATAGATTTTAAAAATGTATGAAATAAGGATATTTAATTTTAATGGTTTGTGGATTTACTTTTACTTGTAGCATCACATTAATAAAAAACTTAAATGTTTTGCAGAGGTGAAAAGTACCAAAGTACAAACACTTAAATACTGTACTTAAGATGTTTTTTCAAGATTCTACTTTACTTTAGTTTTCGGACAACTTCTCCTACATTACAACAAATCTCTGAACTTTCTACTCCTGACATTGTTAAAACTGTCTCGTTACTTTAGTTTTAATACATTTGAGGGGTGATAGACATCAAGATCGGTGCATATCACACATGAGAGCTGAAGACTCAACCCTCAGTTAGAGTCACACAGAAACAGCCAGTAGGAATATCCTCAAGAGAAACAAAGAGACTTTTTGCTTTAATAAGTAAGTATATTATTTTATTATCTGTACTTCTACTTGAGTGAAGAATGTGTGCACTTCTGTCACCTCTGATGTATTGAGGGTTTAATCTTCAGACAGTCTGAAGAGATGTTAACAAAGGACAGTCGATACCTTCAGCGCTTAATGAATGGTGTTTGAGTTCAGTATAATATTCTGAAAATAAAATCTACACACATCCACGTTGTCGTCACACAAACAGACAGTTTATGTCTCACCTGGCGAGTTAGTGTTCTTGATGACAGCCGTTTTGTGTTTCTGCGGCTGCTCCTGGTGGCAACAAAAACGGGAAAAACAAACAGTTTCAGGAGAAAAGTCGGCCGTACGAACCGTCTCAGCGAGCACGTGGTTGACTGAGAGAATGGAAACGAGCTGAAGTCTCTTACCGTGCTCGGGTAGGGGAAGTCAAACTTTACGTAGGCATCCAGATCGTTTGTTTGGATCCCTGAAGGAGAAAGTTTGTCACAAAGCAAAGTTAATAATCATCATGGCAACTCAATTTAAGAGAGTTTCACTTCAAACTGAAAACAAGAACAAACACAAAAAGAAAAATACAAAATGAAAAGTTAAAATTTCCACCAGAAACAAAGTGAAAAAACATAATTTTAAGGCTTCTTTAATTGAACTGAAGGTATAAAACACCACTTCTCAGAACAGTTTCATGTGAACCAACCATACAGTGTTTATAAAGGACTGATCGGTGAAGCTTTTTGTTTTTACCACTAGGAGCAGGAAGATTCATCCCTTTGACAATAATGACAACCATGTCAGTGCTGCTCAGCTCCGGAAATATCCTGAAAGGGAGCGAAAGAAGAAAGAAAAGACAGAGATTTACTGCCTTGGCATCTACGTTAAGTACAAGTAAAGTTAAAGTGCTTTAGGAAATAATAATAGAAAGGGTGAAGGAGAACATCAGAGGTGACACACTAATTATAACCTCAACAATAAACATAATGTTGAATTAACACCAGTCAGACAGGGTAAGAAAACACTGAGCATTATAACCTTCTTAAATGTAGAATTTGTGGCAGATCTGTTGTATTGGATTGTATTAAATTGTACGCCATATTTTTAAACATTCAATACCTTTATTACTAATGAATCAGAACTTGTCAGGACTTAAGAACATTTTAAAGTTCAATCAGCGTTTCTCAAACTTTTTACACCACATGTAAAATATAAACAACAACAGGATCATATGCCGACTTATTCCCCTACAGACAGCTCACACAGGAGGCAGGTTTATTCCTAATAAGATTATTTACTGTTGACTGAATTGAATCTTGAACATAATCAGTTTGAGAATCAGAGATTTGGTGGAAAACGTCGTACTTCTTCCTAATAGTTCCTGTTTGAAACAACGACTGCGGTGTTTTTGAATCATTTATTTTCCCTTCACTTACTATCTTACCATCACATTTTATCTTGTAGCTAATTATGGATGCACGCATGAGTACGCAGCAGACTGATAAATTATATATATAAATAATAATGCAGGAAATTATTATTTATTCTTTTAAATTACATTTCAGTGATCTTATAATTCAATATATGTATTAGTGAGTATTGTGTTTTTAAATTACTTTATTTTATTCTTAAAAAAATATATTTCAGAAGTTCCTCTACGTACCACTAGAGGCGGCTGGCGTCCCACCAGCGGTACACGTACTACAGTATTAGAACCATCGATCTAAAGTAAAGCGCCCACCTGACGGTGTGAAACGACCTCTCCTCAAAGTGATGTTTAGGAGGAGGCAGACCTCTCGACTGCGCCAACTTCAACACCTCCAGACTCTTCTTACAACTCTCCGCCATCTTCTCAAACCTGCAGCGCACGCACACGCACACACACACACACACACACACACACACACACACACACACACACACACACACACACACACTGAGAACTTGTGGGTTTGTCAGACAAAATATCTGATAACATCACTTTAAACTCTGGCGACATTTTATAGACATAATCCAGTTTAATCCAAATAGATGTTCTGCTAAAGAAAACAGTTTCAGGCTTTCTCCGGTGTTCTAACGGAGTTTGGAGTTTGTATGTAAACTTAAAAACTGTTCACTGCTTACTTTGTTGTCTGGGAGACGTTCCCCAGGTGTGTGAATTGCTTGGAGTGAGTCATACATTTCTAAAAAGGGGGAAAGAAATCTCAGGAGATCTCAAGGAAAATGTTTGTCTTCACAACAAGAAAAGAACAACGTGTGCAGAGCAACGAGACGGATTAGAGTTTCTTCTGGAGGATCTGGGATTTAAACATTGAAGTTTACTCGTATGATAAAAATGTTAAAAGTTGTAATTCGTATCTTATCACCGCGTAATCAATAAGCTGAAATTCTTAATTTTGTATATATAAATAATGTTTTTATTAACCCATGAAGATGACAAACATCAATGTTATTTATCCTGATAACAGCTCGGCCTAATTTAACTTTTATAAACTTCATTTCATTTGAATTTTTATTTTAGAAAAATGTTCAAGCTTCCAAATTCTGGTGAGAAATGTAAATTAATCCAATTTCAAACATGAGCTGTGGTTGGAAAAGATGTCCATAAATATTAACATACTTTTCTTCTCAGAAATGAATTAATGGAATAACAACAGTGGACACAACATCGTAACAATCTGTAATCGTCTTTTTCCTGCAGCTTTACCTCATACTGCTCTTTGAGGATCTTTGCCAGCTGTGTGTAAACCTGCTCGGCTTTCTCTGAGATCTGCACGTCACTGTGATGGACCAGGATGAAGTCCTCGTCTTCGTCACCAGGGGGCGACGGCACCTGCAGATACAGGACAGAGAGAGAGAGTCGGATTTGGTTATTATTTAGTACCAATTCAGTGACATAACTGACTGTAGTTTCAGGTTTTAGCAATGCACCTTTGGTTAGCTCTTCCTGCTTTTAATTACTGATCAATAAAAAATCCTAATGCATGTTTTGTTTTGCCTCATTTTATCTCTGAATGTGACATTTTTTAAGCCACTGCTCTTGGTTGCACTGACACACCATAAAAGAGTTCAACTTATTCTAGGGAGAGAAAAATCTGAATTAAGACAATTTCCCACAAACAGGAAACAGATGTTTTCTTCAGCAGAAGAATAAACGCAGCTCAATTAATCAAACTGTGAGATCACATCTGAGCTAATTTTTATGTAACAAATAACCATAATCACCCCCCTACTCTCATCCAAATCCATTTCCACTGACTCATTAAGGCCCATTTATAACCCCAAAAGTCTTCAGTTGACTGCCAGTAGCAGAGAAAACTCACCGTGCTGATGTCCACAGTTTTGCCGCTGCGTGCTGCTTCGATTATCGGGTCGAAGCCCTTGGCGGTGCGGAGGAAAACCTTGGCCTGCTCCATGTCGTTCTTCTGCTTCGCCTGCAGAGCCGCCTTCATGTACTGCTTCTTCCTGCCCTCCAGGAACTCCAGCTGCTGAACCGCTGGAGGACGAAGACAGAGAGGAAATACCAAGTAAAACAATTGTAAACAACCAGACGCAAAGCAAATTAATTAGGGGATGAAAGTTAAAGCTACAACATTAAATCAAGTTTATTAATACAGAACGTCTGAAAGAACCAGAGTTGACCAAAGTGAATGTCACATCAACAGCAAAGACATTTACATTGAAATAGTAGTAAAAAGGCACAAAATATATAGAAACACAAGGCGATATCTAATATGTGCGCAAATGTGAAACAGAAACAACAAAACTTGAATTACTATAAACTGAGTTCTTAAATTTGTAAGAAGGACAAACCTCAACCTCAACCATTCTCAATTCTTATACATAAAACATGATTACTTCTATAACTGGATGAAGTCCTGTACAAGCAAACCAGAGGTTCAGTAACACCTTTAATTTAACAGTCTAAAACCTTAAAATATACAATTTACTGTCATATATGGCACTTAATTGTTAAGCGTAACGTCACAGAACTGAGTGACTTCCTGTGGATGTTCGCTGCTACAGAGACAACCGGTGTATTTAAAAATCTCTCTATCTCTGTCACACCAGAGGTTGAACTGAGTGTATTTGAAGGACGTGTTGTTTCCTTTTAGGACCGACCTGTTGGTGAGAGTCGGTCCCTGGCTGCTGCTCTGTCAGGTGACGCTGACGGTGTCCTTTTCCTTCCTTGACCAGCGGTGGGGACGTCTAACGTGGGCTTCTGTGGAACAGCCGGCTTAGACTGAACACCAAACACAAAACAACTGTATCAACAATTCATCCACAAAAAAAAAAAACCTAATAAAATAAATTATAACATACTGATGACAACCCACCTCCTCTTCCGTCTCTTCATCTTCTTCTTCATCTGCTATTTCGGTAACATCGGTGGAGGTAAGTTTATCAGCTGCCACCAGAGCGGCGACGAATCCCTGCTCGGCTCCTGTCGCCTTCTGTCCCGGGATCGGAGGAAAACCTGAAAGATATAAAAGTTCTCAATCTGACGCTGCGATCTAGATTTACTCTTTTGGTCAAAAAGGACAAAAACACGTCTTGTGGCGCCGCTACAGAGACTCACTGACAGCACACAGTTAACACCTCGGGAATACAGAACCGGAAACACAAATCCGATTTTACGGAGCTCGGAAATTACCCTCAACTTAAAGAACATGAATCATAAAAGAATCTCACCAGGGGGAACCGGCAGCTCCTCAAAGTTTACTGCTTTTCCTGCTTTGTGAGCTCGGATGGCACTCTGGTATTGCTGCAGGAGGAGAGAGGGATATGCTAATGTAATGGGGGTAAAAGGAGGAGAGACTTGTTGCTGTAAAGTGCTCGTAAAGTATAATATTTCTGAGGAGGGTGCCATTGTTGTTTTGTCCATTCTTAGTTTACTTTATTCATATACTTTGAAGATTAAAGTCAAATCTCTTTCATTGTGTCTTTACAGGTCCAGTGTGTAACATTTAGGCTCTATTGGCAGATGTAGAATATAATAATATATAATAAATGTGTTTTCATTGGTGTAAAATCACCTGAAAATAAGAATCCTTGTGTGTTTGTTACCTTAAAATAAAGCTTTTTTACACACTGTTATACTGAATGGATGTTTAACTTGTTTCACAGCTGAATTTTATACTGATGTGCCAGCTTTGTTGTATTTATTACACCAGTAACTGAGAGACAATCGAGTATAAATACTGAACATAACACAGTTTTAGTAGGAGAGTCTCTCCTTGTACCTTGGCGATGCGGTCGTGCATTCGGGCCTTGCGGTCGTCCCCACTGGCTTTGGCCTGATTGGACGCCTCCACATACTTGGCCCGTCTCTGCTCGAGAGCCTCCAGCACGTCTTTGGGAGCCGCGGGGGCTGATGGGGGGTCAGAGGCTGAGGCGGGGGTGAGGCAACAACACAGTGTTTGGTTTTTAAGCTAAAAGCATGCTAATATTTGCTAATTAGCACTAAACAGTAAAGTACAGCTGAGGCTAGTGAGAACGTAATTATTTATGCAGGTATTTGATCATAAACTAAAGTATTAAACGAATGTAAATGTCAGGAAATCATAGTTGACAGTTGAATATAACCACAGAGATGTTTGACTGAATTATAATTAGTTCTGTTCACTCATTATCACCTATTATCAGCGTATTGTTGTTTTTTTACAAACAGCCTCTGTGGGCGCGCTGTGCACGACACCAGCAGTGTGTTTTCTTCACTTTGAAGTCACCTCTTGTGTTAACCCTGAAGCTGACATTAGCTGATATGAATACCGACAAGAGAAGTAGGAGGGTGATCGGAAAAAGAACTGCACGTCTGCACAAAAATAAAACATTACCACAACAATACAAGCAAATATATATAGTTGTTGACATTATTATCACCTGGAGCTGCTGCAACCGGTTGGGTGGCCTCTATTTTTTGCCCCGGGGATGTTTCCTTCACTGGAGCTGAGCTTCCTTCTGAACCTAAACACACAAGATGAATTAAAACATACAGAAGCAGGTACAACAGGCTTTATTGACTCTGCAGAAGATGTGTCTGGAACCTACTGATTATATATTTCCTCATCTACATTCCCTTTCCTGAAAGACCCTCGTGACCACCGTTGGATTTCTAGAATAGTTGATGTACTATATTATATCATTTAAAATGTTTATTGTTCTGCTGTTGCTCCTGTTTTTTTTTTCTATCTTACTACAACAGATCTTAAAACCCACTTATTCTTGGATTTTTCAAGATTTTCTTGGAATTTGAATTGGATTTATTGTGTTTTATACACGTATTCTCTTCTGTATCTTATATTTCCCACAATATTCCTTCTGTGTATCACCTTATAACTTCTGTTTTTAAAAGAACTATACTAGACTATCATAAAAACACTTTAATACTAATAATCGTTCCTTACCCTGTCCGGGAGATGGAGGAAGGCCACTCAGGTCGACTGCTTGTCCTTTCTCCAACGCCTCAATCACTGCATCGAACCTCTGCGCCAAAAAATACCAAAAACCCCAAACTCTGTCAGACATAATAATGGTCTTTGTTCACTTCCAAATTGCTGGCATGTTTCACATACTTGAGAGAGAAATCCTGCAGTCAGAATATGCAGCAACAGGACCAGACAACAGACTGCACAGACAACAACATGTAACTGTATGTTTGACTCTAAATATTAAAAAATAAATATTTCTGAGACATACAAAAAAATCTAATTTGGGTTAGTTTCATGACTGATGTCTGGTATATAAACTTAAATATAATGTTAAATGTTGATATAAGTTAAAAGTACAGGAGGACCATAATTCTGAACAAAAACAAGAAAAATAGCAGTTTTATTTTGCAATAATCCTGCAAGGCATCAGGTTAAAAAACAATGTGTGTGTGTCTACAGTCGATTGTCACAAAGCAGCTGCTGCTACATTCCTACAGCAGAAACTTGCTCTGCTTAGCAAAATAGTTTGAATGCCGCTTCCAGTTCAGCAGAAACAAGGCTTCATTATGTGCATTTAGCTTGCAGCGATATAAAAGGTACAGAAAACGTAACGGAGAGAATGAAGGAAGTCGTTTAAAGTGTAACTCAGCAACTATACATGTTATTTAATTATAAGGAAAAGACAAGAGGGATTTTACCTGCTGATATTGGATGTTGCCAAAAGCTCAAAATAAACAGAACTAATTAGAATTTTTATCTTGAAATTTTCAAAAACAAAAAAGTCCTCCAGACTTTATCAGGTTACACATCATTTATAAAACGCTGGCACACAACTGAGAAAACATTTTCAGAATATTAAAATGTATGCAAAAACTGTGTTACTGAACCACTGCTGATACAAATTTCTGCACAGCAGGTGTGTTGTCTTTCCACTCACCTTGCTGGTCTTGAAGTAAAGCCGAGCTTGCTCCACGTCTCCCTGCTTCTTGGCTCTCAGAGCTGCCATCTTGTATTCCTTCTGCCTCTCCAAGAGCAGCGTCTTGGTTGCCTCGTTCGCTGTGGATTCACGGGACAGAAACACACAACAATTACCGCAGTGAAAAGGTCACATGCATCTCATATTGAGGAGCTAGAAAAACAACCACTTTCCCTGTAGAATGTAATATATCTGTCAGACAGATAAACTGAGTATGTTGATTAACAATTATTATGAGGAAGAGAGGAAATGTTCCATTGCTTGTGACTTAATTCCTATTTAAAGCAGTGTATTGTATGTAAACTGTGCTGGAATACAGAATGGGGGAATCATATTAAAGATCGAACTAAAGTTTACGTGTACATGGTTATTTAGCCTGGTGAATCAACATTTAACCAACTCGTGTCTAATTTAGGGCCAAATCAACATTTCCTTCGTGTCCACAAGCGCACAAATCTCGCTACTTACCAATCCTAAACATGAGCCCCCCCCAGTTTCAGTATGTTTGATATATCAGTTTATATGGCAACATCTACATCTTTTAGCCACCTTTGTTACCTTGTTTTAGTCTTTGTAAATTGAATAAAAACATCATGTAGGGTACCCAATGTCACAGTTACACATCCCAGAAGCAAATTTTTGAGTGTCTGTGTAGTTTGTAAGTTATGGTGATAATGTAGGCTCTCAGTAGGCCCTATAATATATATAGTATATCATAAAATGTTGTATAATCCAACTGAAACTGACCATCTGTTTGAGGCTGGTCGGCAGGTTCCTCCGCCTGCTCCTCTGGAGATGGGACGCTGCTCAGAGCGGGCAGGGCGGAGGAGGACGACTGCTCTCCTTCACTGCTGGGTGTGACGATCTCTGGTGCAGCAGGCTGATCTGAAGGACTGGATTCAGGAGGTGAGGGTACAGGAGGAGGGGGTCGTTGGGGAGCAGCGGGACGAGAGGCGCCACTCGGGGCTCCAGTGGCAACAGGAGGAGGGATCTCCGCCTCGTTCACGGGTCTCCCTTTTTTCACAGCAGCTAACATCGTCTCCAGAGTCTGTGGAGAGTAACATTAACAATCAGTAACATCTGTAAAGGATGTACAATATATATAGTTATAAACAATGAAAGAAGAAAATGAGTAAATATCTTCAATAATGAGTTTTGAGGATTTATTTAGAAGATGATAAAACAGCATAATGTCTTCTTTTAATGAGCCAACAGTGTGATCAGATATGTAAATACCAACAGATTGTGTTTCTACAAGTCTGTAGCTTTTGGGCGTTTTGATTGATCACATAAATTATATATTATTAACATTACATAATGCTTATTGAGGAATTCATTTTCATCTGGGAAAACTGCTTTTATTTCATTGAATATACAGAATAAACTTAAGTTTGGGAATCAAATAGTGAAACTCAGATAATATAAATAATAGTTTTTACAATAAAACCTCCTCGACAGAGATAAATCAAAGTAAGATGACTAAACATACATTCAAATGACATTATCATATTAAATGGTGTTATGCTGGTGATTGAAGCAATAAAAACACTTATTAATGACTTGTGAACATTTATAAGTGCTGACTTGATGTCTTATTAAGAAAGAATAGTTTATAGTTAATGTCTTATAACGGATCTATATAAATAATAATTCATTATTTATTCATAATAAAAGCCATCAGTTACAACTTATAAACCCTTTGTAACGTCTGCCTGATGAGATAATTGTACCAACAAATCTGTGTAACATGTTAACATGTTTATAACTCATCCCATATTTTAACAATGACTAATAATAATAATAATTCATAATGGAAATGTTGCTGTAACTCTGCATGTTGAACCAACATCATCAGTATTTCCACTCACCTTCAGGCCGCGATCGTACCTCCGGGCTTTGGACGTCTCCCCTGCAGTCTTGGCGTTTTGTAAGGCCATCTTGTACGTGGCTACTCTCTCCTCCAGGGTGTGTTGGAGGCTGCCGGGCACTGCTGAAGAGACCTTTACTTCCTGCTGCTTCACCAAAACAACAGGCAGGTACTGTCAACATTGTCTGAAAACAGCTGGTGAATCTACGCTAGGTCAAGAACTCACTCTGCACACAAAAGCTTAAAAGGACTTATTTAGATATATATAGATATACTTAGATACAGGAAGAAATAAAAGACTGATTGCAGTTTATACACATCTAAATATACTTTTTAATCACTTGTTTAAAATGCTAGACAAAGTATTTTAAGTATTTTAAGTACACTGAAACACACATAAGGGAAAGTAGCCGGAAATGTGTTTGCAGGACAGCACAGACTTACCTCAAGTGCATCTATTCTACCAGTCGCATTATCAAGTAAACAACTATTGTATGCAGATAAAGTTAAACCAAAAATAAAATCAATTGTAAACCAGTGGGCCTAAAAAATACGTCTGCCCTTTCCTGTTACCGGCAACAGCTTAACTTTTCCACCATCTGACACGTATTTTGGTGGCCGGTGGTGTCAGTCACAAAGCTGGCAGAGAGCGACATGTATTGTACCTGCAGGAGCGGCGGCGGCGGAGCTTGAGGAGATTCAGCAGTGGCAGCAGAGGACGGGGAGGAAACAGTTGCAGCATCCTCAGCTTCCTCCTCACCCACCACTTCCTGTAGCTCTGCCTGATGGGGGGGAAAAATACAGCAACTGATCAACAGCCAACTTTGATTATTTGTACGCGATGCTGGATTTCAGAAGTACAGAGTGGGAGACGAGTTTTCCGTTCGACGGTTTGGTGAAAGCCTGTCTGACAAATAAAAGTTCTGTAGACTGAAATGTGCAATTAATAGACTGATTAATCTGTAAATGTGTGTAATGAAGAGGTATTTCTTCAGCATTATTGTACACAGAACACACAACCAGGTCAGATTGAGATGTTTTTTCCACTGTTTTTTGGGAATGTAACGATACACTAAACTCACGATATGATTGAAGACAAATTTATTCCTAAAACAATAATCTACTAAATATATTTTCTTTATCAAATGTAAAGAATATTTATTTATTTATGAGTTAGGGTGTAAACTGTGCAAAACAATGCTTTTTTCCTTTTCTTTGTAAGAGTTAAACGGATGTCTTTGATACCACCTTCATACCACGATTCATTTTTCATCTCACTGATTTCAATCTTGCGATTTAACCGTCTCTATCTTCACATTCACTTTACAGCACTTTTGGGTCTTGAGGTGAGCCAGTAATCAGGTGGACCTCTTCTGGTTATCATAAATGATGGTTTTGGTGTCTCTGATTGTTAAGACGAGACTGAATTCTTGAAATTACCAAATAGGAGCAGAAGGAGGAACCAGATTATCTGTCTCTGTACTGTTGTCAGGATATAGTGAAAGTCTCACTAATGTTGACAAAAAGTTATCATTCATAAAAGTTGCCAACAGCAGCTTTAACAAGGTTGAGCGGAGGATCAGTGCCGGGAATTATTAAAGAATTAAAGGACTTCCTGCTTTTTATATTTAGTAAGTTTGACTACGACTGTAATGCTGTCACAACAGGCCTCTGTAAATATTTGATCAGACAGCAGCAGCTCACTCTGAACGCTGCCGCCTCACTTCAGTCCGGATCCAACTCTGCTCTGAGTTCATGTGTCAAAGTTTATTATGAGTTAGTTACTGAAGAGATTTCTTCTTTTACCGCAGCACAAAGTAGTTCTGTACCACTCGGTTTACAACACGGGGTATTTTGTTATTTCAGACCAATAAGTACTGTATAAATGTGAAACTTGAAGTCACAGGCTCACAGTGAGTGCATGAAAGCAACGCGACACAACAATAACAACAACAACAGCCCAAAATAAATAGTTTTTTCTTTGATTGGCTGCATTGAGTTTGTCAGATTTAAACACTTAAACTCTGGTATGAGGACAAAGATAAATAAACACCAACCAATAGATCTTCATCGTCGTCCAGGTCACTGTCATCTTCATCCTCGTCCACATCCCTCATGCACTCGTCGGCCATTCTTGCGATGTCTTCCATCGGCAGCGGAGCTGCGACACAAATATCATGTAGCCAACTGGGTTTGTATGCGAGATCAATAACACGTATCACTAATGCAGCAATCTGCACGTTGTTGCAGGAGGAGTACAAAGCAACTGTAAGTGTACCTCCCGAAGGACTCGCAATGCTTTTATCTGCAGCGCTGATGGTTTTAATTCCTCTAACAGCCGATGTTGAGCTTGAAATATCAGACTTTTTATTGTAATAAAGAGAAAGAATTGAGAGACCTTTGGGAGTTTGTCCACCAAATGTAAGACCTTGAACCTCGGTCAACTTCTCCCGTCTTGTAAATGAAACTCTATCTGCTGGGCTCGCCTAGTTTTGAAGGTGGTTAAAGGTCCAGTGTGTAACATTCAGGAGGATCTATTGGCAGAAATTGAATATAATATTTATAGGTATGTTTTCATTCATGTTTAATCACCTGAATATGATAACATTTTAATTATTTCTATCTTCCATGTTGTCGCTGTCGTTTTCTCTTGACACACAACTCCCTCTCCTTCCCTCGGTCGCCAAATACAGACGCGAGTGGTGTTCAGTTAGTTTCAATCTGCATCTTCACCACTAGACGCCACTGAATCCTCCACGCTGGTCCTTTAAAGCTGTGAAGCTACAAAAAACCAGCCCCGGTAACTAAACGACTAGAGATAAAATGTGTAAACTGCCAACTAATAATAATATTAATAATAATAATAATAATAATATCAGTCTCTGTATCATGTTATTATTATAAATCCTAACCCCTGCACTCACTTTTCCCCTTCTGCCTGGCTCTTCCTCCTCCAGCAGCAGCTTTATCTCCAGTAATAGCAGCAAGTTCAGCCTCCAGATCCGGGTCGTCCAGACTCCCCTCCATCAGGATCATGTCCTCCGGGTCCAGATCCACAAACAGACCCATCTGAAACCGGGAAGTCAGAGATAAAAACATGGCGAGTTTACTCCACATGAACGTTGTTGTTGTTATTATTGTTGTTGTTGTTGTTGTTGTTACCTGTTTGGCTGCAGCAGCGCCCTGGCCTTTAGGCTGTGGTGCTCTCTTCTTCTTCCCAAACATGTTGTTGTTGTTGTTGTTGTTTGTAGTAGATAAACAACCCCTCTCTCTCTCTCTCTCTCTCTCCACCGATCTAAAACTACAAACACATCAATAAAGATCTGTTCCCTGATGTGTAACGTCACCGGTGCGGCGGTTGAACGTCATGTGAGCGGTTGTCAGGTGGCAACGGGCGGCCAACTGACGGCCAACTGACGGCCGTTACGTTAGCCGAGCGGCTAGCTGCCCTCCATGTTTCTCTCTCTCTCTCTCTCGCCTCTTTTTAAAAAGTTTGTTCAGAGAAAGAAAGAGAGAGACAGTCGCCGCCATTCAGGAGAGTTTAATCCAGCTTTTTAAAAAACAGCGTGTGTGTGTGTGTGTGTGTTTACCTGCTCGTTCACCGTTTCATCAGTTAGTTTTCAAACGGACAGTTTCATCCGTGCTTTGACATGTAAGGGGTTTGTTTGAGTACGCATGCGCGGAGAGACTGCGCGTCCGTGTTCTGGTTTGTTGTTGTTTCCGCCCCGAGTCTGGTCTGTGAGGCGGCTCAGATTATTTATTGATTAATGAGTGAAATACACAGATATTTAATGAAGTAAATTAAGTTTTGTTGTCACATACACAACCACAACGTACAGGGAGATTATTAGGCGCCTGTATCCAGAGTCTAACGAATAGATATAATAGATATAATGAAGATTAATCTGTTAATAAAATATACAAAAATCTTGAAAACTGATCAAATAAAACAGAAGATGATTATAATGTAATAAAATACAGTAACAATTGATGGTAAAACATGACTGAGTGTGAGGGAAAGTGAAACGATACAACCAGTAATGAGTTTTAGAAAAATGAAACTGAAATAATTAAATAATAATAATAATAATATATATATATATATATATTATGATATAAGGTGACATCAGTGTGACAGTGATGTATGGCAGTGGATGTATTATAAGTTATGTGTGTGTAAAGTCACTGATTGAGGACCTGAATGGCCTGAAGGAAGACACTCCTCTTCCTCCCTCTTAACTGAGGTTCAACTTAATAAATCTGTTAATTAAGTGTCAAATTAAATTTGACACTTACAATTTGAAACGTATAATAAGTTAAATGTTTCTGGTTTCATCTTTCATTTGGAATTCAATTATTGTAATATAGGAAAACCCAGAAATCTATACAATGACCTTCTTACAATACAATGTGTTTTGATAATAATATAATATATAATCATTTTATATTATATCAAATTCATATATGATATAGACATCTAACTGTATACAAGTACAATTGATAAGCAATGTTTATATATTTGATCTATTAGTAGGATTTGCTTCATGATTACAAGAATTAAGTTTCAGAGAATAAAAAATATTACATAATATGTATATAAGTCCTCAGATTTCTCTTTTTAAAGTCAGAATTCTTTAATAAATCTGTATCAAACACATTTTAACTCAGTTGTAGCCCAATTAGTCAGTTTGTTGTAGTTTCTGTACTCAGAAATGAAACTTGGAGTGAAAACGAATTCTTTCAGTTTCATTTAAGGTTTCTGAGCCTGAGAGGAAGTCTACCTGACAGACTGTGTTCAGGGCAAATGTCTACAACCTATAAATCTCTATAAATCTCTATAAAAGCTATAAGTCCTAATTTCACTAACAGAGGAAAATAAAAATGCAACACTTCTTTGTAAACAAAAGATATTTTTATTTACTCGATAACAGCATACAGAAAAATACTAATACTGAATAATAATAAACGATTAATAACAAAATATCCCTTCCATGATATCAATCCAGATCAGGAGATTTAGGCCACAAACTTTGTGATTATAGACAGTTTAAGCCTGACATTTAGTGCAAAGAGAACCGGATCCAGATTCTTCTTTAGGTTTATACTTTATAGGAATGAAATGTAACAGAAAATGTAAATTTAAACGTAAGTTTTTACAGCTGCCGGCTCAGATTGGTGCAACGTCACAGATCCCTGTTGTTGCTGCTGAGCAGTTTGGGGTAGGACGTACCGATGGATCGTCCGTGCCGATAGACAACCAGCTCCAGCATGTACTCGTCCACCTTCACCGTAACGGACGTCATCTTCTCAGTCGACATGAGGAAGATGATGGTGAAGAGAGCTACCTCAAACTCTGGACTGACGCCAATGAAGGAGCCGCCAACCGGCTTCACCAAACCTTTCCAGCTGAACTGCAGGTTCAGGACATGATCGTCTTCATCGGGCTATGAAAACAGTGACGAAAAAGGTTCATTAAGGAACTCATATATTGTATTTGTTGTTCATTAATGGCAGTAAACTAACAAAAGAGAATAAAAATTAGGTTTTTTTTACAGAAAGTGCTCAGTGTCTTTATGGTGGATCTAGTTGCACTGTGTGTTTTCTTACTGTATCTTTGTTGTCTCTTGCTTTGTAGCCTTTGTAGTCAACGTGGTTGTGTTTTTCCTGCAGGTAGAACTGGACCCAGTTGTGAAGACCCATGACCTCCTGACCGTACTTGGTTTCTCCCACAAACACGTGTTCAAATCCACAGGAATCCTCACTGTAATAAAAAAAATCAACATGTTCCATGATACAGTAAGTTTATAACCCCTCCATGTAAGCTCTCATTCATCCCGGGATCATGTCCGTTTTTAACTTTATGGCCTCTTATCTGCTGTGTTTGCATTGTCGCCTGGATAAAGGATGGAAGCACTAAAGGTAACTGTGACTCTCTGTTAAAGAAACAGCTGAGTTTAAACCATCAGATTTATTCTTTAGGATTAAAGTACATTCTCGACCCTGGAAAACCTCGGTAGTTTAACTCCTCTGTACCCCTTTGTGAAGCAGTCAGATGGAGATGGAGAGCCATATCTGGTCAAAAGTTATTTGTTTAGACTTCATTTATATCTTTTCTTTTCTCAGTCTGGAAGCAGGATTACTACATGCTTGAGAAGGAAGTTCATCTTCTGACTTCCACAAGTTATTCTGTAGATGATTAAACCTGTGATCTCTCTGCTAACAGTCAGGATTGCCTCTGTAAACATTACAAAGGGCGCCCCCTGCTGTTACGATGTTATTTCTGAAACTCACCCTCCACTCCTGTCCCTGTGGTAGAGGCGGAACCAGATGTCGTACAGCTGTCTCTTGAACTGTCCGGGGTTTGATGGCGACTGTCCCTTCCTGACCAGATACTTGTGAGCACACTATAAAGAGGACACATACAGTTTGATGGTCAGGCTAGGATCAAAGAACAGGGTAGGAGAAGAGTATAGTGCATATATATGAGAAGGGAAGAACAAACAGTTGATAAAGATAGTTTGTCAGGAACATTTAAAGATATAATTTGTAACATTTTCACATTAAAATGACTAAAAACACTAGATCTATGTTATATATGTTGTTGAGTTGTGTACTAACATTATCCCAAATGTTTAAACAATGTTCAAACTCACAGAAATGTTATTCTATTCAGGTAACAACGGTTCACCAGTTGCCTGTCAGTGGAGTCATATCTCCTTTAAGCATGTCTTGTGGTTGAAGCTGTCATAAAATGACTTTTTTTCCAGCTTTAAGCCACATTTTTACGATACACTTTGTTGTTTTTAACTCTATATTTGAACTTGATGATGGAATTTAGTCATCAGATGTCTGGATCTTAAGTTATCAGAGAAACAAGCTGATATTTAAGGTAAAATTCCTTTAATTCAGTGTCTTTACTGGTTTTAATCACCAGGTCTGTTTGTTTTGGAGACCTCTGTGGATAATTCAGCTCTTGATAGAAACCTCCTGAACAATGAACACTGAAGGAATCCTAACTGGGAGAAGCTGACTGCAATGTCAGCAACTGAGGAAGACCCTGTGATAAGCCCAAAAGCTCCAGAACAGCAACTAAACTGACTTTGTTTTGAGATTGTTTACTGACCAGTGATACGTTTGACTTGAAATTTCTTGTTATTGATCACAAAATGTCCTTAAAATGATGCTAAAATAAGGATGTACAGCAGACAGATTGGTGACAATTTAAAGACAATCTCAGTTTCTGGAAACCTCTTCATTCTCTAATAGGTTTTAAATTGATTCATATCATTTTCATTCTCATCCAACCATTCAATGACCTAACGTGTCCTCTCTGAAAGCATCTGCATGTGTCTCCACTCATTCAATCAGGTTTTTTTCTTTAATTTGAAAACATAATGTAACATTGAACACATTTTGCCAATCTACAGGACTGAAGGTAAACTCTTTAGTGAAGTATGTAGCTGTTATTTTGTGTGAATGTTCAGTTTCTCTAGATTTTCCATCCTTGTGCTAAAAGCCTTCAGTGTTTTCTCTAAAATGCTTCTTGTTATGGAGAACAAGCCATTAAAATAAGCATTTTATAGGGCCAGGTGACTGGTTGAACCTGTTATATAAAGGTGGGGGAACAGCAGTGGCAGACAGGAACCTGCAACAGTAAATAACAGCTGATGCCTGGTTTTCTAGGAAGTCAACTTCACACAGACTCTTGAAACTCTGTCAACATTTCGGGAGGTAACCAGGAGTGTAAACAGCTGCTGTGTAGGATGTTTGTAGATATAAGAGATGACCCCTTCTGTCTCTCACACAGTTACTGCACCTTCATGATATCAGTCTCCATTATGGCGTCGATAAAGATTCTGTTCTCCTGAAGCTCCTCTGACGTTACTGTCTCTGACACGCCTGTGGACGCCTCGTAGTTGTCCAGCAAGTTGATGAAATCTGTGTAAAATCGACACTTGTTAAAGACGTAGTTGGTTCCAGTAAAAGAGATGATAGAAGAAATGACAGGAGAGGCTACTTACGAGCATACGTCTCGATGCTCTTGAGTTTGTCTTCGTTGACGTACGTGAAGAGCGGAGCCCTCGCTCTGTCTCTGGCATAGTTACTGCCCTGAGCCACGTAACCTGCCCTCCCCTGAATACAACACATGTAAATACACAGACAGACATCAGCACTGACTCAGAGGTCGACATTCATTGCACAGTCTGTACGTTTTCCCCAGTTTTCCTGTGTAACATAACAACAAAGTGACACAAAATGAGGGAATACATACGTCTCTTTTTATTTGGTATAAAAACACAAAAGCATCCAGTTCATCACACGTATAATGAGTCTATAAATACATATAAAAGGTTATTTAAAGTAACTGATAGCTTAACTTTATTCTCTGTTTACTAATAGGAAACGTACTGTATAAAAAGTACAGTATATATACAATATACAATAAACTGACTTTATAAGTATTTAAAGGTCCTGTGTGTCGAAGAATCGCTGGCATCTAGTGAAGTTGACAAGAACCTAAAAAAAATCTTAAAACTATCTGTTGGTCGTCACCTTGGACGTCCACGTGTGCCGCATATATCTCTGAGTGTTTTTGCATTGCAGAGAAGTGATGACGGCAGTATTTGTGATACTGACCTGGAGGGAAATGATGTAATCAGTCCCCGGCTTGAGACGGTTGGTATCAAGGCGCCAGAGTTGGTTGAACACCTCTGTGAGCTCCTGGTCGGCCTGCTGACTGTGAAAATGCAAAGAAAACATAGTGAATTAAGTAGAGTAGAAGTGGAAGACAAAACTAAAGTTTGTGACACTTTAAACATGCATTTTGGAATCAACTAATAACTAATAAAACTACTACTTTGTTCTTCATGGAGAGAATTTCCAACATGCACAATAGCTCTTTAAACTACTCTTTTCCTACTGTGACCTGTCATTTGTTATTAACTGATTTCTGTTTCAAATGACTTTTTGATGTATTTATTAATATTTTCTAACAGCAACCTTTCATAAACCTCCAAATCCCACCTGATCTGGTCAGACGTGAGGTTTCCTGCCACACGTTGGGAGGAATTAATGATGAAGGCAAAGTTTGAGTTTTGTTTGGTTCCATTTTGTTATCACCGCTGATTAATTCAGCAGTTAAACCAATCAACAGTGCCTCATTCATTCATTCAGATAACAGTAAGTTAACAGGAAGTCGATGCAACCCAAAACCATCCTTGTACAACAAACTTCATCCTGTGTTGATAACAGCTGGTAAACCTGTTTCAACATGTTTCTTGTTTGTTATTTTAAATCATTTATGTACAGTGTGAAGTAATGTATGTGGGCTTTAATAGTACAATAATAGTGTGACACTGTCTGGATGTTAAAGGGTCAGTAGCAGCCAGTTTTATTTGAGCCAAATCGTCTACAAATGTCCTGATATGAAGCATGTAAAGCAGCCAGAGATATTCTAACCATCTGGCTCATGTTTTTTCTTTTCTTAGTCGACACAATGCCAGCGGAAAACTGACCGACCAGCAGGGAAAACCTCTACAAAATGACCCCACCTCCAACTGCATGGCTCTGAATAGGTTGTAACCTGAGAAAGACCATAAAAAAACGTAACTTCCAGATGCTATTTCGTGGTGCCACTATCACCTGGGCAAACAATTATGATTCAGGGTGTAATGTGAGACCATGATCATGGTCAGATACTATAACTGTGTCTGCTCAATCTTCAAAATCTTCTAAAAGTTCCTTTAAAAGTGCCTCAAAAATCACAATAACTGCTCAAAAATCACAATAACTGCTCAAAAATCACAATAACTGCCGCACCCTTCCTGTCATATAAACAGATGTCACATTGGGAAACAAAAAAAGTTGAGTAAGAAGCAAATGACAGGAAGGCGCACATAGTGATACAGAAACTTCTCTGTTCTTAATTTAGTCAGAGGGACGGCGGTGAACATCACAAGGACAGAAAACAGCTGCAGTTTTGTTGCAGTGTTGTGTGTTTGTAGCCAACTATGTTCAGTTTGTTCTGTTGTATAATTCAACCCACTAATGACTACCAGACCCTGCAAACAACAGCTCTGACTCCAAACACACAGCATCCAGACAAACAACAAAAACCTGTAATCTTCACACACAGAAAGCAGCTGTTTGCTCTGGACCAAAGGGACATTTTATGTGAAGGTAACAACAAAAAACCTTTACTTTAAAAGAGTAACTGTGAGGAGTATCAGGTTACAGAGCAGCTACTGTTTACATCAAATAAATCTATCTTGAATGGAAACAAAGTGGCTGCAAGTGTCACCACTCAGCTGATAAGAAACATGCACACACTGGAGAAGAAGTTATTTTGTGTATGTGTTTGTTATTTGTGTTTGAAGACTTACCCCCTTGCCATGATTGTTGATTGTATTCTGCTCAGTGGAAAAAGTTACTCTGACTTCTCTCAGAAAACTCATGGACAGTTATCTGAGGCGTCAGTCATGACGTTTCCAAAGGGAGACAGCCAATTACAAGACAGGAAAAGGCCCTTGCCCCTCCCCTCTGGTATTAGAAAGGGCGGATCCCATCCTGCACAGTGGGCTCACTGTGAGTAAAGTGGGCTTTTTAATAGAGGTGAACTCACTATTTCAGAGGACAGACACACCTTAGAGAGATTTTAATAAATGTTTTGCTTAAAAATTGTTATTAGATTGTAACTTCTGCACCCTCAGTTATAGCAGATTATTTAAAAATTAGGCTATTTTGCTGAAGACCGTTTCTCCGGACTGAAATGTCCTCTTAGGAAATAAAAAAAGATACAAAACTTACTGTTACAACAAGGGTTAGGATTTAGGGCTTTCTATCATTTATACATAGAAAGTTACTCAAAAACTCATTAATATTTAATTATTTAAACACATATTAGGGGATATAATTACTATAACGTAAACTGTAATGTTTGTGTCATTTAATTGCCAATTTAACTGCCAATTATAGGCTTTTCTTCAGACTGACCAATTTATTATATTTCAACATTTTTCAAAACATCTAATTATAAAAAGTGTCAATCAAGTTTTCACAACACCGGCTTTTATTTTGAAAAACCACCAGCTGGAAGGAACTAGACTTCTGCGCAAGCGCACTCGCTCCGCACGTTATTTTGGCGTTGTTAGCGGGTTAAATTCATGTTTCTATAGCTTCACCGCGCCGTTCACGTACGTTGTGTGTCATGTTTGTCTCCTATTGGACTGACAGTAGCTGTTTTTAGCTGTTGCTCGAACCGGGAGGCAGAATTCACGAAGAGAAAGCTGCAGTTTAAAGAAAGCGAAGTTAGCTTTAGCCCTCCGGAGCTACAAGAGGCAGCATGGCAGCTGTACTGGAGCTGGTTGCAGGGAGCTACGAGCAGGTCGCCTTTGGTTACCGGGTGAAAACCGAGGAGAGGGTAAGATGTAGAGATGTAGAGAGTTGTTTTGTGGTTGTGTGTGTATCTGTTAATATATGTGTTGTGTTTTCTGTTGTCTGGCACTTTAAGTTTAAGCTGAAACTGTCACTGGGACTGATGGGTAGTCCTACAGGGCAACAACCTGTGTGTGTGTGTGTGTGTGTGTGTGTGTGGTTTAAGTAGGATGATTAACCTCTGTTTTTATAACAGATTTGATCATTTCCCCCTCCTCAAACTCTCACTAAGGAACTTAAATCCTATGTTTCTGTTTGTTTCAGTGTTTATGTTTTTACTAAATGTGTATTTTTATTATTTTTTTTTTCTCCTCATCCAGGAGTGGACATCCAAGGCCAACTTCACACATCACGCTCACACAGCATCCATATCAGCCGTGGCAGCCAGTGAGAGGTTTGTGGTCACCGGTAGCAAAGATGAGACCATACAGCTGTACGACATGAAGAAGAGGGTTGAACACGGAGCTCTGCTGCATCATGACGGTGAGTCTCTTCTGTAGATCTTCTGTCTGACATCCAGTTATTATTATTACAGATTTAATGTGAAATATAGAACCGGTAGCTGTGGCTCTGTGGCCCTAAGATGTATGCTGTTATCCCCACAAGCGTTTTCCTTTTTTATGTATAAGACATAATTAATAATAAAGATATAGTTAAAAAAGAAAATATTCTAATATAGAAAAGTAACGTGAGAGTAGAATCAAAGTGTCACTCTTGAATGTTTTTGAAGTGAAAAGAGTTTCGTTTGAAAGTCTCAATAAAACAGAAATAATTACTCATCTTGTCCTCTATTACCTAAGAACTGAGTTGGCTGGTTGTTCTGGTTTTTAGTGTTTTTAGGGCTGAGAAATCTTGTTATTTATTCATTTATTTTGTGTTGAAATCAGGTTACTTTCCACCTTTTCTCCCATTATTTTAAAACTAGGTTCTCCTGACCTCTTTCTTCCTGTAGCAAACTGATTACTGCCTCCATGATTTGCAATTTGACATTTCTTTTAAGCTTGTTTCCTTTTTTACTAGTTGTGAAATGTATAAAAGATGTTAAAGACATTAGCTTCTGCTTCTGCACACCTGACCCAAACCTTCCCCGTGTTGCTCAGGCACCATCAACTGCCTGGAGTTTTACGGGTCGTCTCATTTGCTGAGCGGAGGAGAAGATGGACTCTTGTGTGTGTGGAGCACGAAGAAGTGGGAGTGTCTGAAATCCATCAGAGCTCACAAGTAAGCACGCACACACACACACGGAGAGAGAGAGAGAGGGTGAAAGAGGAGCTGCAGAAGCATTGAGATGGTTGCGTTTGAGTGATTCTTATCGTTGTTTAATCCTCTCGGTTCCCTCAGAGGTCCTGTCACATCGCTGTCCGTCCATCCATCTGGGAAACTTGCGCTTACAGTTGGGACAGATAAGACTCTCAGGTAAAAATTCACAGCTCTGCCTGAAAGTGTGTGAGGAAGATTAATGTTTTAATAGGGAATCTGAAACAAGTGTTTCCTCTTTTCTATCTCTTGTAGAACTTGGAATCTAATTAATGGACGATCGGCCTTCATCAAAAACATAAAACAGAGTAAGCCTCATGGACTGTTTAAGTTCTCTGAGAACTGAATATTATTCGTTTTTAAATGACTTCAACCTTTTTTTCTTTACACTTTAAACAGACGCACACATTGTCCGATGGTCTCCAGATGGGGATAAATATGTGGTTGTTGTGAATGACAAAGTGGACGTCTACAACCTGGAGACGGCCTCTGTGATTGCAACGATCACAAACCCCAAGAGGATCTCATCTGTGAAGTTCTTAAACGTGAGTTCACTCAGTAAAAGACTTACAAAGACGTTTCTGTGTATCTGTCATCACACCGAGATGTGACAGTAACTTTAGAATAAGTTTAAACCGATCAGAATTGACCCCCGCACACTGGAATAACTTTACTGTGATTTTATTTAAGTTAGTCCAGTGTGCAGTGGTCAGTTTTAATTTCTTACTACATGGTCCTCTGTCCTACCAGCACCTGACTGTTGTTGGCAGTGCATGGGGAGTTTTGTTTACAAGTTACATTAATAATAATAATAATAATAATAATAATATATTAAATAGATGTTGTTATCCTGCTTGTTTTTCAGAACTCCATCCTGGCCGTCGCAGGAGACGATGAAATCGTGAGGTTATGTGACACGGGAAAAGAGAAATGGGTGTGTGAGTTTAAGGCTCATGAAACAAGGTAAATTTATAGTGTTTTTATTACCTCACAGATCCACCACCACGTATGTCTCAACGATATTTAGTGCAGCTGTTTTCAGTGTGTATTTAAACTGTTTTGTGAAAATATTTCTGATGCCGAGAAGAGAGGTGCACTTGTCTTTGTAAGAATTAAATAACTAGCTGATATTTTGCAGTATATTGTATATGTAAGTGTTTATTATAGTTCTCGTGTCATATTTGGTGAAAAGTAAGTGAACACAACGGCGTCCTTTTGTGATTTCAGAGTAAAAGCAGTTGACAGTTTCATTATGGAGGATTACTGCGTGATGGTGACGGCTTCAAACGACGGATTCATCAAAATGTGGAAGCTTCATCTAAAAGAGGCACGTTTTTAACTTCTTCATGAGTGTGTGTGTGTGTGTGTGTGTGTGTGTGTGTGTGTGTGTGTGTGTGTGTGTGTGAGATCTCAGTGTTAACTGAATTCCTCAGACATTTACATGAGCAGCGACAGTTTTTAAAAATAACCTTTCCCTTATTGTCTTTACCTGTTGGCGTATATACTTACCAAAGCAGAATAATAAAGGTCTTTTTAAAGGCAATAATAACTCATATGAGATATATGAGACAATAAAACTTTCTGTTAAAGAAAGAATAAAGTTATATAAGCAAGTCTGTTAAAGAATGAAAGATCCAACAACGTACTGTCTTGCTGTCCAACAGGAGCTGGAATCTCCCACTCTCCTCGTGGAAGTGAACACATCGGCCAGACTGACGTGCCTCGCTGTGTGGAAACCTTCGGCCCTGCAGCAGATCGCTGAGGAACCAGCAGCTGAGGCAACAACATCTGAAGGTAGTTCGGATTCACTTCATCATCATGTTATTAGAGATATTTGAGCTACAGTCGTTAGCGGGTATACTGAGGTCATTTTGGTCTTTCTTTTAAGTTTTCATGTTGATGAGGATGCACTGTGGGTGGTTTCTGACAGTCTAGATCAACAGAGCTGATGTGTCTATGTTTGCTTCTGTCCACAGAACTCGCTCGGGAGCTTTTGAAGACGAAGAGAGTGCGAATTGCAACGGAAGAAGTCATCCTAGAAGATGAGAGCAAACCCAAAAAGAAGAAAAAGGCTGGTGGAAAATCGAGCGAGAAATAATAAACACGTTTTATTATTGGTGGACTGTTTTATATCTGGACTTGTTTGTGCACATGTGCATTCTGCAGGTGATAAACTGCAGTTTTTTTTGGACAGATTTTATGAATATAGTTGCTGTCGACGCTGAAAAGAAGAAAAGACAAATGGAAAATGAGATGGGCAACAATAAAAATGTTTTATAATCCATTTATATCTGATGTTATATTGTCAAGCGTGTATTTACTCACGGTTACCACAGGGAGGTGATAAAGCATGGCTGCTCATTGTGTTTTTTGAAGGATGTATTTGGTCTCTTTGTGGAAAGATATTTATGAAGCATCACTTTCTTCCTTTGACAATGTTGGAAACAGACAAGATCTCGTTAACTAAAATAATAATTACAGCTCAAATATGTGTTTTTCTTCTTGTTTCCTCCAGTTGGATGTTTGAGCTTCACTGTGCAGAATGATGTCTGTGCAGAGTTTGACTCTAGAAGGATGTTTTCACATTCATCTGCAGAAAGTGGGAAGTTTCTCTGAGCTCGTTAAAAATCAGATTTTTTAGCAGTGTGATTTGTGACATCACAAATAGTCTGGAGGTCCGTCCTGGTCCAGTCTGAAACTTATACAAGTGTGATGTAGAAGCTTGAAGCCACCAGTGCACAGACACTGAAAACTGACTTTACAGTGATGCAGGAGACATTTTGTGTCCAGCAGGAAAACTTGAGATATTAAAAAAATTAGCATATTCATAGATTTTGGCATTTTTAATGAGGTCGAACGAGTAGGTGCCTTTTTTTTTTTTTTTTTAAAGGATTTTAATGTAGAAATGTACTTCAAATACACATTATTATTCAAAGCAAACAGAAAAAGAGTATTTATGTCTGGAGTTTGAACCATTACAGACTTTTATTTTGAAATGAAACCGGAAATTATGTAACCACGTCGCGGTGACGTGGTGCTATCGGAAACGTAACAAAGTTCAGGTATGATTGTTTGTTGTCATTTCTAGTGCGTTGGATGTTTGTATTTGGACAGTAAAACGATTGACAGTACATTTTCTAACTGTTGAGATGTTGTGGTAAATATATTGTTATTAATAATAATAATAATAATAATGATAATGTCGTACTCCAGCAGCAGCAGTCAGTTTCTGAGCTGTGGACATGGCTGTAGACTGGATTGGGTTCAGTTATGCTGTTCTGGTGTCTGCAGGAGGAATTATAGGCTTTGTGAAAGCAGGTAGGAGAGACACCGACCGGTTAATATGTGTTAGCCACTGATTATTGGGGTTGGATGTTCGTGTGATTGGTTGTAACTATATAAAAAAGGTTAAAATACTCACAGTAAATCAGAATTATTAAGTGAAAGGGGAATACTAAGATGTTTTATTTAAAGATCCCCTCCGGATATGTATTAAAGGTGCAGTGTGTAACATGTAGGAGGATCTATTGACCTACGGGGGCAAACAATACTCCACCTCTGGCCCCAAAACAACCACAGAAAGACACCTTTAAAAACACCCAAATACACTGGAGTCATTAACATAAAGAAATACAGACAACCAAGAGATTAAGACAATCAGAAGACACAAAGTAACACCAGTAATCCCCACTCTAAATGATTATATGATTAATAATACATTATTATTGTGGCTAATTAACGTTAAAGTCGTCTATGTGCAGCCAATTTTAGATTTTTATACATTACTGGTTAGTTTTTAGTAAAGCACTGCAACATATTACGTACAGTACTTAAGTAAATGTACTTTTATTATTATTTTCCACCACTGTTGGGTTTCCCCCTTTCAGGACAATAAAGTTAACATTGAAGATGTTACAGAACAGATCCGGTACCATAAGAATCAAAGAGCGGGTTCAACCCTTGAGTACGAGGCAGATGTACCAGTTTATCCACAGTGGGTAGCATCAATAGACCAGAATGCAATGCAACCACAAGACACGATGTCACCGAGATTTCACAGTAGATTATTATTGTACTTAAAGCTCCACCTGTGCTAAGCTGCCAGTTTATTATACAGGTACGGTCTAATACGACAGTAAATCCTCCCTGCATGAATATTCATCTTCAGCTTTGTGCTCCTTTAGTTGGTTTAGGTTTGTGGTGCAGTTTAATTTCTAATATTTGATATAAATGAGGTGGACAAAATATATGAAACACTTCTCAGTATAAAGTAGTTTGAAAGTTTAATCAGCACATCTCTCAAACATTATAACCTTCATGAATGTACCTAATAAACCGGATAATCTACAAATTTAATTAACTTAATTTCAAAATAAAACCGAAAGAATAATCTGTTTCCTTCCCCCCAGGCAGCAGCACCTCTCTGGTCGCAGGGCTCCTGTTTGGCCTTCTGGCTGCAGTCGGCGCTTATCTGGCATCTCAAAATCCCAAGAATGTCTGGCTTTCACTAGGTGAGCAAGTTTAAGTTTGTTAAACGGTGACAGTCCAACTGCAGCTTCCACAAACAAATGACAACGACTGTTTCCCTCCAGGCACCGCGGGAACTCTGTCCGTGGTGATGGGACTGAGGTTTCTCAACTCCTGGAAGTTCATGCCAGCTGGTTTAATGACTTTAACAAGGTAATACACATTTCTTTATATATTTGACTTTAATTCTGACTGTTTCTGGGATAAACATTCACAATATTCTGCAACCGTATCCTGATATATATGTTGTTTTTCAGTCTACTGATGCTGCTGAAGATCATCGCTGGAATGTCGAAGAAAACTCATAAATCTTAAAAATATCTCGATATACTTTTCTGTGTGTCTGTACATATTCTTGAGCAAACAAAATCTAATTTGTGCTCCATTATAACGTCCATTCACAAACATTCCTTTGGTATATTTTCTATTACAGACTGGTTTTGTATAAAAAAAGAACTATATAAGATATGTGACTGTAACTGATCTGTCTGTCTTTTATACAGTTTGATGATGTTTTTTAGTTTGTAAATGTATTTCTGTTTGCTGTAAAGTAATAACTTCACCCACTTTAATTAAAAAAATAACTTCTTTATTTAATCATATAGTCTATTATTTAAAAAAAGAAAGAAAATACTGACAGTAGAAGTCATAGGATACTTTTACAACACTGAACAATATTTAATAGCGTGGCAAATGTAACAACAGACTCGCAGGAAACGTTTGTACAGTGTTGGCAGCATCAAACACTAAAGTCTGTATTTCCTGGCAAAAGTGCAGTGGGGGATTTTTCCCATGAGTCACTGGTGGTGCAGAGCTGCGCTATTGGTGGCCTCCGTATTTGGCGCTCCAGTCTACCCGTCCGTGCACTGGCTGGATGTTTGTGCTCTTTGAAAACTTCCCTGTAACGCTGGCGCTGGACCCAGGCATCTGAGGGTTCAGAGATCTGCTCCTCCTCCCTTCGCACTCTGGGGATATCATCGTGAGAGAGGAGGGAAGTGTTTAGGCTATACTCGGGAGGGGGGAAAGTGACATGTACCTGCTCGTACTCTGATTATTTTTACCTTCTTTTGAGAGCAACAGTTTATTTAAGGAGGTCTTGCTCTTGGCCGGTTTGATTTTAGAGTCGACTCTGAGATCAGCAGCAGATGACAGATCAACTAGAAGATTCACAGAAAGAAAAGTTGGGGTAAATATCATCAGATCAGGGTTTGATAGCCAAGTAAGTTTTACAGTAAGTAAAACTAAACTAAAAACTAGCTGTGAAAAAACATTTTAGTTAAAATTGAAATAAAAATAAAAGCTAGACTTTAGAGAACGATAGTGTACTTACAAAATTAACTAAAAAAACAAATATACAGGAAATGTCTTTAGTTTAGGAGGCATTAGTGCTGTTTATTGAGACTTTTTCAGAGTCTACAGAACTCTGAGTTAATGTGTTTGTACTTATTCTGAACTTCTTCAGTCTTGCCCCTGATGAATAACCCCCATATTGTAATAAAAACACATAAAACTGACACTGAAACTAATAAAATCTAAACTCAAACTGAGCAAACCCCACTCTGGAAACTAACTGAAACTACACTGAATCGAAAACAAACCCTTAACCTTAATGAAATAAACATAAAAACTAATGAAGGAATACAAAACTATACACTGGTATAGCTTCTACAATCCTCTCAGACTCTTCTATCTTTAAGGGAGGTACTGACTCAAACTCCAGGGGGCGTGTTGTTAAAGTACGACTGAAGAAAAAGAAGTGCTGCTTGTGACTTGAACAAAGTGCGCTCGAGACACAAAGAGTTTCCAGCACCGTCAAAGACCTGGACCTGATTGGTACCAAGCAACACTGAATCAAGAACATCTGACTCAACCATTATTGTGTCTGAAAACATAATAAAGTCCTCTGTTGTGACTCACTAGCAGAGGTGCCTCCTATCGGTGCCAGCGTTATCCGCTGTCTGGCTGCTCCTGTTTCACTCTTCTGAAAAGGTGATGTGTATGTCTTGGTGGTGTTGTTGGAGTTGCTCATGAAGGAGTCTGGAAGGGACAATGAAAAGTATCACATAAAACAATTAATTATACTCCAGGTCCATGTTCATTCTCACACATTAACTTGTGTCTTTGTGTCAAATAACCACCTGTAAGTCTGTGAACTGCTGCTAAATCTGAAAGATACCTTTGTTTAGATCAAGATCCTCCAGGGTCTTTTCTTGTAGAGGCTGCTTATCGGTTAGTTTAGGAAGACTAATGTCTAAAAACCACAACACAGAAAGAAAAAAATGATTAAGGTGAGTGAAGGAGAGGAAAACAGCTACAGAACACAACGTATTTGAAGCATACTTTGAGTTTTTTCCAGTCTTGAATGGACATTGGGTTTAATTTAGCTCCGGCTGCTTCTTATGTGACGGGTGACTCATATATAAAAGGTTTCTTCTTTTTCAGCACAGAAGAAAAACAAATAGTTTAGCATGTTACTTTAATGCTTTTTTCATCAGGAATCGTTTCTAACTTTGTAGAGCTCACGCGTTGACGTGTAGCTTTAAGACTTGAGTCAAAGCGTGTGTTCAAATAGTTAGAAGCATTTTTTTTTTACTGCTTGAAATATGAGATGGGATTTTGTTTTGGTGCATCAGGTCAGAAAGATCAGAAAACTTACTCAGTGATACATCAACATATGTTGCTTAAAGTACCACAGAGTAGAAATACCTTTAATAAAGTCAGGCATTCAAAATGTATTAGCATCAAAATATACTTAAAATATCAAAAGTAGAATTGCTCATTTCAGAATAATGTATATTATTGGATTATAATTATTGATGCATTAATGTTTACGTGACTTTAAGTATGCAGCTGGAGGTGGACTCAACTTGAATTACTGTATAGTTTTGTTTTAATAATCTGAACCTGTAAAGTAACCAAAGCTTTAAAATCAATGTAGTGGAGTAAAATATCTAAATATCTGCCTCTGAAATGTAATTATTTATGATGAATTACAAAATATAACTGCTGTTTGAGTGAGCAACCCTTATATCAGTGGACAGTTACAGGATAGGAAATAAATAGTATTTCTATTAACATTTTTAAGGCAAAGAAAAATGATACTTGTACTTTTTGTGTTGTTTTTGCATCTAAAGTTCTTATTTAAACAGTAAACTCTTCATATCCAGACTCTAAACTACAGATAAACTTGTGTCCTGACGTCTGTCCTACCTTTATGCAGAGGGAACTCCAGGCCCTGTCCTCTGGTTAAACACGAGCCGCCCCACAGGTTCCTGCCGACCACCTGGCTTCCTACTGAGGAGTTGTTTTTTGGATTTACGCCTGAAATGAACAAACAAGCTCAGAATGAACTCACTGTACCTGAACCCACACACCAATTTGCCCATGTCTGATGGAACAATGCCATATTTAGATATAGCACCTACAGTGTGTGGAAAGCACAGTATATGTGCATGATCAGAGTTTGTTGAAACAAACATCAAACTTGTGTAGTTTGTACAAAGTGATCCAGCAGAAAGTTTTTAAAGGTCCAGTGTTTAACAATCAGGAGGATCTATCGGCAGACACTGGTCCTTTAACTAATGTGATATGTTGATATTTAGTTAAGTATTTAGATTAAATTGTAGATTAATTGTCTATGTTGGTCTTCTTTCACTGCTTTTAATTCTCACATAAGTCTATAACTTATTTCTTTCACCCCTTAATTTGTCTCAGACTTTTCTGTGTTATTAGTGGTTTGTTTGCAACATAAATGTGATCCTTGTTTCTCACCTGGCAGGTATCTGGACTGGCGGAGGTAGTGCTGCTTTGCAGACAAGGCGGTGGAGTCAGCTCTGTTCAGCCCACTGTTGCTCGGCAGCTTTGATTCTTTATTATTCTTTGACTCCACAGATCTAGACAAAAACGTATAATGGTATTTATTTATTTTTTTACAAAACTGGGATGACAACGTAAAATCTTTTACATGAAAATAAAGAGGTCTAACCGACAGCTGGACTCATCCAGCGTCCTGTCCTTCAGAGAGCTGATGGTGGGTTTTTTGGAGATGGACACTCCAGCGTCTGCATCCTCACTATCGTCCCAGCTGTCGACGGACTTGAAAGACGTCTGACCCCATCGTCGACGTCCTGTCCTCACTCCACTCGTGCTATTTTCTGCTCCTGTGGGAGCTGCTCTTGTAGGCTTTAAAATGAACATACAATATATTATAAAAGAAAGCTCTGTAAGCCCAGAGTTGGTACCATTCTGACATGTAGAACCTGAGTGATACCTACAGCCTGCCAGCTCATCGGTTGCCTTTTTTTCACCAGGCTGAGAGGTTCCTGCTGCCTCTCTGGCAGCGTGGTGACGCGCATTGCTTGCTTTGTGCTTGGCTCCTTGTTGTCCTGAGGTAGGGAGATCTGTTGAAGGGGCTGGTGGAGAGATTGGCAGCAGGTCTGCAGCTCTGCCTGAGTCCTACTTGGCTCACTGGGTTCTAGGTCCATCTTACAGAGGGACAGAGGCTCTGTCTCTGCGGCCGCCTCAGACATCTTTGTCTGAGTCCTGTGCTGCTCCGAGTACTTGAGAGGAGCACCGAGCGCCTGGCCGACATGGAAGTATGGATACCGTAGAGCCTGGAACACAAACAAAGGTTTCAAAGAAGAAGATTCAGAGAACATATTGATTATAGGACGAATATACATAAAATATGATACCATGAACTATATCAAAATAAAAGTGTAGACAAGAAGTAGAAACAAGGCCTTGAGTTCTTGTTCCTATAATAATAATAATAATAATAATAATAATAATAACTTTATTTGTATAGCACTTTTAAAAACATGGTTTACAAAGTGCTTTGACAGAACACAGCAAGAATACAATTTACAATTACAAAGGAAAATAAAATAAATTGCATGAAATAGTTGAAATAACAAGTAATGATACAAATTAATGAAGTAGGTGAAATAATAGAGATGGAGAAAAATAAAGTAGGTGAAATAAGAGAAATGGAATAAATAAAATAAGTAGAACAGAACTCAAAGATGGTTGGAGTAAAAATAAACGACCACATCACATAAAGGCAAGTCTATTAAAATGGGTTTTAAGAAGTGATTTAAAAGAATTTATAATGGTGGATTATCATGTTTAATATATCTTGTAAAGGGTTATTGAGACAAACACCAAACACACTGTGTCTGTCTCACATTGAATGAAGTCCGTGGACGTGCACTGCCTCAGTAGTACATCCAGATGCCAGGTTTGGCATTACAGTAACTGCCAAGGTAAGCTGATTGATTCCCACTTGGGCCTCCCACGCTAAAAATAGATGCACTTAAGGTACTCAAAGGTCCTCAAGATAAAAGCATTCACCGAAAGGACTTGTGTTACTCTGCAAACACTGTCACCTCAACATAAGTTGGTTTGTCTTTACTCTAATCTTTGTAAATTTTGTGTTTATTCCAACCAAAACATGTTAAAACACAACAGGTTTTGAATGTACCTGAGCAGCACTTGGTCTTTTCTCAGGGTCCCACTGCAGCATGTCTTTCATCAGTGCGATGGCCTCGTTGCTGGCGTTGGGGATCAGGGATCTGAGGCTGGTGGGGACACACTTTGGGAAGCGGAAGTTCATCGAGGTGGCCAGGTTGTAGCCTTCAGGCCAGTCCGTCTGATGTGGTGGAAAAACCAGAGGAAACAACCAATGAGTCCTCTGTGAGTTTTTTGTGCGTCTACATTTGCAACCGGTGTCTCACAAAAGGAGTAAAAGTGTGTTTTTAACGGTGACAGTGGTCCAATCAGAGAGGGCGTCACCATAATTTATAACGGTTCACCTTCTTCAGCGTTCCCAGCACCTGACAGATCTTGAAGATCTCGTCCACCTCGCTGTTGCCAGGGAACAGCGGTCTGAGTGTGTACAGCTCCGCAATGATGCATCCCACGGCCCAGATGTCGATGGGCGAGCTGTAGGAGTTCGACTTCAGCAGAACCTCTGGGGCTCGGTACCTGTCATAATAACACAGGAGGATATTTGTGGAACATTTGCAGGTAGCGATTGAACTCTTTTTTTGTTAAGTTTTTGCTGTTTTCATTTACTATTTCTTGCTCAATAAACAAAAACTCCCAACAAGTTTAATTTGTGTCATCTCATCTTACAGAATAGTTGTTTGTGCCTCTTACCAGCAACTAATAAGAGCTATATATATATATATATATATATATATATATATATAAAGTAGCCATACACAGAGCATTGGTCTGATTTGTACAGGTTTTAAGACATCTGGGATATCTGCTTTTACCCCAATAAAATGGAAGTGAGTGTTTGCTTTGTTTACGATGCTCACAACATTTATGAATTGCATTTAAAGAATTAAAGAATCAAGTCTTTTTCCAGAAACCATGTCCTGCTTGCTGTGGAGGACCTACAGACCTCCCCATGAACAATTTCATTGAAACTATTGTTATTTTATTGATAAAATATCCAATATTGCCTAAAATGTGGCATCGGGTATCGACAAGTATGCGTGTCTCTGCACCAGTCTGATATCAGATCATTTATTAGCCCTGAAACGGGACCCTGCTGCTTCCCAGCGGTGTGCGGCTGCTCGCCTATTTTTTCCCAGGATAGCCAAGTCATGACTGACAAGCAAACACTTCTAGTCAGCACCACAAAGCAAACTCCTGTTCAGTTCCACTTTAAAGTTATCTGCCTAGTTAAAAGATGTGAGTGAGAAAATATTTTTTTTTGTTTTTTTAATTTGGGTAATCCAATTTTTTAGGAAAAAACACTTTTACATATTTTTGATTGATACATTTCTAATCTTTTTATGACACAAATCACAGAACCACAATGACACAGTATAATTTTACGTGTTATTTTGTTAACAGAAACGTTAACATTAAAGTTGATAGTAGTATAAGTAGTAAATTAAAGTCAAAGTTTGTCTTCTTCTTTCTATCGACTGAACGGATTTACTTTTCTCTAGTTGGTATAAATTTAATCTAAGAGTCTTTTTAAAGGTCCACTGTGTATCATTTACGAGGCTCTATAGGCAGAAATTGAATATAATACTCATAGGTATGTTTTCATTAGTGTATAATCACCTGAAAATAACAATCGTTATGTTGTTGTTACCTTAGAATGAGACGTTTTTATCTACAGATGCTGTGGGTCGCCTTCTGTGGAGGGACAAACCAAACACTGGCTACTAGATAAGGTCGTTTAACACTTTTCTGGTGTTTCGCGGCCTCCGTAGTTTCTCCTACACGCTTGGAAGGGGAGGGTGAAGTGAGGGAATTGCAATCTACAACTACACCACTAGACGCCACTAAATCCTACACACTGGACCTTGGAGTCACGTGCTATGTCATATTTACAGCAGGTCGGACTACAGACCGACAACATCCATCAGATGTTGTTTCATCTACAGGAAGTACTCGTGCATTGTACTCTGATACTGTAAATAAATGAGTCTCACCATCTTGTGGACACATAATCAGTGTAAGGTGGCTGCGAGCGGATTTCTCTTGCTAGTCCAAAATCAGCAATCTTAACCAGCTCGGGGCCCATGCAGAGCAAGTTCTCCGGTTTCATATCACGATGGAAATACCCTGAAAAACACGAGACAGTCAAATAAACCTGCGCTGACGCTGGATTTTCATTATTTTCTACTACTGGAACAACCACCACCACTGAACTACTCATAACGACAAGACTCTCTACTGATGCACGTCCAAATTTGATGTTTGGTTTGATTTTTTTTTTCTTCCTGAAACACAGAGTTAAAACATCTCTGATAAAAATAGAGATGTTTTAAGCACAGTCAAGCCAAGCCTTTAAGGAAATTTAAAGGAAAAGAGAAAGACAGGAGGAGTCTCTTACCGTGCTTATGCACAAATGCTAAGCCAGACAATACTTGGAACAGAATGTTCCTTATCTCATTTTCAGAAAACATCTTATCTTCCCTGGCAGCGGCAAAGCGGTAAAAGACAAAAGAAAGAAAGAGGGGATAAAGAAAAAAACACTATGCAAACAATCATGCCTTATTGAAGTGGGAATGACACCAGCACCCACCAGCACTAAAAAAACAGTGCTGACTTTTATTTTTCCTGAGAAGAAAAACTTGTTCAGCTAAGCTGTGGTACCACTCACACCTCCTCTTCTCACTGAGGAAACAGGAGAAGTGAGTCATTTATGGCTGCGACGCCTGATGTCTTATCAGCCGTCCAGCGTTCGTACACTTTTCAAGTTTAGATATGTTGTTTTCTGTTTGCTCAATTACGACCTCTTTATCCCAAGACAGAGCGGACGGCATGATAACACAGCATTTTATGAGACAGAAAAGGAAGCAGAGTTCAGTTTTTTCTTCAGTCTGTAGTCACCTACCATGTTTATGAATAAAGGACAGTCCCTGTAATATCTGAAATGTCATGTTTCTGACGACTGACTCAGGGAACAACTTGTTTCTGTAAAAACGAAGACCGACACATGATGACTCAATCTGACCCAAATAATTCTCACATTCCCAATGGTGACAAAGACACACTGCAGCATTATATCACAGAAATAACTCGGCGTACACAGCTGCTGCTCAAAGGCCTGTCAATAAATGTGCGTTCTTACCTTTCTTTCATGAGCTGATAGAGGTTTTCTTTCATATACTCAAAGACAAAGTAGAGGTAGTCATTTTCTCTGATGACTTCCCTCAGTTTCACCACATTGGCATGGTTCAGCTTCTTCAGTGACTGACAGCACAAAGTATTTAGGAGACACGTACAACGTTATTAAGACATCATCATCATAAACATCATTAAGAATCGACTCATTATGTAAATAAATGACCTAAAATGCCTGAAAACTCTGTCTGAAATTAGATTTTTCACTCAAATATGACTATTATTGGCATTTTAGACACAATTTGCTGTCCTAGCAGTTACATATTGCAAAAAAAATGGCAGGATTTTACAAGTGGAATCAATTAATTAAATAATAATTATTATTTGCTTATATTCTGTATCAACTTGTGGAGATTTCTTGTCTGACTACAATGACTCTCACCTTCACCTCTCTTAGATTCAAACACTCATCCCAAGAATAAAACTTCCTTTTCATCCTGTTGACAAAAGAAACAAACAGATTTACATGACTATATGTATTAATGTTCACATTTTAAGATCTCCCAGACCTCTAAATCACAACTTTTAGTCTGTTTATCAGGTTATAATATCTATACTGTGTATTAAAACTTATATTAGACTAAGTAACAAAAGTTTTTTTCACACATACACTGCGAGAAGACATTTCTCTCTTTTACAGGCTCACTTGTTATTCAGGCTAATCACAAAATTGATGTGAGTGATCCTGGTTTACTCCTGTTTTTATTATTGTGCAGTAATTAGAATTTTCATTCAATACACATGTTGAAAACCGCTGCATAAAAGCTACTGTAAAAGCTTTCTTCATGGTGATTATTCGCTCCAAAAGCATCAATGTTGTACTCATAATAGTAAAAACAGCGTCCGGCTCAACGCTGCTATTTCTAAATTGAAATGTCTTACATGTGCGTCCTGTTTTAACCTCCCATTCTTACCGCTGGAGACTTTCATATTACATTTCCCATACTCCAGGGGCAACACTGTGCGGTGTACTTTCACTCCTTTCACTGTCATCGGTAGTATCGGCTTGCACTATAACCTTACATTTACAAACAGTACCTGGCGGAGCCTCGTGAAGCATTCATTATTAATCTCTTGCCAAAGACGTGTTCTTAAACAGCTCATCCTTAAAATGTGGTCTACAGTCAGGGCACAGAATTAAAAACGCCGTTTACCATCCTGGTAAAATATGGACAAAGTTGCTGAAAAAACAATCAATTGAGTGGCTGGTTAACATTTGACCATTCACTAGTCTAAAATATAGGCAAATAAGGAAGTTATGACAACACAATATATAGTATATTACTACCACTAATAATAATAGTAAAACTACTTCTGTTGACCTTCAAAATTATCCTAAACCTGCAAAACTGCTTACACATGATGCACATTGACCTAAAACTTTTGATTCTAAATTACAACACTTCTTCTTTTTCTTGTGAGGACGCAACATGCTTATGAGTCTAGAGCCTTGAAGCACCTTACAGCAGTCACTCAGGGTTTAATCCGCTTAAAGTTTCCAGACAAAACAACACAGCATGCTCACTGGAGCTACACACACACACACACACACACACACACACACACACACACACACACCCTCTTTATGGCCACCAGCTCCCCAGTGTCATTGCTCTTGCCCAGTAGCACGCTGCCATACGTGCCGTCCCCCAGCTGCTTCAGCGTGGTGTAGCGGTTCATCGTCCACAGAGAGCCCTGCCTCTCCTTCACCGAGGAACCTTGACAGTCCCACACAGGCCAACAGTTGGTCATTGTAAGCACAGTAACATCCCTCTCACAGATCAACGACTTCAACGGCTATCCTGCTCTAGCCTGCCGCTACTGTGAGGAAGGCTTTTTACTCTAGAAAACGCAGAAATAATACATGAGCGTTGATCCTTTACCTTTACTCCCTGCAGATTGGTGATGAAGGGTGGAGGTTTACCTGGCGAAGGAGAGCGGAAAAGTGACGCTGTCTGGATCCTGCCTGTCGCCCTGTGTCTCACCTATCCTGAGCTAAGCTTTGACGGTGGACAGAGGAGGGCTGATCCCCTGCGAGGGGGGGAGTGGATTAAAGTTGACATGTGATTAAGAATGTGTGCCAGGGCTCGAAGGAGGACCTGGAGACATGGTTTTAACTTCTCAAGTTTGAAAGTAGGACCCTAGTGACACATTTGTGCTTCGTAAGGTGGGATTGAGTTTGTGATCTTTTGAACTAAGACTGTATTCATGAATTTGTGATCCAGAAACAGACGGTTTTGCCTGCCTTTGTCTAACACTGATCACATATACTGTAGGTGAGCCAGGTGTCTTGAGACATCTGTGAATATCAGTTTGTCATTTCAGGATGAGGCTCGCCGCCCCTACGCTGTCGACCCTGATTTTATTCTTCTTCTATATCCAATTAACCCCCATGAACCAGCAGACAGGACGTAAGAGCACACCTTGGCCCGACTTTAACTAATTAGGGCCAGTGTATTACTGACATAATAGTAGGTTAGAGGGGTCAAACTAATCAGGAGTACTCAGGGTGGTACCACTTTCTAATAAGTTACCCTTTATAATGGGGTTATAAGTTGTAACTTAGAGGTTTATTAATAGTTTTAAAATAAATGTGTATGCAATGCACATAAATACACATCATTTAAGGATGTGTACCTATGTTATTGCCATTACATGAATTTATTGGTTATAGTTTCTGTTTTTGTCTCTGTGTCACTGTTTTACTTTTATTTTTGGGGTCATAAGCCACCTTTTGTTGTTATCTCCATCTCACCAGCACAATCGTTCTTCATCTATTAATCAAACTGTACTAATTTAAGACCTAAAATGACAACAGATGATTCACAACCTGGCAACCCAACACATGTTCTTATAAATGACTTATAACTGATCTAATAACCCTTAGTAAAAACAATATATTGAGAATATATAGACTTTATAAACCCTTTATAAGGGGTGAATTAATAGAAATTGGTAGATTTTGGATTAGGGTTGTGGTTTTTAATGCATAACCTGATAGCATCTGCTTAAAAACAACCCAATTATACCTGAAATCTGACGTTTTTCTATGTATTTCCTATTAAAAAAAGGATTTTGATGATGACTAACACCGTTTATAACATCACAAACTTCAAAATGTTGATGCTAAACTGAGCTTTTACACCCTCTCATACACTATCTAACCATTTCACCTCGGGGTCTGAATACTTTAACATATATAATATAGCTATTTAACTCTCTAACATTAGTTAGTTAGCAGACAACAAGTGAACTAACCTGCTATTAAAGGGTGACGTTAAACACTAGAGAAAGCTAGAGAGCAGTAAAAGCTAACATCGACCTCCTGTCCAGCCCTATAATTCTCAACCTTACAATCTAACACACAGTTTTATATATGTTTAATAAATATTATACCAAACATAAGTCAGACCTGAGTAAAGTATACCTACCATAGGAGACATTTTCCGTACTGATGAAGATGACACGGTGATGCTGCCAGCCTTGTCCGTTTCCAAGGGCGGCTTCCTGTCTCCTAGGCAACGCAGAGATCCTACAAAATAAAATTAAACCCCCCAAAAAATTTGTCTTATAATATACAACACATGGCAGACCAGTATATGAAATAAATGTATATATTATATTATTTATATGTTTTTAAAATATCTTAAATATCATATATTTAAAATATAACAGTTACTTACATATATTATATACTTTTTCTTTAAAGCTGACATAACAATCTCACCACCAGGTCCATTTAGTGGCGTCATTACAATTAGGGCTGCACAGTTAACCCGACTATTATTGAAATTGAAGAGCTGTAATGTTTTGATGAAGGTAAAATGTGTGACAAAGCAGCATTATAATGAATTACTGTAGTGCTGCAGAATACAAATCTACAAATCTTGTTCTCCAGCTTTAAGAAAACATACAAAGTCCAATTTATCATGATTTAAATTATTTTTTGGGTGTATAATTTCAATTTGTGGTGCAAAAATGATAATTCCCACATAATCATGAATGGCAATATCTGTCAAAGTAATTGCAATATGATGTTTTAACCATATCATGCAGCCCTAATTACAATTTCTATATATTTTGTCTGTGCCAGCTGAAAGGTTGAGATTTAAAGTCATTCTTAAAAAATATTACCAAAAATATGTGGATAAAATATTGTAAAAAATACAAATATAAAGTTGAAGGAACATTTATTTCCAAATTAACAATAGAAATATGTCTTACAGAACTTATGACACTCAAAATATCATGCACGTAATATAGTGCAAAAACTACTTCAGTAAGTCACAAGTAGTGAGTGTAATTTCAAACTCCTTGTGTAAACCTTGGCAAGAAAACAAATAAGTGTACTTTCCAAAATATCCTCTTATCTTTTAACTTAAACATGTAAACATCAACCACAGTAACATAAGAATATAAGTAGGTAAGTTTATTATAAAATAGTCCAGTCACTTTGGCACTTCATGGTACCTTATGAAGCAGTTGCGTTCGGCATTGAGGCACAGGTGGACCTTACAGACCCTGCAGAGCTGTTTGACCTCAAGATGTGCCCCTTCCTGCTGCAGCGCTTGCAGGTCTGACCAGTGGTGTAGACAAGGGCGTAGAAAAGGGACAGGTACAACCACACAAAATCATGTGCGGTATGGCTACGGTGTCCGCATACAGGAACATCTACAGAGGTGCTGAGGCTTCCTAGAGCTGCTGAGCTCTTTCGGTGGCGAGACATGACTTGCCTCTGGGTGATGGCTGACCTGAACACCTGGATCCTGAAGTTCTTCAGTGACAGGCCATCCACAGCAAGAGCCTTGCAGTCCCACTTGTTGCTGACCGAGGCATTTGTGAGGCTGACATCAATTGCATATGCAAACAGCCGCATGTACAAACTCTTGGATTTCATGGGGCTACGGTAGAGTTGGACCAGCATGTCAATCTTGTCAGTTACCCCCATGTTGGAATTGTAGCTTTTGGTGGCAGCAGGGCAGCACACTTCCTCCTTCCACTTGGTCTCACTGCAGTACCAGTGGACTGAGGACATGAGCTCCACTCCAATGTCTGTCGATGGCAGAGTGACAACCTTGTTGTCCTTCCACCTGAGGGCCAGGATCCCATCGTCACTTGTGATGCAGCTGCAGGTACCCCAAGGAAGAGCCTTTTTCTTCATCTCCTTGATGGACTTGAGTAGAGGCTTCCCTATTCTGTTATCTCTGGCTGTCCCTGTATACCTGTAGTTCTTGTCCTTGAGGTACTGCACAAACTCCCGGCTGGTGAAGAAGTTGTCTGAAAAGAAGGCTGTGGTGGTAGATGTGGACATAGTGCTGAATAGGATGGAGACCATCTGGCTGGTGGCACCCAAGGCTTCTTGTTCAGGCGTGAGAGAGATGCCATGAGCCTCCAACATAGACATTCATGTCATGAATGAAGCTGTCCTCAGAAGCTCTAGCAACAGTTTGAAACCCAATTGTCTGGCTTGTTCTTGATGTACTGCCTCAGGTTACCAGCTGTCTTGCATTTGTAGGCAACTATGACTTCATCCACAGGTTGCTTGGGCCTTTGTGGCTCACTCCTGAAGGCAGTATTCAGGAAGCTGAACAGTGGCCGGATCTTGAAGAATCGGTCGACAGTGCCATGGATCTGAGTGTTGTCATTGAAGTGGACAAGCTTCTTTATCAGCCTGAACCTCTTAGATGACATTAGGTTTGCAACTTGAGGGACCCTGGTGTCCAATGTGCAGAAGTCATCAACATAGGGAAGCTCAGCAAGCAAGCTCTGATGTAGATCAGAACATGATGACACTTACCCAAAAATAAAACCCAATAAACCCATTGAATAGTATATGTGCTGTAATTTGAATTTGTACAGAGCAAAAACGAGTGCAGAGATATCTGTAGACCTGTTCTGATGATGGAAAACAGAATCTGTTGAAGTTTGAATGAATACATTCTGCATGCTGCTAATGTCTGTGTGTCCATTACTGTGATTTTAAAAAAAATGTTGGCAGGGAGAAATAAGTAAAGTAATAATATTCCTTTTGAAAAGAGTAATAAAGTAATTTTCCATTATTATGAATAGAAATAAGTCTAGAAGAAGATGGCTGAAGAAACCCTTTGACATGATGATATTTCTCATTTATTTGAATATGTAACACTTCTATCCTTTACTTAACAGCTACAGAAATATGACCTTCCTCTCATTTATTTGGATATTTTCATATAAGAAAATTCTTTTTCAGTCACAAAACAAAACACATTCTACTTTACTGATTGTAAACCGACAATTACAATGTTTATATCATAGTAAATTATACCATAATGACTTTTTTGTATCTCGAGCGTTCACTGCATTAACTCCCTGCTAGGTATCACCTGCTAACGTCAGTCAATAATTGTGTTTCAGGTCCGTCAGGGCGTGCTGCAGTCGAGTCGTGCTCCAGCACTTCACGTGTACATTACCCCACACAAATGTCATGAAAATCACTAGATTATTGCCAAATAAGGCTTGTCATTGTGTTCAGGAAGGGACTCTTATCAGACCAATTGTTTATTCTTCTATTATTTTTATTTAGTTTATTAATGTTTTT